AAGATTAAGAAAGATTAGTTTTAATTAAGCTAAGCATCTCTTGATTATTAGATTATGGGTGATTCTAGCCGTGTGATTGGAGTAATAATTACTTACGATCCGCAACATTCCCATATTTTTTTGGCTTTCTCATGCTTCCAAGGATACAGTATACGGTGGTAAACACATCTTTTAAGCTCAATATAAGGTTACATTGTCATTATTTTATTTATTAACGGGAATATAGGGTTGCATTATACTACCACATACACTATTTATTTATTTATTATATTGAAAGATTTTATAGGATTTGTTTTCAGGCTAATTACTTCACTAGAATGTCCACTGTTAGGATATCTTGAAAATTTAATGCATGTGATTTTTTATTTTATTTTTTTTTTTATTTTTTTTTTTTACATATAGCTATTACTAGTAGATTTTATATCGATTTTAATTTAGTGTTTTACATCTATTTAAAATTTCATCAATTGCCTATGTATAACTATTATATGACCGCTTCTGCCTTTAACTAAGGGCTAATCACTAGATAATTTTGTTATTGATAGAGAATATACACTTAATGTTCTATGTAAATTCTATTCTTAGTCAGTCATAGATACAACTCATACAAACAATATGGTATTTAATTATGCATCTATGGTCAATATATGAAATTAAACTAAATTTTATAATCTATTTCCCACTAATTAAGGCTAATGAATTATGTATGCCAATATAGTACTATGTACTTCTTGTGAGGTTGACCATGCATTTAGGTATATTAATGTATTATTGAGAGGATCTCCTTCGATATCTTAATCAGTGCAGCTAACGTATGTACTACGTATAAGATTACTTGGTAACAGTACATTTTGATTTCTAGTGTACGTGAAATTCTCATGCTGAAACGTTTTTTCTTGCATGACTCTATTACAAACAAAACCATGCTCAAATCAGATAGCAAATACACACAAGAAAACAAGCTAAAATTTTCTTTGTCAGTACTATATATGTGTACTATATATGGACCAACAAAAAATGCATACAATTTTGAGTCACTTTTAAATAGTTGTCACACATTTCATTTCACAAATCAATTCAAGTTTAAACACGTATTATGTATAAACATTATACACATTTAAGACATATATAGTACGTGCCAACTGCACGCCTGTACTACATCCATTTAAATTTGATAGTTGCATTAATATGTTAAAAAATATACTTTAGAATAATGTGACAAATAATTTCAAATTGATAAAACCTAAACCATGAAAAATAAACGATGACATTAGCACGTGGCTTTTCCTATCGTTGATTGTAACTTTATCTAATAATCCTCTCTACCTCATGTTTTAATCTACCCTTTCATATTGACTAATTTAACACTATTAACTCTCAATTCACTCCGGCCATGAAAGCTCTCCCTCAACATTTTCTCCACTTCAAGACTTGATGGTACTAAATTCTCACTCTTGTCATGCAATCCTCCATCTAATTAAATAGATATAAGCTGTCAAAATAACCGTTGCAAAAACATACTTGGTAGTGTATATATAGAGTACAATTTTCTACTCGAATTTAATACACAATATAAATTTGATTAATTAATTAAACTCCTCATCAATCTACAGTAGGTAGCTTAGATAGATAATCATAATACTAGAATTGTTATCTCATACACCGTAACTTTATTACCTCTCTCATATTTATTAAAAAATTACGTGATGTTTTATTTACACAAAAACAGATATGGTTATTTTAAGAAAATAATAATAATTGTAAAATATAAGCAGTATTTCATTATGCATTCGTGCGGTAGACAATGGTCGTCAGGGCATTCAACAATTGTACCGCACGTCGTCAAATCTTACAAATTGGTAAAGTTAAAAAATGTAGTGTATGAAACAGGACATTTTTCACACTGCTTTATAAGATTCCTACCGGTCAAACTAATTAACTAACTAACTCCCCAGTCCCCATATATATTTTCTGGACGGCTGCTTTTCGGCAATGGGGTAATGGTAGTAGGTTCATGATATGCTTCACGCACGCATGTCTTAGCTAAGCATGCCTTACTAAATGTAACTATACTAGTAGATTTCGATTGTATGTTATAAACACAATATGGATTCATCACTCATTGACCTCGTGCCTTATTTAAATAATACTACGTAGTTATCTACTTATCTTAAATTATGTGTCACACTCTTATCGGATAATATATGATGATATGGAGTAGGTCAGGTTATGACCGATTTATCTGTTTAAGAGAATTATGGAGCAATTTTGTTTCGATTATTTATCGTATTAGAATTTATATGTTATTGAGAGTGGTTATTATGGGGGCGCCCCAGTTGCTCTTCTTGAGAAACAAGAAGTGTTTCTCTAGTGGCAATTGTGTAATAAAAACGCTTTGGGAATTGTAAACAAATAGTATATTAATCTGAACATTTGCTGGTTGTGGGTTCCACTGATCTGGTGAGGTGGACCAGTGTAGGCAACATTAGACAGTGAAGTTAACAGCGTTTGTTCAACAGTTTGTCAAAATTATTGTTATTCATCATTCATATTCAAGGTTATTTCTCAATGTCATCGGAGCGAACCAACAAATCTGATTGGAGGATCAGTCAGAGAAGTCCAACGAAATTGTTGTGTTGGTCGTGTCGTCGGATTATTCCAGATCTGAAGTTCGTCTTTCCCCTCCACCCACAATACCATCACCTTCCTCTTTCGTCTTTCACCTCCACTGACAAGGGCGACAACAAACACCAACACCGTACCGACGACAACCACCATCATCGCCGCCAAAATCAAATTAAAGCCCCTATAAGAAAGGGTAAAATTTATGGCATGGTCAACCCTAAGGGTAAGGGTGACCGTCCTCCATTGAAGCTTCGCCGCCAAAGCTCGAATTTCTCCATTGAATGGCGGATTTGCCGCCGGAATTTAACGAAAATCCCTAAAGAAAATATTGAAAGTAAGGGTATGTTTAACCCCTTATGGATAGGTGTTAGACACTTGTGAGCTTTTTCCCTCCTCCGTTGAAGCTCCTACATACGAAGTCTGCATCACCGCCGCAAACGGCACCGCTTTGGGCTGTCCACCTTTGCGAACAGAGATGGACCTCTGATAAGGAGTAGGTAACTCTCAAGGGGATAACTATAAAGGGGGTAAAAATTACAAATTAAAACACTTAACATTCCGTCAAAACTAAAACTTAACGGCTTTTGTCAATGAAAATATGCAGTCATACGAAAATGTCAGTTATACCCTCATATCCCAACAAAAATAGACCAAATTACCCCCATGAGAAATGCTCCTTATTTCTCAAGAAGAGAAACTGGGAATTACCCGATTATTATGAGTTGTGATGACTCGTTAATTATTTTAGGTTGACTTCAAAAAAGTTGCTTGTGGAAAAAGCTTGAATTCACGGGATCCATTAATTATTTTTTGTTTGATCTTTAATGAAAATAATGAGCATGGGTGATAATAAGGCAAATCTAGTTGCGAGACTCTCAAAATCGATTTGGTGATAATCTAAAGAGAATCAAAACTCAAATTTGAGTCAAACTTAATTAATAATAAGACAAGAAAAGGTGACTTGAAGTCAACATTATCAACCATAAACATAAACCCATAATTGAATGCAAAATTGGCAAATTCTACAAATTACATACCAACAAGTAAAATCCAAATGGAATGTATGTGGGGATCGATCAAAAAGTCTAAATGTATTTGAATTATTATGTATAAAATTTACTCGTATTAAATATTAATTCTACATTATTAAGTAAATTGGAACAAATACAAAAAAAATTAAATTATGTTCTCATGGTCTCACCCTAAAACACAAATGTATTTATTGTTGATTTTTAAAAAAATGATGAAATAACCGAAGTATTACAGAATTTCAAATTACATATAACACTCCTAAATAAAATAAAACAAACCATACCAACAAATCTTCTCCGATCAATGGTTAGCATCAATTTCGTACCTCTAGTAATAATAGCGGTATGAATGACAAAAACAAAATCGATGAGTACCGTAAAGATTGTCATCAACTCAACATTGACGTAGAAATGCAAAAACATACAATGACACTTTTATATGAAGCAGTCAAAATCAAAAGGCCTGGATTACATTCCAAATGTAGAGCCCTCTTATAATATTTTCATCCAATAAGTAAGTGAAACATACACCTATGAAATGAATTGGAATTTTGGAAACATCTCACCAAAAATCAAGTTTCTGCTGCGAAGTTTCAATACATTTTTATGTACTCGGTTTAGTTGTGATGTTGAAACCCACGAGCACAACTCACCAAGTACGACCCACATCCACATGCCTCACCTAAACGCTCCTTTTACATCATCATGACATATAATTAGATTTTTAATAAAGTAATTAACTTTAATTTGTATACTTCTACCTTCGCTTAATGAATTTTACTTAGATTTTTATAACTATGTCACCAACTTTTTACTACTACTACTACAGCTATTTGATTACCGTACGGCATGAAATCTTGCCGAATTTGCGCGCATGAAGTTATTACAACTTGTAAAACTTTACCGTGTTTAACAAGTGTTTAATTTTGACACTTTCCTTCTTCTTACTACTACTACTACGTATTTCATTTGTGGGCTTTGAATTTCTTTGTCATCTCTCATTAAGTAGCTAAGCTCCACTAATTGACGTACATGATTATAACATGACTATTACAAGATTATTACGTACCTGCAACGATTTACCACGCTATCATCATGATATCTGCACTTTTTGTGATCCTTTTATTTTTATAAGATTTCTTTTGTCTTATTTTTTGTTCACTGCTACTAAGATATTTTTGTCATCGAATATTATAAAATTAATTTCGAATAGAAAAAGTATTAAGCTGTTTAAAATATAACGGTGATGTTATTAATTCAAATTACACTATCATTATACCGATTAATCAATATTATCTAAGCACGGACTTGATTGGTTGCTTGATTTGATGTTAATACTAGTCGAAAATTGCTGCGGCAAGTATCATGTTTTAATTTTGGTACTAGGAACAATCAAATTCAGGAATAATCCAGTCGAATTTCAGCCCCCTGTTTGTTCTGTTTTCACTCAAAAAAGAATGATTATAATAACTTTCAGTAAACTTTTGATTTATAGTTAATATTTTTTCCAAAGAATATACTTTTCCAAATTTACTACTTTCCCTCCAACTCACCAAAAAAAGTTGCCTTTTTTTCAAATTTACTATTTCCTCATTCATCTTTTCAATAACACATGAAAAAAATAGAACCTATTTCCCCTGTTAATTAATTACACAAAATTTCACCCGCCAAACTAAAATTAAAAAAAATTAATTAATTAAACAAGTAAAGATTGATCTTGATCGTATTTATGAGTATGTTTATCTTCTTCTTGAACAAGAAGAGGAGGAGAAGCATGATCAGTAAGATCCTTAGCTCTTTGAGCCTCATTTTCCCAATCTGTTCTACTCAATACCAACATCATTGTGATCACACAAGACCCTTGGGCAGCTAATAACCCGAGCCACATCCCTTCGAAGTCGAACCCGGCGAAGAACCCGAGCCATACCGCCACCGGCATACCCACCAAGTAAAAGCATCCTAAGTTAATATTGGCACCAACTTTGGGCCGGGCCGTCCCACGTAAAACCCCGCAGCCCGTTGTCTGCGGGCAGTTTCCGAGCTCACAAAGCCCAATTATTGGCAAAACCAATGAGGTTAGCTTGATAATGTCTCCGTCTTTGGTGAACATCCCGCCCCATTTCTCCCTCACCATGAAGGTGAAGAAAAGGGCTGAAAACCCAAGTATGAAGCTGAAGAACAGGCCCGTTACGGCGGCCCGTTTGGCCCGCATGGGCCGGCCCGCACCAAGCTCGTTGCCGACCCGGGTGGAGACACTGACGCTCAAGGAGGAAGGGAAGATGTAGATGAGGGAGGTGGTTTGGATGAGGATCCCCATCGACGCGACGGTGGCCTTAGGGTTGACAAGGAGGCCGCAGAGGAGGATCATGATCTCGTACCACCACCACTCGAGGCAGACGGAAATGCAGCTAGGGATAGCCAGCTGAAGTAGCCTTGTGTACCCTTTTAAACACTCCTTACTAATAGGAGCCCAACCTTTCTTACAAGATTTCGAAAAGAAAACATACATCATTAGAAAAAGTATCATATTATAGTTAGTCAAGACGCCAGCCAAAGCCACCCCTTTGATCCCTAGCTTAAGCTTGACCACCAAGAGCCAGTTAAGAGGAAGATGTAGCGCGATGGCTAAGGCCGCGGTGAAGGTGAGAGGTAAGGTGATGGACTGAGTCCTAAGGTAGATTCTTAGCGGGTGTAGAATGGACTGAGCCAAAAGGTCAGGTAAGGTGTAGATTAAGTATGCTTGGGCTTGGACCGCGATTCCTTGGTCTTGGCGGCATAAGAAGAGAAGTTTCTCCATGTTGAGCCACAAGAAGGAGATAGGGAGAGAGATAAGTAGTAAAAGGATAATAGTCCTTTGAAGAGTAAGGCCAAGGAGAGAATGTTTTTTAGCACCAAATGCCTGACCACATATTGGTTCCATACCCATAGCCAACCCGGATAAAACAGAGTAGCCAGTAATATTAGCAAACCCTATCGCTAGCGAGCCGCCTGCCAAGGCAAGCTCGCCTAGTCGGCCTAGAAACAACATTGATATCATTGAGCGTGAGTATAGTAACAAACCGGTAAGTATCATTGGTAACGCGACATCACCTAGTAACTTAGCCTCGCGTAAGGAGGAAACACAACCCGAACTTGAAATTGAGCTGATACGCGACTTATGATCAATATCCGTATCATTATAACTATCATTATTCGTAGTAGTAAGAGGAGGAGGAGGAGGAGAAGTTGGGTGGTTATAGATAAGTAGTGTAGTAGTATGATGATCTTGTGGTGAATGTAAAAGGGAGGATATTTTGGGTGTTGGAGAATTGGGTAGCAATGGGGCATGCAAGCTGGCCATAGGGTCATCATTGGTTGATATTGTAATTGGGTAATTTGTTGGTGATTGGTTTGAGTTGCATTTGCTGGAGATAAATCCATCATCTGAGCCTGCCTGCTTGCACATTTTTGGGAACAGAATATTTTTAGGAGAGAGAAAAATTAAGAGAGAGAGAGAAAGAAAGAGAATATGTGAGAGAGAAAATGAGAGAAGAGGCTGTTTCTTGTTTGGAGTTAGGGGGGAAAGGCTGGCACGGTCTTTATATATAACGGGGGTAGTATTTGTGCTCTACCTTTTGAATTTACTATTTTTTTTGTATTCTAGTATTTCTAAGATTGGACCATTTTTAAAATAATAATAAAAAATAAATTTTTTTTAAAAAAAAAACAGGAATCCTAATATTGATGTTGAACTATACTGTGCAAGTATTTTTTTTATACAAGGGGTAAATTGTATATCACGCAGTTTTTCCATGTCATAACATGATTTTTCGGTGTGAGGTCAAGGGATGTATCTTATTAATTTTATTGTAGAAGGATTTTTTCTTAATAATTTCTCCCTTAAATGGACTTCCTCCTTATTCTTACTATTAAAGGAAAAAAGAAATACTAGTTGTTTGTTATTTTAAATCATTAAATATCATTTTGTTTGGATAAATGAACGTCCGAGTATAATATTATGTACTTGTACGCGATTTTAATTATATCTAGTATGGTTATAGGAACACAGATCATGCAAATATATATTTTTAATACTTCGTATTTGAAATAAGAAACACAGGTCATACTACTTTAGATTATCTCTTCAACTAAATACATTACAAAAATTCTTAATTTAAAAATATGCAATAGGATAACATTGTTTCATAGTTTTTTTTTTTTTTTTTTTTTTTTTTTAATAAAAATAGTGGGGATCACTCAAGCATGAGTTTTAATGGGCGGTGTGAAAATCAAATACTATTGTTATTAATGATCTTATTATAAATACTTCTTTGGTTTTATTTAACTGCATCATTTGAAATTTTATACTATTTACACAAATTCTTGTGGCTGTGTTTTGTGATTTCTGTAAGAAAAAAAATATGAAATGACATCTCATGATTCATCAAAACATTTATTTATTTTTATTTAAATATAATTAAATATATTAATGATCAAATATTGCATCGACAAATGTAAAGTGACGAGAGAAAGTATATTTTATGAATAAAAACAACAGTGACTCAAATAAATAAATTAAAATTAAAACAAGTATCAAGTGTGTAACTAAGATTGGGCCCCATAAAGATGAATAAGATGTCAAAAAATGGAGGCCCGATTCGATTACTGTATTAAGATTAGTTATAATTACCCATTATAACTATAATATCTGTCAATGAGCTATATATCACCGACTCTAACATCACTTTGATTCAATTTCTCCTGTCGTTAAGATTTTACCAAGTCAATGTAACATTTTTCTCGTGGACCAAGTGTTGTGAATTTTCAACAGTTTGGAGAGTTCATTAATAGTTATGGGCCTTTGGCGGCAAAAACCATAGTACATGTACACGAAATTTAAGCTACTGATAAAATATTACGGGCCTGTTCTAATAGAGTGAAATCAGTTGAACTGAACTAAATTGAACTAAACTGAACTGAACTGAATTGAACTAAACTGAACTGAGTTGAACTAAACTTAACTAAAATGAATATTCTATAAGAGAAGGAAATTAGGAGTTGAACTGAACTGAACTGAACTGAACTGAAAATAAACGTATGAGAACAGGCCCGACGTAGATAACAATTTGACTGTTATATTCGCGCTTTAGTGGTTTAATTGTTATATTTCTTATAATGGTGAATAGAGTTAAGGAACATATTTATTGTATGTATTTGGGCTTCAAGTAGGCCATCTAACAAAAGTTCAACCAATTATCAAAGGAAAGAAAAGGTCAACTACACTTGTATAATTATGTTATGTCTAACATAAGTTGTACTATAACTAACACAACCCTAACGGTGGATGCTTGCTAATTGCTATTGAGACATTCATCACAATGCCATTAGTACTATTTTATTATTGGACAAAATTGGTCAATACTTTATTAGTTACTTGTCATAACATTTTGACTAAAATGAGAATATTGAGTGCATGCATAGAAAATGATACAACTATTCAAAAACAAACTGTTGGTTAGAAAATTAAAATTGATTTGGAATAAGAAGCATTAAAAAACATAGGAAAGTCAACTTAAGTCTTCCATATTAGGTTTTCTATTCTTCGACTACATCTTTTCCTGCATATTTCTCACATTTAAACGAAATGATAACTTCTTATGGCAAAAATACAATTTTATAACACTTTTGTGCCAATGTACGTACAAATGGGGCTAGAAGTTATAAGTGAAGTTAAAATTTGGGAGAACAACACTTGTGTCAAGTATCAAAGTATGACTATGTCTAAATTGTCTACCATAAACCACACCAAAAACAAAATACGCGGGAAAAAACTAGAAAATGGACAAAAGAAACTTCTAATAACATGGGCTAAAGCCTAAAAGGTATACTAGTGTATAGTAAGAATGTAATATAGCAGCCTTTTTTTCAGTCTTCTTCAACTTCTTATGGTTAGAAATTAGAGCTAGTTGACATATATAATGAACGTGCAATTTGGTTAATACTAGTACACTACATACAACTTAAAATAATGAGTAGGAATATTTTGAATTTTCCATTAACGGTAATAGATCGTCAATGCCGTAGTCTTCCATTTATATGCCTAATTACTGATTAGGACTATACGAGTCATCTAATGTTTGAAATTAGACGTTTAAATTAGCAAGTTTGTGAAGAAATTTCGTACGTGTTGTATGACGAGATCTAGTGTAAGGTCAACGCAAATCTTGAATTTGCTAGAACCTTTGGGGCTTTTTGTGTGGTCCTATGTTCAACTCCCTTTGTAATTTTTTTGTGATTCAATTAATTATTTCACTTTGAATGTCACGTTAGTTAATTAAAAAATATAAGTGTTAATAATATGTTTAATTATCTATTAAGTTAATAAAAATTATTTTAAAACTAACAATATAGTACTAAAACTTTGTATATTTGGACAGATCTAATATACGTTTACCAGTATTATATTTTCTTGCTAAATAGTGAAAATGTGACCAATACGAAGCTTGTGGAGTACATTCCAATTTGGTATTGTAGTATATTTCCTTTATAATTTATTAAACTCGGATGTCGTCGTATGTATCATGTAATACTTCTATTTCTCTTTATGTTTGCACAAGGCTAAACTAATACAAGTCCGACATATAAAACCCTATAAATGTTATTATTAATCTATGGGTCTCATATGAGTAATAGGACTAATAGTTCGTACATTTGTTATACCATATTGATCCTATTCTTGTTTTGATTGAAAATAAATAAGTGTCGGCATTCTTGTAAAGGCATTTAAAGACTCGTTCTAGATGTGACTGAAGTTATTGAAGAAGCTCATCACAAAATAATTGCCACCGTTATGTAATAAATACTCCAATGTTATGAATGAAACTAACTGTACAAATCAAGATATGAAGAAAGTTAGGACTTTAGGAGACAACACAAACTCTTTTGAGAGGTAAGAGGTCAGGCCATGTAACTTAACCATAATGTTGCTTGTTGCTACTAACTATTAGAATAATGACTTAGTTATGAGTACAATTGAAGTGATGAAACGAAGTTAAAATTTTTATTTCAAATATACTTAGGCCCCCAACTTTCTAATATGTAGGGTCTGTTCTTTTCAACTTATTTTCAGTTCAGTTTAATTCAGTTCAGTTCAGCTCTAATAAGTTCAGTTCAGTTCAGTTCACTTCATTTCAGTTCTTAATTTCCTTCTCTCATAAAAATATTTAGTTCAGTTCAGCTTTAATAAGATAAATTCAATCCAGCTCCAATAAGTTCAGTTCAGTCCATTTCAGCCAATCAGAACAGGCCCGTACTGAGTATTACTATACTTAAATTATTTTATTTTACTTAATATTCCTCCTTTCATTTCATAATCTCATAAAATTTTGACTTTTTACATTACTCACTCACTCAGTAGTAGTCAGTAATTCAGTACTCACACACCTAACTTATGTTTTGTTACTATATAATAGATATACTAGTGTGTAGTGCATTTTTTTTGTGGCTAGTTTCATGGTGTGCCTAGAGTTACTTAAATTATTATGGGATTACTCGATCAATTAGCAATTTTTTTGTGTAGCTGGGCACATTATGTGACTGACTGACACACACTAAATACTTAATTAATAGGTAATCTTTGTCCGATTAATTAACTCTTAATTGAGTGAACCCTGATTAAGTTACCCCTAATCGAGTAACCTCCTAATAAATAACCTTGTTTAGAATAAGTAATCTCTATTAACAAAAAAAGATAATCTGACCACATGGTATGATCAAACATATATGAAAATTTGTGCTACTAGTATATAACGTACTCGTATTAACGTTTACTAGTGCAAGTGTATTCTATTTTGGGGAGGAATAATACTTGTAGTCTTGTAGATTGAGTTAAGAAAAAGGAAAGTCTTACATTTTACACTAAAATAAAAAGGTAGGTCCAATGAGTATGTGTGTTCAAGTGTAGTAGTGACAACTGACAAGTAACTGGTATCCACGTGATGCAAGTTACCCAATATTTTACTTTTTTTTCTTTTTGAGAAGACATTCCACCCTTCTTTTAATTTGGTCACAATATACGTACAAATCACTTCAAATTTAAAATTAACTTCTAATATGGGGTACTACTATATAACAAATTAAAGTTGTTTTTGCATGCATGAAAGAATCTTTATGTGTTTTAGTTCTCTTCATAACGTTTTTTATTGACTCTTACTTTGGAGTTTTATTCAAGTTTCCTCGACATGAGAAAAATCATACTCGTACAATGAATTAAAAAGAACTAATTAAAAAACACAACTTTTTATGGTAAGTTAATACTTGCTCTATTTTTTAATACTTGTAACACTTTTCTAAAATGAAAATGTCACAATACTTGCAACATAGTATAAATGAAAAGTTATTTTAGGGAAAAACTATATTATTTCTCTTATTTAAAGCATATGGTCCACCAAATTACACTCCTAATATTCATTCATCTCATTTTAAAGTGTATTATATCATGTAAACCCCACATTTATTATATATAGTGAAAAAATGAATGTGCATCTATTAAAAAACCGAGGAAGTACGAAATAGTACTCACATATTGAGAATATAAATTGAACTACAAAAATGATATGTATGTATATGAACGTATTCCATAGTTTTGAAGAATCAAAGTAATGAGTATTGGCCTATTGGGTATTCAACTATTCATAGTAGGTCATAGTAGTATTTCACTAAAATAATCTGATACTCACATTGTTGTTTGATAGAATATCGGTCTATGTCCTCAAAAATCACATACACGATTTGTTTATTATAGCAGCACATAAAAATGTTAAGTGTTTTAGAAGGCCACATACCGAGAAAAGAGATAGAGAGAAATAAAACAGGTACTCCTATGATAATAAGGTGGTAAGTTTAGAAAAAAAACATTGTGCACATAAATGAACAAAAGACGTTTAAAACAAAATTGTTTCATGCTTAATATAAATTTGTGAGTGAATTCATCTATGTATAAATTTATTGAATGATGTTCGGTTACACATAAGAGGCTTTTAATTATAGTTACCTATAGGCTACAAACACAACTTTGATCGAACAAGCTAAGTAAGATTATTATAGCAGTAGTGTATACTAATTTTACTTTATCCTGCTCTTACAACTTTTTTTATATATTAATAAAACATAAACTATTCAATCCCTACAAGGCTACAAGGGCTAAACTAATAATAAGACAGCAAAAGAATTTTGTTTAGGATAAAAGATAAGAATGGAGAAAGAAAAGTTTGAAGTAGCAACTAGCATTTAGTAAGCGTTTGTGAATAAGCAAAGTATCTTGCTAGAAACTGTAGAAATTGCCCTAGAATTTTTTTGTCGATCTTTCGGCTAAGTACTAGCCAAAAAAGAAAACTTTATTATCTTGTTCAAATAAAAAAAGTTGATCCTTTTATCTTCTTCTGACATATTCACAATTCACGAAAGCACATTTTGGCGAATTGTTCTTAGCTTCACTTGGTGAAATACACGTGCCAATCATATTGGATAGTATATTTGTTTTGGGTTCATCCACATTTTCTGTATTATGACGTGGCGATAAAACTTATGTTACGTGTCAATTTTGACACCCATTGTAGCCCTATTAAGACTAACTATGGTCAACAAGCCCTTAGGACGTACTGTAGTGATTAATGTAGCACGGTCTTTATTTAATTCGGTCATATATATTTGGAATGAGAGTAATGTATTACGAGTACTAAGGTAATACAGTTAATGATGTGATTGTAAGGGGTTTTAATAGTAATAGTGCAGTGTAAGGTAAATAAACTATCACCCTTATTTTATCAATATAAGGTAAATAAAATAAACTATCGCCCTTATCTTATTAAAATTGAATATAAGAAAAGAACAAAAGACCTTAGCACATTTTATCTTAAACACTTTATTTTATTAAAACTGACAATAAGAGTGTAAATTTATTAAACTTTATTGAAGCATTTTTTTTTTATCTTATAAGCGTATGCATATTACATCGAAACCTTTAAACACGCACATTATAACTCTTCTATAAGCCCTAATAATATTTGTATATGTGATACTGGAGTCCTACAACCTGCACTTGTATTTACATTTTACATGCATCATCATCATCATCATCATTCGTTATTTTAACATAAACTTTTTTTTAGTACAGTAGCATTTTCACAGGAGAATAGTAAAAAATAATGTCTGCTGATTGTTCATAAAAAATGATTAGTACCAAACATCGGCCAATTTCCAGACCAATTTTGTAAAACCAAAGAGGAGTAAAATTTTGTCAAAAGAAAAGTCTCAAAAAAAGGTGGGTCCATTATATACCAACTTGAAATCGGTATAGAGTATGGTCGGAAAATTTCGGACCGTAATAGAATTGGGAAGCAAAGTAGTGACCACCAATAGCTGTAACAAAGCTGTGTTTTGTGGCTTTGTGCAAGCTTGGTTGAGATGTCACCTTAAAATTTGGGTGTAAATCACAAACTTGCTTGTCCATATTTTTGATGAAAATCATGGTCCTATTTTTGGTCACTTCCTTTCTTTGATTGATGACCCTATATTAACCATAAGGGTCACTTAATGTCATCAAATTCTATCAAGTACCATCCCTCTCTAAAGGACCACTAAAAGATTTTTCCATATCTCTCTTCTACTACTACCTCCCATAAGGGTTAGCCTCCATCCCAATAACAACTAACAAGCTAATCAAATTAGTCGAGCGAGAATGACACACTACTAAGGTGTCTGAATGGCTGTTATCAGTATACGTTGTCAGTGTCTTATACAGTAATTATTGGTAATCCTTTTAGGACCGCTTAGAGAAACTGTTGTCCTTTCTATCATAAGCTTAGCTGTGTGAAGTAAGGTTTTGTTAATAATTTTGAATCAAAATATTTGAAGTAGAGAGTAAAGAATACAACCTGACAATGTGATAAGATATACTTGAATCATAAACGAGTGATGATACATTTTGTAATATTTTCTTATAATTTGATACGTTTATGATAGGTCCACTATTGATGTTGCCAAATCTTATACCCTAGCTACACCAATGGACCATCCTATTTTTACTTGATTAGTGCATTCGATTTGCTTTATATATCACTATGTTAATGTGTCAACAACTCAACATCTAAACCATTCCTAGCTAAGCCGTTTCTTTTTATCCCTTCTAATGTATGTGAATTTGTAGTTCTAAGAGTTGATAAAGTTGGTGCAGTAAGCCTTATCCTCCACATCTATATCATCAAAGCTATGTCAATTGCAACAATAAGCAACAATTATCCAGTTCATCCTTTCATGATCTCCTATCCACTAAATACAAATATCTCCTAATTACTACTAGTACTAATAATTGTACACAAAAAAGATTCAAGGCAGGGGATAAGGAGTAGCGCCTACCAATTCAAAACTCCTCGAGAATCAACCAAACATGATTTAGCAAACAAGGTTCCTTGTGAAGTTGAGAGTAGGTAACAAGAAATCCCACATCCAAAGTACAAAAACTAAGCATTAGAACATTCAATTGCACTACTTTTCTTTGCCATAACTGATACACACATTAAATAAGGAATTACGATAGTGGGAATGATTGATTGAAGGTAGTAATTCAAGTCGTCTAGATTCAATCTGAAAACATGGAGGCCGCAAACCACTTCAACCTACTCAGCAAGAATAGGAGATCACTACAAAAATAAACCAAAGCATACTTGGTAACGTTGTTACGGAGTATAACATAAAGCTGAGTTCCTGACTGAGGAAAACCATGCACGCAAAGGTCATACACAAGATACACAGAGCACAGACCTGAAGGGTGCAAGTCACGGTTTTTTTTTTAGAATTTTAAACAAATTTAAATTTAAGTCATCGAAAATTGGTGAGAATCAGGTACTACTGTAATACAGAGCTGGACTAACTACGAATGATTTAGCCATTACTAATATTCTTACATAAATCTAAGAGAGCATGTCACAGCTTCCGCCTTTTAGAACTGGAAAGCAGCCAAACTGGAACAAGATTGAAGCAAAGCAGGATCAAGATTGCGATCTTTCACGTGCTAGAGGCGAGGGACTGCAACACAAAACAATTCTAGATTAATATATGAAAATCCAACTGCAAAATTAACTATAAGATTCCAAAAAATAGAGAATCAACCTTCTATATCTGTCATCCACTGGGCTTCCATATTCACCGGTAGGGCTCTCTCTCAAGAAAGGCTTGTTAATCGGACTCCTGGGTTCTTGAGCATCATCAGAGATGGCCCCTTCCTCAGGATAAGGGCTTGAGCTAAGGGGACGACCATGACCATGACCATGACCATTTTTCTCTCCACGAGGACTTCGACTACGCTCACGAAAATCAGAAAGCTTCTCTTCAGGACGTGGGCTGGAACTACGTGCACGACTATAATGTGGGCTACTCCTTGATGCCTGGCGAGGACTACGGTTCATACCATTTCCATATTCTGGGCTTCGCTGTACCCGACGAGGACTGCGGCTTAAACGATTCCCATATTCAGGACTCCTCTGTACTCGCCGAGGACTACGACTAGAGCCATTCCCATACTCAGGACTGCCACGCTCTCTCCTATAGGCAGCAGGGCTGGAGCCAGTTCCGTAATCTGGACTTCCTCTCTCTCTTTTGTAAGGACTTGGTGACCTCCTCCTCCTACTAGGTGATCTGTCACGGCCTCTCCTATCTGGGCTACTGCCACCTCTTCTTTCGTCATCATCACGAGCAGCATACTCAACTGATATGACTCGATCCATTAGCTTGCTGCATGATAAATGTTGTACCAATATTACAAAATATAGACAGACAACGAAAGAGGAACATTCAAAGCTGAAATGAAACAAAACAGTGAATAAACATGATAATCTATAAGTGTTGGAAAAAAAAAAAAACTGACCTTAAGTTTGTTGCATCCAGAGCTTTAGTAGCATCATCCTGGGATTCATACTGTACAAATGCAAAATTTCTTCGGATCCTCACATTAACAATCTTCCCATATGGATCAAAATGCCTTTCCAAGTCCCTTGTCTTTGTATCATAAGGGAAATTAATAACAAATAAGGTCTTAGAAGGCCTTAGATTGGCAGATCTTCTTGTACTGACTGGTTTTCTGCCACCTCGTTCATGCTGAAGGACAGATTGACATCATAAGAGATTTATATGCTGATATGCAAGGTAAAAAATAAACAAAAAGGTACATGAGAAGTCAAATGTATGCAAGCTACCTTTGTCCATTCAACACGAAGCCTCCGCCCTTTTCTACCAAATTCAGATCTATCAAGGGCTCGAATTGCATACTCAGCATCTCTGTCATCGTCCATGTAAACAAATGCAAATCCTAAGAAAACATGAAACAAAAGAAAATCAGCAGATGAGACAACAGAGAAATATACTAAATTAAGCTTCACAAACACCTTCAATAAATCCCACTGTAGGACTCTATGACATCCCTGCCATACATTGACAAATATCGAAATATAGAACTTCCTGAAGAAAATATTATATATATGCACCACTTAAAACTATAAAGCTAAGTGAATTTACCAACAGACCTTCTGAGATCGACTAAATGATGTCAAGGACAAATTCCAAAAGTTCATGGAATGACAGTGATAGAAGGGACATCTCCACGTATGCTGCTGCCTCCGCTGCGAGGTCGGCAAGGTAAGTGCTATGAAATATGTCCAAAATTAGAGGTTGGACAAATGTCACAAGAAATGGGAGGCAATGGTGGTGTCTCATGCAAGTGCAGGATGGTAGTGTCATCGTGGATGGATCAGACAGGCTCTTCTTTGAAGAAGAAGAGGAAAATGTGACATAAGCTGGAAATAGAGGGAATGGCCCTTCCATCAGCCAAGGGAGATAAGAATATGCCAATACATTCCTGCGCCAAAGAAATCGTTGAGTACAGGGGCTGACACTTTTAAACAAAACAGTTTTCTTCTTAATGTATCTTGAACCCCATTACAACTCAACAATTGACACAGATTTGTCCGAACGAATCCTGATCAATAATTGAGCAACCCACGATTAGTGCACCCTCAAAAACAGAAGTTACCAAAATCAGTTGGCTCGGTATTTTGGGATCTGCTTCATGGGCTGCTGACCTTTCACACGCTATTTCCCATATAGTTTGTACTTAAAAGGCCTGCAGAGTATCTCGCAGTATTCTCTATTTTCCTTATGAATCCAAATTCATAAAAGATTTGTATAGCTGTATCTTTGTAAGATTGATGTCAGACACCGCACATTCTCTAATGGCACTTCCCCAGGCAAAATTTGGGCATAAATTTTGAAATTTAACAGGCAAAAGTAATCACTTGAGCCCTTAAAAACCTTTTTATTTTCCACGTGATGATATCCAAATAAAATCATTATAACAAGACTGGATCCACAGTAACACTTCAATATGTACTATCTTAATGACACTGAACACTTCAATATGTACATACAGGCAAAAAAATTGATGACAAGTTTCAAAGTAATTCAGGAGACACTAAATTTTCGTTAAACAATACTGATTTCATCCACTGAGAGACTATTGTAAGTTCAGATATTTAACCATAAAAAATACAAAGTACAACAGAATTCCAAAAGCAAATTCATACTTTAAGATGCTTAATAGTTTCAACAATGATCAGTAAACAAAACGAAAACTTCCATACTGCTTGCAAAGTAAACAAATGTAAATCACCTCATTTATTTAACACGAACATGAATTCTAAACATTAACACCAATTTCCCTCTCTAAACCAAAAAATACAAGAGTGAAATTTTACTGATCCTATTTTTATACTTCCAATTAAGGAATTTTTTTTTAAAAACAAAATGCTGACTTCTTATTACTACCTCCGTTACATATTATTTGCAACGATTTGACATAAAGTAAAGAGGGAAAATGTCTAATCATTGCAAATAATATGTAACGGAGGTAGTATATTTTAGCTGTAAAATGAAAGCTTTTGTGACCTTAACAAGAGGGGTAAAAAAATCTTATCTACAAAGCATTCTAACCTACCAACGCCCCAGTACTGCTGCCTCCATTCCAGTAGCAATATCCTTAAGTTCAATGACTATATCACATCCTTCATCCACACAATACAAAACCATGCTCAACTTTTCATGTTTAAGATGCATTTTCACAACACTAATCAAATCAGTTGACATTCAAACTTTGTGATAGCCATAAATTAATGTACACACTCGCCAAAAAGTGAGCAAAATGTTGAGATATAGTCAGGGGTTTTACAGGATGTTTATTACTCCACAACATTTCAATAAATTTATTCTTTTTTGTAAAAATAATGTTGTCAAACATGAGAGAGTATTCCTATGTTAAACAGGCTTGGCTCTGAACAACGTGCCTAGGTGTCCATACCAATGTTGAAGTGTCTTGGGAGCAAATAAGAAACATATTTCAATTAGACGGTTCTGTAGGGGTTCAAGGAATGGAGGTAATCAGAGGTAGAGAGTAGGGGGGGGGGGGGCAGCAGACGGCGAAGGTAGAGTCAGGTGGCAGGGAAAGGAAAGGGGGATCGAGATTATTAAAACTAGATATCTACCTCATCTACTGTAAGTTAATGGTTTATGCTAATTTAGGTCTTGACAGACTTTCAAATGTAGCCAAGGGTTATTGTGCAAATTAATTTTGTTCTTTCGGTTGAAAGCCTAAAACATTGTATTCATGCAGAATTTCTTAAACAAAATGAAATATGTGTATCCAAGATTCTGAGCTGGAAGCAAGTTAGGCAATAGGCATTAATGGAGAAGTAGCTCCAACAAACAAATAAAATTGATATCACAATTCATTGTTGAATTTGGAAAAATCAAGGAATACAAAACTGAGTCGTTTTACTGTTTTAGCATGTGCAATTTTAGCTAGTACATAAGCGATGCAGAATAAAACACATAAAGCAAAAACTAAAATATCAGACATTAATCAAGAATATTACCAGACTTCATATCCACTCGATCAACTTTTCCATATCGTCTGAAAAGGCGCTCCAGATCAGAAGAGCGTGCATCGTAATCAAAGTTGCCACAAAAGATTGGCCTCATTTTTCTGAAAAGTATTGAACAAACTTCAGAATTCTTACTTAAGGATTATCCCACTTATGAGATTAAGGCTGATTGATTGAACAGATGATTTATAAAGTTTATGGAATGATACGTTTCTCAGTGTCACAAAATAAAAAAACCAAGTCTCTCTCAATCTTTCCTTTCCCTGTCCCCACTTTCTTTTCCCCTGATGACTATAATTAAATTATGGTCTTTTTGGAAATATGAATTTCATTCAAATTCTGAATTTTGGATCAATTCATTTGTTTGGAAAATAAAAAAAAAAAATTCAATTCTCTAACAATGGTAATTGCTTCAAATGACATTCATAAAGGCTTGCTCTTTTGCTCATCATTTCCCACATAATACATTTCTCTCTCATACCCGCAATAACAATTAAAACCACAGATAAGGCAAATCCAGCCGAAAATTGAGAAGTATAAACACAAGCAATAAACTACAGAACTAAAAATCCATCAAAATGTTTTTTACTTAAAAATTAGTATAATAAAGCTGGCTCAGCATCCATCATTAAACTAACAAGTAATCAATACCCTAAAAATGTCATTTCATACGGTTAAATTTATCCTAAAATACTTTCATGGAAAAATCCCCAATTCAAAAACCCTAACCCCAAACTTTAACAATTCTTTACAAAACCAATGATTTCCATAACATAATTCTGGCTAGTTATACTTAATTATCTGAAATTATCCACAAATTTCAATTTCTCTATACTTAAAACAAACAATCACAATAATTTTTATATAGAAAAATCACAGCAAAATCAGTAACAAAAACTAGATCCATCAAAACTACACCCAAAACTCGCAATTAAATCATCAAACATTATCACAGATCTACAACATTCAATTATACAACTAAAATCAAAATTAAAATAAATAAGGATAAATAAATAACAAGATCTGAAATAAATGTTCATTCAAAAAGCATACAAGATGAGAGAAAAACCTTGAGATTGCGAAACAATTTGCTACAATTTGTAGATGATTACAAAGTAAAACCCTAAATCTTGGAAAAAATGTTTTTTTTTTTTAATTTTTTTTTGGGGTGAAAAAGAGAGGAACCGATAGAATTCACGAGAGATGAGTTTTTATGTAATGAAGCAAGATTTGGTTATACAAGTTTTTCTTATTTACATAATTGCCCCTAAAACTTGTATTAATTGCAAGATTAACTTTTTCTGGGGATTTGTGTTAAATCATAGGAGTATGATATAACTGCTCGTAATTGTATTGGTTGGATCAGTCAACCAACCACCTTGTCCTCCTATCTCATCAATTTTCAGATTTATAACGTCAGCAGCTACAAAAATATCTACCATTCTTCTTCCACTCCTCTAAAATATCTTGGCAATAATAGAGGGAAAATAACAACTGCTCCTAAATCAACCATTCGGGTATATTTTTTAAGGCGTGTTTGGCAAAATATAGGTAAATATTAGGCATGTAATTGAGAGTTGTTCAGTTAATTAGAGATTTTAGTATTGAACTAGCGAAGGTGATAAATAATTAAGCATGTGTGTTTTGTAGAATAATTGTTAACGGTAAAAAAAATTGAAGAAAAATTTCAAGAGCTACCTTCAATTATCAAAAGCTACTTCAATAGTTAAACTGTTTCCACCACTACATTGCCAACACACTAAGGTTTTATTTTTTTACTAATGGCTTGAAAAAGTCAGTCCATTAGCTAGTGTCGAACATGCCTTTAAGCTTTATACGCTGACGTGTGTGTTAGATCAATTTGTTTCACGGAGTAATCTTTTAGAAAGAGAGGGAGAGTAACTTACACGGCCTTTATATTAGTTATATGTCGGTTTTTTTTTTGTTTTTTTTTTTTTTTTTTTTGTATATGATGTCTACCTTTTCTAAAACCTTTATTTTTATTTCTAACAACAAAAGCATAAGATAATGAAAACAACCCATTCAGATAATACGTGCCAAAAAATCTCATTCAAGTAATACCTTTTCTTTTTATATTGATAACAGCTCGTACATCACACGTGTCAAAGTGTAAAATTGCAGCTAAAATATGAAGTTACGAAAAGAAAATTAAATAAAATAAAGCAAAGAAATTGAAGTGTTGCTGGATCACATTGCATCCAGTGAGCCCAATGAAGATGGATCCAATGGCAAATGCCCATGAATATTGGGTTGAGTATAGTAGTTCTCAAAGCTAGATGATAAATCTTCTTCACTAGTTTGTGGCCCAGAAATATAGTCTTCTGGAGGCCCATAAACATTGAGTACTAATGCTATTTCAGATTGGGCCTTAACCAGTTGATTTTGGGCCATGTTTAATTCTTGTTGTAATTGGTAAATGACTTTAACACAACCATAAACTGGATCTTCAACTCGACAACGTGCTTCATAGTGTAAACAATTTGCTGCATCTTCTCTCAAGTGTACTGGAATCCTCTGCATATTAACAAGACAAAAAAAGTTACATTCATGTTCATTAGAATGAAAATACTTTGGATGGATCGATATCGAATTTTCGATTATAAATTGAGACTCTGGAGTATTAATTATCTAAGGTTGCAATTATTCATCAAAGAATATGAAATGATTTGGACAATGGTTCGTTGATCAAGACTTTTCAAAAAGGATACTTTTAGGACATGCTACATATATATAATACAATAGAACATACCCCGCGCACAATATATAGTGATCATAAACCATACTTTTTAGAAACTAAGGATAGTGTATACACCCTTATCTCTAATGACCAACATTAGATCGTATAAAGATCGTATACTAATAAAATACCTGAAGCATTCTGGCAATATTGCTGGCACCGTAGATTTTGTGCACATTTTCAAATCTTTTAGGATCATTTGAAGGGAAATAAGGTAAGAAAATGCAATCTGATGGACATCTTTTCCTCAAATATTTGCAAGCTGCACAACGAGAATGGTTAGCCATTATATTATTATACGAAGATTTAGCCAAAAATGTGAAAGATTTTATGAATCTATGTGTCGTTCTTTGAGTATAATCTAATAATATATGGAAGATTTTATACGGCCATAAATAATTAATTTATATTGCTAATGACAAAACTTTTAATTTTGTAGAGAGACATTAGAGCTTGTTATGGAGGGAAAGGAGATTCTAACGGCTAAATTTATTCAAAATTTGCGCTATATTTTGGAAAGTTTTTTTAGCCTTGATAGTTTTGGAGCGGCAGTCGTCTAGCCGTTACTCAGTTATACTAGCTCATTTAGCTTAATGCATTCAATTTTTAATTACAAATTTAATTTAATGCTTTTATTAAGGATATTATACACATACACTCATATACTTGTCATCCAATAGATTATTCATAATTTTTCCTCAAAAGAAGAAAAAAAATTAAATTATTCATAATTGAAAATAATACAAGGTTGAAACTTGACATACATACTCCCTCCATCACATAAAATCGCAGCATTTTGACTTTTACACTATTTATAGGTTTGCTTTGTCTCTCTCTCTCTCTTTTTTTTTTAATCAATATATTTTTGGATAACTAATGTATAAGAATCATATATATATTGTCATGTGATACAAGTCTTTAAATTTGTATGCATATTTTCATTAGATCAGGCTTTTATACTTCTCAAAATTATATAATAATTAATATTAATGTAATAACTAATATTAATGGTCAAAGTTGTGCATCAACATATGTGCCGATCAAAGTCTTGTGATTATAATGAAATAGAGGGAGTAAATAAATTGGTTTGACCATACTTGTACGCAACCATACATATACTTTTTTTTGGGGGGGGGGGGGGACAAGATTCTAAAACAAGACTTCGAACTAATTTTTATCATGAGCAAAGGCAATTCATGATGTTGATGTAAACCGTGTACTTGTGAACGAAGGTTGGACAATATCATGATTAAGCGATATACATACACTAGAAATAAGGGTTGGTAGGTCCGAGGTCGATCAAATTTGTCATAGGAGCAAAAAATGAAAATTTGGTTACAATTAGCTTTAGGCTTGTATGCTTGCTTGCTAAAAAATAAGGGGAGATGATAAATTTTAATTCTCTGAATCTCCACTATATATACTAAACAGAGTTTTTTCACTTCTTCTCTAATTTTCTATGTAATTTCTACTTCATTAGTTCAAAGCTATCTGCTTCTTATGGAGTCAGAACCAGCAAAATGCAAAGTAGGATTATCAACTTATCTCTATAAATCAACATTACATAAATAGATCATAATAACTTTTCTCATTCAATGTAAAAAACTAAAACAAATTAAATTAACCATGACAATTGTGAATTACCAAAAAGATCTTAGGCCATCCATTCTTTTTTCTTAAGAAAACATAATAAATAATTCGCAAGTAAAATTACTTTAAAAGACATATTCTATCGTAATTGTCTATAAATTTCTAATTTAAAAAGCACACAAAGCTTCACATACAACATGTCAAAAGGTACCTAGACTATAATCAACATTTTCTAATTAAATTTTAGTACCCAACATATATAAACATGTTCCAAAAAAAAAAAAAAAAAAAAAAAAAAAAAAAAAAAAAAAAAAAAAAAAAAAAACCCTTAGACATCCAAAGTGAAATATCCAACACCCAAAAGATTTGTTTTTTTAGCAAAAATTATTGTTCAAATGTTCAGTGCTTCTCAATCATAGAACATAATAATATGCTACAATTGATATATAGCAAGGAAATTTCAAAGACATGAAATGACAAAAATGTTATTTTCATGATAACAACAATTATAATTATGTACTTGTAACTTTGTAAACACATAAGTAAGAACAAAGTATCGGTTAGATGCATATTATTGTATGAGTATGTAATATTTATCGAGTTCAACTGCCTAATTAATTAATAGCCAAAAATCCTCCATGTTAATCAGGCAGTTGAGCTTGAGCTCCATAAATATTACATACACTCAAACAATAATATGCATGTAAACAATATAATGAAACATAAAACATGCAGAGAATAATGAAGACAAAGATATTGAGCAACATATACATGCATAACTTTAAAGCAGTTTATCCAAAATCCCAAATTCCCAATGTAAGAAATAAAACATTATCAAAAGAGTCAAAAGAAAGTCATTGGCTCTAGCTTTTATTGGTTGAGTTTTATGTAAACTGATCGAAAACTAAACTTTGTGATTTTATCCTTTAAATTATAGCAGTCATCGATCACTTCCAGCCACGGCAGCACCAAATTTAATGCTTCAGTTAGGCCCCATGAAATCAGCCCCACCATCCTGCCAAAGTAGTGCAACAAAATCATGTGTAAGTTAACTGTTACGATATGATAATGTAGACGGGTTTCAAGTTATGACTTAGATTACCAATTTACCATTATTCTTATACTCTAAAAACATTGTATCATAATATATATGTATCTATTAGAGTAGTATATGTTCTACTAACATGTTAATATGAATCTTATTAACATAATTTCTTATACAATGTCGACTTTAATGTAAATATGATATTGTGCATTGCTTATGTTTCTAATTATATTGGTTTCAATTCTTAATGCCGACTTTAATTAGACTGTAATAATTTATAAACTACTCCGTATAATAATGGTACAAATTATGAATTGATGATGGTTATTTAATTATTGAATCTAGCAACAATTTATATATATATATTATTGTCGAAATTAGACCTTAAAATGGTGAAAACAGAGGAAATTAAATAATGTATTATTACCTATTTTAAAGTATAAAATAGATTACTTGTATTCAAATATATTCATATTAGGATTGAGCTAGTAAAGTTGTACATTTCAAGTATCAAGTAATTCCTATATACTAGTATTAACAATTTATAATTTCAATTTCAAGCTAGAACATCAATTCACTTGCCTGCTGATTGAGGAATTCTAGTTCAGTCTCAGCAAAATAGTTGTCGAAAGGGATGTCATCATTGCTAGCATTAATTCCCTGCATGATGTTTAATTTGTCTTAGCACATTATTATTGCAGTGTATACATTAATTAATACTATACACACATGAATTTTTTTTTTTTTTTTTTTTTTTTACATATATAATTTCTCATACAATAATTATACTGAAGAGTTCTAAGTCTATTGTATAAAGATGGAGTGCATCAATTGAGAGATTCATGCATAATATAAAAAGAAAAAGCCAGCCAAAATATAAATATGTATTCCCTAAATATTTAATCTGATTGGTTTCAGCTCTTAATGTCAACTTTTATTAGTCTGAATAATTGATTAATATGGATTATGAATATATACATGAGAAGATCAATTATTATTTAAAATTGAAACTAGCAAAACTTTTTTTCTAAAAAAAATTATTGCCGGAATTATACCTCAAAAGTTGAAAACAACACTTATTTTAAAAACAGGGGAAATACTTTATTATTTTATAAATGCTTACTACTGCGCAATATTATTTACCTTTTTCAGGTTCTATAACGCTTTAAGAACATATAAGTTACTTCAATATCATATTTACTCCATATTTAAATATGTAAGAAACCAATATTAGGATTAATAAGCTAGTGAAGTTGTACTTTTCAAGTATCAAGTCATTCATATATACTTGTAATACCAATTATAATTTTAATATCAATCAAGAATATCAATTTACTTGCCTGCTGATTGATGAATTCTTGTCCACCCTCTTGAGTAACATAGTTATCGAAAGAGATGTCGCCATTGTTAGTAATTCCCTGCAGGAAATTAGTCTTAGAACATTGTTGCATATCATATATACTAGGAAAACATTGTAAATATAAATGAAATTAATTAAATTCCACAAATATATAACTTCACTATTATTATTTGAGGGGTGTAACTTGCCTGATCAAGTCCTTCAGCGAAACCTCCCTGAGCATTACCTTGAGCATCAAAAGGTCCAAACCCGAAATTGTTGTCAAAATAGTCCTGCAACAAATTGAAATCATGCTTGTTCAATATTGTTGGGAGTTTGAGTTTCAAAATACATACCTCTTTAAAATTAAACCATGAAAAGCAATTTGTATTGTATTGAATTTTTTTTTTCAAAACATATACTTTTATGATCAAAATGAATATATAAGTACAGTTCATTATACAAGTAATTATTTATGTCAAACAGAGTAAAATAACTTATGACTCACAACCAAACATTTAATTTTAATAGTAATTCCAAACAAGTCCTTAATAATTAGCCACACACAGATCCACAGTTATAAATTAAACTAACCGGACAATAATGCAACATTATTATTATTATTATTATTATTATTATTATTATTATTATTATTATTATTATTATTATTATTATAACTTAAATTTAATTAAAGAAAAATATAGATCTAGAGATGAAAATAAATCAATTTAATTCATGCTAAAAATGGGAGCAATAATTAAACTACAAAAGCAAGCAAGGTTAATTGATTAGATAAATTACCTGATCCATTGGAATGTCAATACCAAGTTCCATAAATTCATCACCTATACCACCTTGCATGTTTGGCATTTCTTGTGACATTCCAAAGGGATTTGCTTGAGGAGTTGCAATTTGATCAACATTAGGTGTGTTAAAATTCCAATCATCAACATCAGATGAGAAAAGATCAGCAAGAGGAGTATTAGTATTATTATGAAAAGAATTATCAGCAAAATTCATTCCATAATAATTGACCTCTTGAGCATTATTATTAGCATTTTCAGTAAAGTTATTGCTACCATGCATGCCATTAGCAAAGTTAGCATTAGCAACATTATTATCACCAAGAACTATTGGTGTGTTGTTAGTAGGGCTAATCAGCTCCCCATCAGTACTAATTCGAAGCCCGACATAGTTATTATTATTGTTGCAATTGGCTGGATGAAACTGCTGGTTGCTTAGAACCCTGCCATCAATAGGACTAGGAGAAACTTGTTTATGCATACGTTGAAGCTTTTGCAATTTCTCAAGTAGTTCGATTTTTTGTTTTAGGCTTCGAACTGCCTCACTAAGATCACTAGGAGCACCGCACCTTGCTTGTTTCCTTGGACCATTAGCTCCTTGGGTGCTACTCTCCCCTATTTCAAAATTAGGATCATTTGTCATTCCTGTGACAATAATTTACAATTCATTAGAATCCTCGATCGATTATTTGGAAACTAAAGAAAATATTTTTCATTGACAAGTTATTAGAAAAATCAATTGGCAAGTACATACATGTATAATTAATATTAATCAATTTTGAATTATTCTAAACCAAAAAAAAAAAAAAAATGAAACTTGCATTTGGTAGTAACATCCAACAATTATGCCCTAATGTATTTTTTTCAACAATTTTTTGTCAACAGTTATGCCCTAATGTATTAGTTAAGTACATACACTAGAAATTAGGATCCAATTGTTGAATTAATAATGGGTTTATATTTATATTGTTAATAATAATAATAATAATAATAATAATAATAATAATAATAATAATCAAAAGCACCTCCAAGTGTATTCAATTTTAAATTGATAGAACAATTTTTAATTAATTACCTAGAGAACGCTCTGCTACGAGGCCTCGATACTGATCTTGAATGCTACCTGTAAGAAAGGTGATTTCATTCAACACAAAGCTTGATCTAAATGGCCTCTCATTCCAATTATTGGGAATACCATTTTCATTGTCAGTTGTAATATCTGAAACCCGCTTCAAAAATATGCGATATTTCTGTAAAAACAAAAAATGTTATATCTCTATATTACCATATTCAGAAGAAAAACAATGCTTCCTTTTTGAGAATTGAATACTTTGCATTTAAGTAGTTATATATTAAGTTTTTTCAAAAAAAATTAAAAAAAAATCATATATTAAGGAAATTAATTATAATGTAAATACGATTAAATATATTAAAATAAAATAAATCATTTTTTTATAGGATTAATATTATTGCGATATTATAAATCATATATTCTACTCCTTTTCATATAATAAGAAACAAATAACCATATAACAAATCTATTTGATAAGAGAATCAGATCGCAATTACGTGCAAGATACGTATATGGTGTATCTTCTCAAAGAATCATCGTGTGCGTGTGCATGTGCATGCATGGACACTGTTCTAATGAAGAATAAAGATTATTTACACACAAAATAATACTAGTAGCTAACAAGTTATACAAGTATATATAGATGAAAATATCCTTGATAATAATCTTCTATTATTCTAGTGTATGATAATTAACCATAATGTAAAAAAATTTATAGTTAAAATAATTAGCTAGTGTAAAAAATAACTCACCTGCAAATGGCTTGCAATATTTTCTCTCTTCAATCCTGGAACATTCATGTACTCCAAAATTCTCTTGGGCACAGCTTCTGATAATTAAAATAAAACAATAAAACAATTAAAATGTTAATTCAAAGATTATATATTATATATATATTCCATATCCAAATCATGATATCATATTTCAAAAAAAATAATAAAAAAAATCATGATATCAAATTTCTAAGAAAAATCAAATAGTACAACTTACTGTCTACACCAAGGTTATTGACAGCCTCCAAAAATCGGCTATGAAGTGAGGTAGTCCAAACCAGCTTCGGCTTCTTCATAGCTGGTTTATTCTTCTTCACAACCCTCTCATCTGAATTACTACGCCTTTTGTTAATACCATTGTTAGTGTAGACTAATGGTGTAGCATTCACCTTGTTTTGGCCATTAGTAATTGGCGCGTAGTTTTGCACAATGTCATTGTTGCAAACGTTGTTGTTGTTGTTAATAATGTTGTTGACACCGTGCATCATCTCTTGTTGATTAAAGATTCGCATCAAAGTATCAGGATCACTTGTTATGACACGAGACATGTCTATTGAGTTAGCATTGCTATTAGCTATACCCTTTGTTGGAATAGCAAATTGCCATATTTTTGAAAGATTGTGTGGAGAAATAGGCTTCACAAAGTAGAATAGAGCTCCACTTTGTAAACCTTTGTGGATGATGTCTCTATCCTGGTCAGCAGACATTACTGCAAAAAAAATCATCAAAATGTTTAATTTGATTAATTGATTAGATAACTAGAAATTTATAATTTTTCAACAAAATAAAACTAAGATAAAATACCACATTTATTTAATTTTTATTGTCTAATGATCTATTTAACCTTCAATAATTGGGAGTCATAAATGAATTAAATTCCATGTAAATTTATTAGTTGGACATATTAATTTACAAATGTAACATATGAATTTCCATGACAAAAATAAAATAAAAAAAATAGCAAAATTAAATTTTTTTTAAAAAATAAATTAATTAATTTTTTTTTTTTTTAAAAAAAAAACCTAAATAAAAAAATCATGACCAAGTGGTGTCATGGGACACAAGAATTAGGCTATGTTGGATTTGGAAAAAAAAAAAAAACACTTCTTTCATGGTCTTTCGAAAGATTTCGACAAGAAACACAAATAGAGGCAGTGAGAATAAATTAATTACGAAGTATAAAATTGGAGTATTTATACTTACAAACAAGAGGAAGCTTGTACTCTTCTTCGACATGTTTAAGGAGCTCAATGCCACTCATATGTGGCATGTGCACATCCGACAAAATCAGATCAAATTTTTTATCTTTCCTCCTCCTTAGTACTTCTAGTGCGTCTAATGGGTTGGTCACAGCAATAACTGCAGATTTAATGAAATTTAAACATTTTAGTATAAATTCATAGTATATATTATCAAGAATTTACAAAAACGAATCAAATTAAAATTATATAAATACAATTAACATAACTTATTTCTTTTCAACTATGGTTTGATAGTTGACTTGTATGTTTTTCATGGAATTGACAAATTATACAAAAAATAGTTAAAAAAAATGTTACACTTGTACTTAAAACAAATTAAGACCCATGAAAGGGGGAAAATGAATTAACTTTAGTACGGAGTATCAAACTACCTCATGAAAAACAAACCACCTCATTCTATAAAGAATTCTGCTTGTGAAATTGAGACAAATAGGATTGAAAAAATATTTGAGAAAACACCATGAATTCTACTTGTGAAATTGAGACAAATAGGATTGAAAAAATATTTGAGAAAACACCATGTCCAAAATAATTTTCTTGTAGAATCAAAATCTCAAAATTTTGTGTCAACAAAAAAAATAAAACTTCTTTGTTTTTTTAAAAAATAAAAATAGAAAATAATTCAAGATTAAAAATTCTATCAAACTCGTTGTAGACACATGACATTTGAGTCTCCATACATCCTGAAAACTTTGAAAATTATAAGTGATTTGAAAGACGGAGACTTTTAACTTCACCCCTTTTCTACGAAAAAAATCAACAAGTTATTTCAGTTTAGTAAAATAGATTTAAGAAATTACTTGTAAATAAAATTAAAAAAAAAATACATTAAAACAATATAAAACATGTATTCTAGATGAATAGAAAAGATGAATTGCTACCATGATGATTCATTTTTGTAAGAGCTCCTGCAAGAACTGAAAGACAAATTGCATCATCATCAATAATAAGGATGCTAATTCCTGGGTTATTGCTTGTCTTTTCCATATTAACTCTCACTAATCTCAATTTATGAAAAACTCTCCTTTTGCTTGAAACTGCCCTAAACACAACAGAAAAGAACTTTGAAAATGTAACAAAGCTATTGGGTGATGACTTAAATAGTTAAATGTAAGAGGGAAAATGCTCACTCTACTTCTTTGTGGACCTCTACAAATGTTTTCACCTCATGTATATATACATCATTAAAGGGTTGATTGTATTATTATCTTCCTTATTACCTAATAAATGCAAATCGGTTTCAAATAAAAAAGATCATGTGAATGATAAACGGTAAGTTATATCGTTATGACGACGTTTGCCCACAAATAATGGTTAATTTAATTTAATAAAAACTATGTTGGTAAGATAAATGAGCATTGTGTGCACGTGTTACAATATGAATAGACTAAGAAAAAAGTTTCTACTTATTATGAAAATCAATATTTTTTGCACTTGATATTAAGTTATTGGGAAGATTGTGTAATTAAGATTTAGTTCCATAATCTAGAAAGATGACCATAGCCTTATCTGATTTATTTCTTTCAATTATATCCTTGATTTTGTTTTTGATATAGGAATATATCTACATAGCCTTAAGTCCTTAACACAAACATTGATTTTTTAATTTTATTACATAATTTATCAATTGTAGAGTTAAAATATGAGTTTTATTGTGAACTTTTTAATGCGCAAATTTAACTATGTTACTTTTAACTTGATTTTTTTTTTTATCCGCTCTTAAGGGCATATATAGTGTTCAACCTAAGTATTAAAATCTGAAGTATACACTATTTGGTTAAAAAAAGATAGAGGTATAAAAGAGATACGCTCTACTAATAATAATGTTGATTACGTATCGAATCATTTTTGTTGGAAAAAATTATAAATAAATTAATACAGATAATGAATCATGATATGAATATACCGTATCCAGATCAATTTGATATAGCTTAAAATTCCGTATCGAATCAATCAGATGTAATATTATATGTTTATATTCAGTCTGATTCAATAAACTTGGAGTTTAAATTATAGTCCAAATTGCTTACATTAGAGAGAGTTATTTCAACTTTCAAGATCAATTCAACTAAAAAAACAGTGTAATAACAACCCTTGTGATTCAATCAAACAAATTAAATTTAACATTTTAAAATTTGTAGGAAAATTATGTATGTTAAGAAAATGAATCTAAAAAGTGGCTAATTACTTTAATATATGTGCATTTCAACAATAATTCAAACACTTTAATGATTTTGAACGGTTAGTTACTCTTTGTGACTAGATAGATTATTTATATGAAATATTATTTATATTGTGCATATTATGCCATTTGTTATATGTATAGTAAAGTCTAAAATAGTTACTTGGGGATATTTTCTAAGAGTGGTATGTTATTTCAGTGGGTTTGAAAGCGGTGTCAACTCCATAAAACTCTTTATTAAACTCGAATTCAACTCAGTGAACTCACCATCTTTGTTTCTTGGTTGTGTTTGTTAAGTATTTATAGCAAAGAAAAAAAGTTATTTTTTTAGGGAGAGTAAAGAAAAAAGTTGTTTTTTTTTTTGAGGAGAGAAGAAAACATAAAGGAGATTGACATTAAAATCAATAGTGTAAAGAAAGAAGTTTTTTTTAGGAGAGAAAAGAAAAAAGGTGTTCGACATAACTTTAAACAAAATAAATAAATACGTCAAAAACTAATTTGCATTTCGTTATGTAAATTGTCATTTAATTCATAAATGTAATATGCCAAAATTGCAAACAATTAGTGGAAAATGAAAATTACTTTGAAAAAAAATTAAGGTAAGAAGAAAAAAAAATAGTACGTATATTTGAAACATGCATGCATGTTGTTACATATATAGGACTTTAGGTGGATGCTAAATTTGTTTAGCTTGTTGCTTCAAAAATTTGATAAATATAACTAGCTTGTTAGTTCGAATTTTAGAGGATCGAATTGTGTTTATTTTATTTAAACTTTTACAAATATTTTAAATTTTACCATTTGTCTTTTTTAAAGTTTTAAATTAATTGCTCAATTTTCATTTTTGATTTTCTTTCAGACACACCAAATTAAATAAATACTCATTTTCTTTCAAATCATGTAATTTTTTTATTTTTTTTTATTTGGTACTAGTAGTCATTCAATATTAACAGTCGTTACTAAACTTTTTTTTTCTTTATCACGTGAGTATTTTGGTGCAAATCAACAGGTGCATATAAAAAATTAAAAATTAAAAATTTCTATTGAAATAGTAGAAGTTGTATTCTTTTCAACCTTTTTTTAAAAAAAATTATTTCAAGAATATTTAGTTCGTACTCCTTATAATATAAGATAATTCGGAAAAAAAAAAAAAAAAAAAAAAAAAAAAAAAAAAGCCCTAATGATAACCAAATTCCATAGAATAAATAATGTCTTAACATTTGTGTAGTATTATGAGTGCTTCAACAAGCTCATATTGAAAATCATGGCCTATCCAATGAGGACAGTCTATACAAAATGACCCATATGTGGACAACATAGGGTTCGACAATGTGAGAACAAGAGTTACAACCAAATTATATACTCGTACAGTCGTACTATACAATTACAAAGATTGGACCTAAAACTGCAGAATCAGCCTACTCAGAAACCAGACTTCAGTTGCTCATATAATGCCCACAAAAGAACACCAATCAATGTATCTCTTGCCAAATCTTTAACAATTTTATTGATCCAAGCATTAGGAACATTAGCACCAGATTTATTCCCAGCTAAGTCGCGAAAGCGTAGATCTCCCAGGTCTGAAATCAGCGCGTAAATCACTCCATTCAAGTGACCCTTTCCTATTACTCCCACCACTCTCTTACAGTTATTTACAGCTTTGCTCCGTTTTAGAGACCATGCTAGGTACTGCAAATGTGAACTTCAAGTTAGTATATAAAAAGAGTGAAAGAACTTTGAATAATCAGTGATTCTGGACTCTTTGTATTGATCATAGTATCAAGATAATCATTGCACAGTACAATAATCAGGTTAAAAAATGCACTCTTGTGGATGAGTAAAGAACTTAAGAGAAATGAGACCATTACCGTGTCACGTTCAAGTATAAGTGGCTGTAAAAGGGAAGGGTAAGCAGAGCTAAGTTTCTCATATAGCTGGTAAGGGTTGTCATCAGTACCCGATTCCTGTAACCAATCACAACTGGGAAATTAAGCGAGAATCTTAAGGTATATAGTCATAAGAGAGTACAGTGTGAAAGGAATGGCCTTATAATCCTGATAGTTGAATGTTGTTTGTTAAGTGTCATTCTACAAAATTTAGAATAATGTATAGCCCACATTAAAACAATAGAGTAGCGAGGACCTTCACATTGGCTGTGGAAGTCTCGGATGAAGATGTGATTCCTTGGATAACTGAGCTCACTAAGCTTAATTTTTCGGCCCATTTCAGTGAATTCCACGCCCTCTCAAGCTGCAACGTATGACAAACAGAACATAATCCCAAAATGAGCCTAAAAGTGCCTCATCAATTGAAACTGTTGAAGCCAAAACTGTGCTATTACAGGTTGGAAATTGCATAAGACTTACAGTAATTTCAATTGGCCGATCCCCCAACACTATCTGTGCACCAATTTCTTCAGACACCATCCGAGCAGCACGAAACTGTAAACAAAGGATATTATCTCAGTCAATCAGATGACTTCCTGTATCCAAATTAAAGTTAACCTTTGCAAGTTGGCTACCTCATCTCCAAAAGGCCTGTCAACATCCGAAGAAATTTTTGATGAAAAGATGGCCAACAATAGCCTTAATGCCAAAGCAGTTTGTCCCCCTATCATAAGAAGTCAGAAAAAACCACTGATCAGCCACGCAGGCCCACAACGCCACCAAGTTCAAATGAAGCACACTTCACATATATGTAGATAAGATTAAGGTGTAAATCCAGGCTTACCTAAGTTTATGCTACGACTAACAGCACCGAAAAATCCAGCACCACTTAAGGAAAACATATTGGACTTCAGCTCTGCTTTTGGCTGATTGCTGCTGGAGTACATTATCCCAGCTCTGAAGATGAAAGTCTGTAATAATTAAGGTTAAGCCATGGAATGAAGATATAACACACACATATTCACATATAAGAGGATAACACCTAATTTTCTACAGCCACAATCATTTATTTATACATTGTATTTTACTCCAACTTGGCCTTTCTAGTTCCACACCATGTCAACATGACACAACAAGGATTAGAGGTATCAATTCCATAGCCAACACTTGACATTACGATATTAAAATAAAGCGCCATTACAGCAACAAGAGGCTAAGAAGATAGGTTTATGATAGAGTGATCGACAAACATTACATAAAACTGCCATTAAGGTTTTTCATTAAAGTAGTTTGTAATGCACAAATTTAAAAGGCTTTAAATTAATGTAATGACATCAAACCAAGTTACATATTGGATTCGAAGCCCCTGAATCCTAACAAAATTAGTTTCATATCTTGATTTAGTTAGATTGTTCATGATAAAAAGCATATCCAGAAATTTATATGTATTTGTCCTCAGAGTACTTGGCAAGAATTTAGAATTAGAAAAGAGCATAAAATAATCTAAAATGCTACACATTCCTGCTTGAACCATAACTTCTGACTTCAATCAAGAAATAGTTGTCATGTAAACCTTTATCAAAATTTCTGCATCATTCAGGATAGTGTCACTCGGAGAATAAGGTGCAAGGTGCAACTCTAAATATCAAGTATCAACCTGTGATCATCTCTGATACAGGTTTTGCTGAAGCCTCTAGTATTGTAATGTGAAAACTGTATCTGCATAGAATTCTGCTCCTATAGTCCTATAGACTTCGTAGAATTCAAGTCTCAAAGGACTACCATGCTTTAAGGAAACACAGTAAGGAGCATTATAGCAAGCTTGATGCCTAGAGTCCTAAACCACATACTTGTCATGCAAAGTTTTATCTCTAACAAAATAGTATTCGTATGTCATACTTGTCCAAAGAAAACTCCACCGAATTGCCTTTTGCCATTTTCCTATATCCGATTTTGTGTTTGATCTCGTTTACATGGGATGTCTGAGGTGAATATGTAGTGGAATCTAGGGGCAACTGAAGTCTTAGTATTGCAACTCCAGTGTATTGAGTAATATACAACGAACTATCAAGCATTATAATACACCCTTTAATAATCTTTCTTATAACTTTCCTAAAACACATTTTGGTTGATTAGCATATACAAGTAGTTCAACCAAATACAGAATAATGACCTTGAACTTCACATAACTCCAGTGTAGACAATAGAGCTCACAAACATCACTTACAATCTTTATAAAACAAGCTGGACCCCCTCTCTTTTTCGAAATATTGCGTTCCTATTAACCCCATTTTTTTTCTTGGATACCCTCAAATTTGAATTAAGGCTCCAAACTTTGATCTTTCAATCAAACAGGAATTTTTCTATGAACATATTAAGTTGTATGAATGATATTTTATTTTAATTCTCCTATCACACAAATTAGTCATCATTACCACAGCTCAATCTCATAATTAAGCTTCGTCAATGCTAAGCTTTTAATTATTATTTAAAGTCCATCATCTTTGTTTTAATTAATTTTCAGGTTTCTGTTAATTCCTTCCAGGATCTAACTTAAATTGAAGAAAAAATTGATACGGAGTATTGCTTTTTATTTTTGTTGATAAAAGTTATTCCAATTCACCAAAATTGTCATGTTGTAAATCCTGTTAATCCCGGATTTTAATTTATAAACTTTGAATTAATAATTCATATGGTTGATTTTTTAGCTTGATTAGAAATCCTAATAACATATACGAAAAATGTTTAGCCATGGATGTCAATCGGCTCAGTTATGACCGAAGATCAAATCCCGTCTATATCACCCCACGCTTTAAACACCCAAGAAAACAATTTTTTTAACAGAATGTTAGAATCTAAAACTACTTCCATCCAACATCTAACTAAAATTCAAAAAAATTAAAATCATCGAAACTTTCTAGTCTTATAACCAAAAAGCTAGAAGACTTGCCTGCTACGACAAAGCTCAACGACGACATTATCGGGCCGAATAGCCCGAACAACCCGCTCAACATCCAAAGATGAACCCTCATCAATGTGACTAGTACCCACCAACCAAATCTCATCGGGCTCAACAAACTCGGCCCGCCAAGATGGTACAGGCCCAAATTGATTCTTCTGGACCAAAACCAAACTCCCCATATCAACCAAATCCAAAAGCTCCGGGTGGGCCCCCGAAATTACGGCCCGAGAATCCGAAAATATTTGTGATGATCGGAAATCGAACCCGGGTGGCGGAGCCTTAATCGACGCTTTACAACTGAATTGGGCCTTGAGTTTGGGCTTGGGCTTAAAATTAACAAGTTTCGAAGTTTGTGAGATTAGCAACGACGGTGACGGCGGAGATGACGGCGGAGTTGCCATGGATGAATAACAGCTTAACAAGTGGTTTTTGCATTTACTGTTTTTTTTTTTTTCTTTTCTTTTCTTGTTTGGGTTTTTAAAGTGGTTTAGTGTGAGATTCGTGTGTGATGTAGGTGGACATCAAGATAACATGAGAAATTGTCAAAAAAATAAATAAATAGAAGATAACATTAGTGGGGCCCAATAACGTGTGAACATGTGGTTGAAAGAAACTCGCTTTGAAATGTGGGTCCAAAAAGTGAAATTTTATTTGTGGATGATAATGCTCCAATAGTCTCACTACTAGTAGTACCGAATATACTTGTTATGAATGATTGATGAATGAACCTTTGAATTTCAGCCAAGTAAAAGGATTGTATAACCAAGTACAGTATTATCCAGTTATCCTACTTGTGTATCCTTCGTGGTTTTATTATATTGATAACTTATAAGATAAGTTATGACAAAACATATTATGTTGGTTCTCATTAGAGAATCTATTGATGTTTGCTTACATGCAAAAGGTTATCTACCTATCCATCTATCTATCTGGCTTTTTACTTTTTTTTTTTTTTATTGGATTATTGTACCAAGGTGTGTGACTGTATTATTATTTTTTAAAAACAAACGAATTTTATCATTATTATGTGCAGCAGGATCTAAATTTGTAAATCTTCTAGTTCCGACAATTATCTTTTCTAGGTATAAAGTATGACACATGATTATGGAAAAATTTAAAAATAGGTACAATACCACACACACTTACGTTAAAAATGTGAATTATTAGTGATACAACTACAGAAATATTACACAGTCACCCGTCTTATCCACGTGACAAAATTTACTCTCCTTGTTCCTCATTTGATACACGCCATTTTACAAACAACAAAATAGCATTTCCATAATTCCATCCCATCACATATTGAGGTATAACAACATAACAAGCATAAATTAATAATTTGCTCATAAATTTAAACATGCTCTGTTTTCAAATTTCCCTCTTATTTTATATGAACATGTTCCTTGAAAACAGTGTATTACTCCCTAAAGTTAGACAAGATACAACCAAATTTAACCAATAAAGAGACGAATCATCGTCAATTAAGAAAGTAGTACATGATCTAAGTACTACACTTTACAATCATACTTCTATTTTTAGTAATACTACTCACTCACTCAGCTGTGCTCTGTTTCTCCAAAGCAACTAACAAAGTACATTTCTAAATTTTATTTTTTTATTTAAATTTTCCCACTCTAAATAACAATACTTGCATACCACCTGTACCAACCAACAAAAAACAATCGGTAACGGCTAACTAACCAAAAATCATGCCAGCATAGTACTCTGTTCTACTTCTAAATTTTAACATACAAAAATTTAAATTTTTTTCTTTCTTTTTTTATAGATTCTGAAATTATCCTAAAACTTTATTAAAAGAATAAGAATGAATGGAGTGGTTTCTAAAAAGAGTAACTCCATAATGGCAAGTCAGCAGTTCCATTTGCCATATCATCGTCTTCATAAGTCGTCTCATTGAAACTAGTCATATTTGGAGGCGGAAGCATCCCCATTCCATGGTACATATCAGCGATTAATCCCGGGGTTTCGAGTTCCATCTCGTAATCCATATACATACCATTCTCATTATTACTAAAACTCATGTTGTTCATCTCATCCATTGTAGCAGTAGTTGACGATTGAGCTTCCTCTTCCGCCTTCTCATCTACCGCCTGTTGAAGTTCTTCAACAGGCGGAAGTTGAGGGCGGAATGCTTCGGCAGCCTCAGCGGCTGCGCGTTGAATGTCCTTGGTATCGGAGGATGCAGGGACAGGGAGCCGCCAAACGGAGTCAGCAAAGTTGAGACAAGCACCGGAACGACCACGGAGGGCCATTGCTGCCACGTCATGAGCTCTGGCAGCCATCTCGGCAGTAGGAAAGGTGCCGAGCCATATACGGGTTTTCTTGTTAGGCTCACGGACCTCGCACACCCATTTACCGTTGTTCCGTTGGCGGATCCCACGGTAAACGGGGTGACGAGTCTCCGTAAACTTCTTTCTGCCTGCCTGTTTCTTCGGGTAGGCAGAAGCGAGCATGAGCCCCTCTTCTTCAGTGGAGTTGGGGCTCATGCTGCTGTCGGATGAAGATCCTTGGTTAGTGTAAGACATGTTCATAGAGGATTTAACTTGTTTGATGAGTATATACGATTGTGTGAAGTACTATTTTTATTTTCTTCTCAAGCTTTCTTTTTTTTTTTACGCTTCTATTTATCTTTTGGAGTTGTTTTGTGTTATTGTTGGACAAAATAAAGCCGTAATTGGGTGCTATTTATACTTACGTATATCCAACTTGCTAAGAAAAGTGATGGGCCTTTCCTCAGCCAGCAAATAATAAAGTAAAAAATAATAATTAAAAATAATAAAAGAAGGCATGGGTCAATTATAATTAATGGTCAGATATATATTTTGGGAATAATCCGTTTAAAAACATAGGATACGATTCATATAAGTGGTATAATTAGTGATTTAATGGTTGTGTAAATAGATAGAAAAAGACAATGATTCTCTATTTTCAGGTCATAAACACTATATAAGTTACTCCTAAAAATTATATAAAATTAAAAATTCATGACAAAAATACGCATAAATCAGTATAATTAGTGTTTATATTTTTATAATTTCTTAACCTTTTACGATTTTCAAATATAAATTTAATACTTCTATCCCTTAACATTTTCCTTATAATAATTTTTACTACGGACTTACAAAGTAATGTTTTTTTTACTGATGTTTCAAAATAATTTTTGTAATGGGCCCACTTGTTTTTTGGCAAATTGTGTTGTGGGCCATGGAAATTTGGGTACATCAAGTGAACAAGTGACATTTGTCAAATGCTTAACTAACTCCTCATTTGTTTTTATTTTTTTGAAGAAACTAATTCCTCATTTATGTGGGGCCATAAAGCGATGGAAAAAGTTTTCTTCACTAACCAATAAGAGTAGCTGTTTTATTTAGTAGCTGTCTTTTAGTCAAGGAAATATCTGAAGAGTGACTATTTGACTTCAAAAATAAAATATCAATAGACTACATTGTAAAATATCCCCTAAAAAAGAACCTTTTTTTTTTAATTGTTGGTGTGTTTTGATTGGTTCAAAGAAAAAATCCCTTTATTTTTTTTTTGGATAGGAGTAATAGAACTAGAGACTGTTATTTGAGCACATATTGCTATACTGTTGTGTCTGTGTTGCATACTCGTGGTCGTGGGTAGGAACTATTATACTCCATAGTCCATATCATGGATTAGGATATTTTTATTTTCATTGAATGGTGTATGAACTTTTTGATGAAAGATATTCCCCGATGCATGATGATGCATGGTTTTTAAGGTGATCATGAAAAATTAGAGGCTGGAAAAGTTTCTGGACATTTTATTCCAGAATCGATTTTGTCAACCACTAAAATTAGAGGATTGATTTAGAAAAAAAAATTATAGGCGATCTGTGTATGTTGATCTATTCAAAAGTTAAATGGATATGATCGCCACAACCGTTAAAAAACAATGGCTTTTTGTTTGAGACGGAGTTATCATAGTATATATGTTGCTAACTATCGGTGTATTAAAAAAAAAAAAAAAAAAAAAAAAAAAAAAAAAAAAACCTTTTATATAGTCTGATGCACTTGTTTTGTTCAAACCTGTAAGTGTGTCTAACTTGCATTATCTAAATTACTTTAATTTGTATAAACTTATCTTAACAACCTTTGTTTCTTATTATTAGCCAGTACACTTCATTTATGCACACATTTTAAGGAGGTGTACAAGAGTTGCTACTACCTTTGTTTGTTTTTTTTTTTTTTTTTTAAAGTGCCCCATTAGCAAATTTGGCACTATTCACGCATGTTACTATCAAGCACTTCATAAAAAACGGAGGGAGTATAAGGTAATAATAATAATTATAATACCCCTACCTACCACACTACAAATCAATTTAAAGTTGTTTAATTAAGGGTCTATTCTCATAGACTGAACTCAGCTGAACTGAAATGAATATTTTATAAGAGAAGGAAATTAGGAGCTGGATTGAACTGAAAATAAACGTATGAGAACAGGCCCTTAGTAATGGTAAAAATATATAGAAAGGAGTGTGGTTCGATACAAAGATGGAACTATACATTGAGAAACTTACCAAATAAAAAGGGAAACTTGTCAACTAAAAAACGAAGAAAGTATTAATTTTCCCGAATAATCCAAATCAAAATAAACTATACAGAACATGCTCCAATATATTCCGTACTAATAGTAGAGTAAACCCCCATTATCCGGTACAGTTCTTGTGTTAATATGGTTAAACTCGAGAGCTAAACCCTCACCTTGTTTTAATTGTATATATATACTCCGTTTATTTTAGTTGACACTATTTGACTTTTACACTATTCACACAACACGCTTTGACTCGCTTTTGTAGTCTATATACACGATTATATTCATGTGGGATATTCTTTGAATCGTTTCAATATATAATATTAATATCCATTTTTTATAATTTTACAATGTTGTTAATTATAGGTATTAATCGCTAAAAACACATATTGACAAACGTGATGATAGAAATGTATCAATAAAAAATACAGATAAAGTATATATATAGTGGTGTAATAATATACAGAACAAAAAGTGTGCAAGTGTTGACGTGTTGTGCTCTAGTAAGACCTAGCTCTTGCATTATATTTTAAGTTGTTTTCTTTTCTTTGAAAGCTGCGTGAAGTTTTAGTAAATAATTGTATGTAGTCTAGACTGTCTAGTGGATTTTTTTTTTCTTTTTCTTTTCTTTTCTAGACTGTCTAGTGGATGACTTAGGTGACCAGAGGAAAACCTCAAAACTAGAGGTTGGAAATGATCTTGGACCAACAAATTTAATAATATGGACATACGGTAACAAAAACTTCCAACTACTAGAATTAGATGATTAACCAATAGTATATAATTGTATAATGTTATTGTCAATAATCTATGTGTGTGAATTCATAATAGGTTTATAAGAGATATTATATTACTTCATAATAAATACTATATGATCGTGCAAAATGACAAAATCTTATAGGGCCTCTTGTATCATAGATTAAGATACTTTGTTTTCGTTGAAAGCTACATATATTTTTGGATTTTTGGTGAATGCTATTCTGAATCGAATTGTGATTGATGAAGTGTTCTTGAAAGATTACAGGTTGAAATGATCCTATAACAATAGTTTTGTAATTCTAGAGCCACTAAATTTATATGATCACTTAAGAGGTTTTCATTGGTAATTTGTGTGTAAGGATGTATTACAGATTTATAAAGATCGAGTATGTTAGACACTAGGATCAATTTTAAGAATGGAGAAATCTTATATTCCCTCCAACCCAGTATATTTGTCAAAATAATTCATTTTAGCCCGTATAAATTATTTACTGTAATTACCATTTTGACATGTCAATATTGCTATTTTTTTTTAATATTCCAATTTTCAATGTCATATTAATACCAACTCACCCGATTTGAATACAATGAATTGAAGTTTGTTTGTTTAACTACCTCCGTTTTATAATATTATTTGCAAGGATTAGATATTTTATTTCTCAACGCTACTTTATGTCAAGTCGTAACAAAAAATGTAAAAATGTGAAACTTAGGTACAGTAGTATTTATCTTTTGAAAACATGCTACAGAGTACTATAAAATTTTGACAAATTAAAATGAAATAGAAAGAGTATGACACAGACTGACGCTATGTTACAGTAAGATACAGAGAATGAGAGAAATAAAGGCGATAGAGCGACTGAGCGAGTGATGTTGTGCACTAGTAGGACCTTTGTCCTTGTATCATTAACTTAAGATATTTTTCTTTTCTTTGAAAGCTACATAAAGTTTTGATTCGAAATGGATGATTCTTAGCCTCTTAGGTGACCATGTGTAGTTAGAGGCTGGAGTTGGTTCTAGACCTTTTTTTTTTTTTTTGGTTTTAAGAGATTTTCATTGCTTTTTCAACAAAAAAAAAAAAAAAAAAAAAAAAAAAAAGAAGAGATTTTCTTTGGCCTTTTGTGTATTGGTTTGTATTTGAGGTCCATATAGAAGTTGGGTATCATCACTATCATGGTAGTGTGGCAAAACTCTTATAGTCTTGTTGTCCTTTTCCATTCGCTATTTTATTTCTATTACCGAGTATTTTAAAGTTGTATTAAGTTAATTGATTGGTCGATCGCGTTCTTTTAAATTTATGGGGGTGAATAATGAAATAAAAAATAAGGGTAATATAATCTTGATACGCGTTGATGATACTCGTAGTTTTTTTTTCTAGGGTAGTGTGACAGCATTTAACTACCTTTTTTCACATGGAAAAATAAAACTACTAGCTCATCAACCTATTGAATAAATAATTTGACCAACTACTCACTAGATTTGATTGTTATTGACAAAGTTGATCAATTTGCACACTAAAGGCTTGTTCACATTTACTGAACTGAGCTGAAATAACTTAACTGAACTGAATAGAGCTGAAATGAATATTTTATGAGAGAAGAAAGTTAGGAGCTGAATTGAATTGAGCTAAACTGAATTAATTGGAGTTGAACTGAACCGAACTAAAATGAAATGAAATTAAGCCGAAGTGAACATGCCCTAAATCAAACAAGCACCGTATGTATATAGTTTCTAATGACTAGTAACATTAAACAGAGCACAAATAAACTATGTGACCATATTTATAGACATCTCAAAATAACACCCATATTTTAGTTTAGCATTTATATTTACAAAAAATTTTGTATACATCCGGTTTACACTAATATTAGTGTACATTGAGCAGTATAAGGATAACTTTTAGCTAATTTTAGGGTAACTTTTTGTCTTTTTGGGTAACTTTAAACATAATACAATTTTTATATAAATCAACAACAAGAAAAGTTTTATAAAGATAATTTAATTACATTCAATCACTAATAATTGATTTTTAGTCATTTAAAATGTGATTCTTTACTAATAAAGCGTAGATAATTTTTATTTGAATTGTGTTACTTTAACGCATATTGGGGTAATTTTTATTCATTTCAGGGGTAACTTTTAATCACTCTAGGTTATCTTTATAATGAATGTACAATAATTATTGTACACCCGATTTTTTTAAAAAGTTTGTGTTATATTTATTAACTCCATCTATTGCTTAACCCCAATAAATTACTTCGCATATGCTACTTATTTTATAGTTCGTTACATAACCTTGTAGATGGGAAAATAATGGAGCAATTTTAAAGAGACACCCCTTGAAGAGATATGGGACAAACGTAGACCAGTAGACCATGAATGATTTAGCCAAATTATAACATGACAAACCAATGACAAACCATTGTTATTAGAACGAGTAAGACCAATGAGTTATGAGTCACTAATTTTACACACTCACGAAATCACACGGTTTGCCACCTCCTTAAATTTCCAAAAACGAAATAAAAAACATTATCGTCCCTTCTAGAAACTCTAGATCATAAGACAACAAAACGTAGCTTTTAGAATTGACTACTCAATAAGTCACTTTACCCTTTTTTAATTTTGATTTATTTTTCACTTACTAATTAAGTAAACTTTCCCACACGTTTGGTGAGTTGGTAGTTACACACTCACTTCTAACGGTTGTTTCCCTTTTTCCGTCATTCAACTGTTAGGTTTTTTTCCGCGTAAACGCGTGAACCACGTGACTTTCTTACCATTTGCGGAAGTATTTTTTTTTTAGATGCTTTGTTGGATATTTATTTTTGGAAATCTTGCTTTACAGGAGGAATATCTTGTTTTATTAAGACATTAATAATATCATGATTATTTTGTTTACTGTGTCGTCATTATCCTACATTCCTACTTTCTACGTACTTTCTAGATTATTGTTATTAGTTGTATTATCATAGTGGATAATACCAAGAATATTATTAAAACTATTTTATCCGTTTTCTTTTTAGTTGATACGTTTTTTTAGTCATATTTATCAATTTACAAATTCAAATGTTAATATCTTTAGTTACCGATTTCCAAAAATAATAAAAAGTTGATATTTAGTAAATATACATCGTGACAAATTTAACAAAACCTCACATGACTATATTTTTCATTACGTATAAATCACAAAACTTGGTCAAAGGAAAGTGTGGGAATAGTGCTAAAGTCAACACGTGTCAACTAAAAAAAACGGAGGTGGTATATTGTTGTGTCAAAAAAAGTACTCCCTCCGTCCCATAATTTTTTGTTTGTGTGTTTTCATAGTTTTTAAAAAATAGGAGAAAAAAGAGGATGAAGTACATTAATAAAAATGAGAAGTACAATGATAAATAAAAGTTAAAGAGAGAAAGTGAAAAAATGTACAAAATATGTGCAAAATTCAAGGGTAAATTAGGAAATACCATGAATAAAGTTAAAAAAAAGTAGCGATAATGAATTTTACATACGTATATTATATAGACACAACATTTTTTATCTCCAAAATATAAAACAAGAATTATATTATGGGACGGAGGGAGTATACTATAACATGTAATTATGTTGCGCTGTTACATTAGTGGATCTAACAGCTACATTACAAGAATAATCGAATTTGATAATAATGTCTGATTTGCGCAAATAATTTACTTAATTAGTACTTCATGATGTCGTATTAGTGATTGAATTTGCGGCGCTGGATTGCTCATATTATTATAATGTAGTAGAATGTTTAATTGAATCTGTTGTCTATATTTTGTCGGGAGGACTAAAAAAACTGAATCTCTTACACGATGTGGATTAGATACATGATTAATTTCTACAAAACATAACTTCATACGGATCTGAGTAGAATATAATAAAGGAAGACTTTTATTTATTAAAAATTAAAAGGAAAATCGTTTTCATGTTTTAAATATGTACATACTACATACGTGTAGTGTGTTGGACTGTTGGTCATGATTCGCATTGATAACCTACAAAAGCGGTAATTGGGTCGTTTGGATTAAATGATATTTAAACTATTTGAAAGAGGCTTCTTTTAAAAAATATTTATGTTTTTCAGATACAAATCCATCACATGAATTTTTGTGGTTTATTAATTTCGTAGTTATATACGAAGTATTAAATATGTAAAAGTATATGATTATTAATAGAATCTATAAATACTTGGTACTTCGTATATGATTATTAATAAAATCCAAAATAAAATTCAAATTCGGATTTTAGACGATTTAAAGGGCCAAATATGCACCAAATAATTAGAAATGAAGTCTAAGTTATACCCTCTCTGCCAGAGCCCTAATTTAACAAAACATTGAATTTTGACCTATACTATCTTTGATAATTAATAAGTTTATATTTAAAAAAAACTATATGCTAAAACAATTACCCATATAATTATAGTTGATTTTTTGTATAAAGTACAAACATTGGTCAAGTATTTATTTAAATACGAAGTACTAAATAGTGAGGAAGTCATAACGGGTACTTAAAAAACACATGGCAGTATAACACTAGGCATGATCAAGCCCTTTAAGTGGTATAATATGATACTATACTTTGTCTACTTAGTGTCTTAGTTGGATCTCAAATTCTTGAGATTAAGGATTCAAATTTTTCAAGGGATGGCTCAAGGGGTGAAGGTCCTCTTATCCAGTCATTTTCCCTCGTACTCTCACATAACATAAACTTCTTATAATTTTTTCAGGAAACTACTCTCACATTTTTTTTTTTTTTTTTTTGAGAAACTACTCTCTCAGTCTCTCATGATATGAATCATACGACCCACATATAGTCGAATAAAATAATAGAAGATTTGAGGTATAGTGCTTGTCCCAAAAAAAAAAGAAAAAAAAAAAGATTTGAGGTATAGTTAGGGCGACATTTTTATTGGTGAAGAATGACAAGATATGGTGATAACATAATAGACATGTGAACTCGAACCGTGGCTGGACCACCCTTTTGAATGTTGTAGCATAAGGCCCACACCACATAACTATGGGCCTAGGCTGCGCTACGACCCACGAGGTAATCAGACTTGACATGAAGCACGACAGCCTATTTTTTTTTTTTTTTTTTTTAATTTTTTTTTTTCAGTTTTTTTGTTTTGTTTGTTGAGAAAAAGAGCCTATAATTTTTTGTTTTTTGTTTTTTTTTTTTTTTTGAGAAAAGCCTATAAAATATCTTTACCAAGCATACCAATAAATGTAGTATGAAAGACAATAAATAAAGTTATAGAATGTGGTTCCTCAAATACAGAGGAAGCCGCTGCATATACCTCATTGTATGATCTACCATTCTACCCTGCTTTCGAGTTTCAATAATCCTTCAAATTCAATGCCTTCGAAAAATTCTTACATAAAAGATATAATTTTGTACTTTCCATTTGGATTAAGTTGTGCTTCAGCTGCCAAAAAAAAATTTTCGCATTACTAGTTTAAATTACGTACACTACTAGAGTAGTACGGAGTATCAATTAATTCCGGCCATATGAAATAATTGTTAGCCTCCTTTCAAAATTATATGGAAGATCTAAACTCTACCTGTACAACTAAATTACACCCAATTCTTTTCAGTGTTATTGCATGAAAATTAGATGGTCTCCATCTCTGATCACACCAATGTCTTCGATTTCTGCATTTTCTGTACTGATAATTTTTGTGAAGCGTCGTCTGAACTTCTGGCCTGCAGTTCAAAAGGGTTGAATTTGTCATCAGAAACACACAATCGAAGAATTGAACAATGTGTAGGAAAAAAAAATGAGGTTCTCCTGATTGTCAATGAGTAGGGATAAATGTGGCTGTGAAGCCCGGTACGGCCCAGCACAAAAAAAAAAACACGCATGTTATTGCGCGTGTCGGCCGTGGGCCGCCTTTATTTAGGAGAAGCACAATAAAACACGGCAAAATCCGGCTAAAATCAATGCAGTTTTGCTTAGCCACTTAAGCCCGGCATGATGGCAGGTGGGCATGGGCCGACATTTTAAAACTTTGGCCCGACCCGGCATGAAACTTGTGGGCCAAGCCTAACTAATGCCAAATCATGTGGGCTTGACACGAGGCATGGCCCGGAACGGCACAAAGCATCTTAAAGTAGGGACTGGCTGGTACCTGCAAGATTGAACAACTCTTCAATGCTATCTGGCAGGACTATAAGTTTGCCAAACTGTTTCTCTTCCATACTGTCGCTTTGCGACTGCATGTGAATGATCACTCTAATCTTGTTAACATTTGTAATCGCTGCTCCAGGATGTTCTACATAGCTGTTTGACCTCAAGTTTTCCGATGCTGCCTCCATGCCACATGTGACTGAATCATAATATTTTTGAGTTTCCACCTTGTATGTAGCATTCCATCCTTTGTACATTGTGGGATTTTCAGCAAATTGGTGTTCAATTTCATGTTTTAAGCATGTAATACATTTATGTTGGCTATTAAACCGCTCCCCATAAGTATATTCCTCAACATCTTGCTGCTCCAACAAACCTTGGTTTGCTAGATGTTTTAGTTTCTGCAGAATAAAACACGCAAACACCTAGATTAATAGCAGTATCATCTACTCATTCTGCTCGTATGAGAATGGAGGGAGAATCAATTAGGCTTGCTCATATACTAGTTTTGGAAGAATTACCGTAAATAGATGGCTCTTGATGATATGTCCGTCTGCTTCGTTTGCTTGAATAATGTTCGTAAATGAAGTACTATTTAACCTTAATATCTGAGACAGTTCTGAAGTCCGGACAGTGAATGGCTGAGGCTTATTACATAGAACCCCAATCTCTCCAAATATTTCCCCTTCAAGTAGCTTCTGAACAACCTGAGTACAAAGTATAATTTTCGCTGTTAAGACACTGAAATTTTTATTTCCTAGCATACTGTCTCTGTTAAATTGACAGCATTATTACCTGATTACGCCCATTAATGTGTACCACCATGTCCTAAATAAAAGATAACATTTCATCAGTTATAAGTCTTTTGATGATTTGATTAATTGTTAGCCTGTTAGAGTTTTAGGTAGCTAACAATTAATTATTTAGCCATAAAGTGCTTGAAACAATAAAGATTTACCACTGCACCAGATACGAGAATGTATATATCCATCGGCGTTTCATTTTGTAAAATCACGTCTTCTTTAGGTGGAAAGTATTCAGCCTCCATTTCCGAAACCTGCACACAAGGAGAATCAGGGGAAATAGTCTGAAAATGGCATATGTAACATAATACAGATTGCATTGTATCATCATTGGCCAAGAGTACAGCAGAAATTAAGCATATACTCGTATACTGATTGGAAAATAAGATCAGCTTTAAAGCTTGTCAAGCAGGAAGAGGTCTTACCAGTTGTAAGAGAAACTTTTGAGAAACTCCACAGAAAAGTTGGACTTTCTGAACAACAGGAAAGAAGAGATATTGTGCAATGCTAGATCGGAGAGCTTTGGGCAGACTGTTTAAGGTCTGCTGCTGTTTTAACCCTTCAGTTTTGAACTTCAGACATACATGTGACAGCATTTGGTCCTGTATTCTGGGAGGAAGTTGATTGCGTGCTGCGAATTCTGTACAAGCTCTGACTGTATCTCTCTGCAGAACCATTAATCATGAGCATTTGTTCATATCATCTAATTCTAATAAAAACTTATATGTATCTAGCTATATTGAGCCACTCACAAAATTTCTGGTGCGACTTGTCCAGTGAACAACAAGGTTTGTCATGTTTCCAATGATGTAAGACGTGAGTCCTAGATTGAATAGCATGTAGAAGATGTCAAACAGCATCTCGATAGTGTTTTCAGCATGCAGGTCACCATAGCCAGTGGTTGTTAGTGTCACAATAGACCAGTATAGCGAGGCAATGTATCTCTTCCACACGCCCTGTGATTTAAAGTTCGGGTTCACTGCACCAATCCAAGTTTTAGTTGGATCAGGGTATTTGTCTGCTATCAGGTAATAGAAGCATCCAGCATAATGAACAGCAAATAATGTTACCTGTAATTCAATATTAGTCAAAAGAAAAGATACCACTTAGGCACTTACTAATTAAAGTTAACAACTATTTCAATTAAGTTGACTATAAAAATGGTAAGCGAAGTTCATGATGGCTTACTGCGACAAGTTTGGTGCAGCGGGTCCAAAAGTAGTTGAAGTGGATATCTTTCTCGAGCCTGGAGATGGTTAATAATCATAGCAAAGTCTTAGGTGAAACCGTCTCATAGTAATCAAATAACAAGTATAAGATGGTACTAAAAGTTACCCTTCAGAAAAGTAAAAAGTCGTTACTAAAAGTTTTCATTAAAAACACAAATCAGTCTGGTACTCTTGCAAAAAATTACTGAGTACTGTAAGACTGTCGTATCGTCCAGAGTTTTACTTCATCAGTTCATTTAGAGTTTGATTACAGACCTTGCAAAGAGGGAGCTGACCCTCCGAAGTCTCCAGAGTCGAAGCATGTTAAGTGCTTTAAAACCTAGTCCACCGTTGTGGTCTGTAAAGAGAAGGCTAAGCGTCTGAAGTGGTGCTGTTGAACAGACATCAAAAATAAACCAGGTTGACAGGTACCTATAAAAAAATTAAGAAAACTTTTCAAGTCCAACTTTAGTATCTAGAACGGATGGAATCAGAACTGCTGCATAAAATTATACTAACCTGATTGCAATTTTTTTATGATCATCGATTAGTAAGTAAGTTCTACGATCAATATATGCAACAAAGAAGGTAAGAACTATATCAATTGCGAAAAAACCATTCACGACGTGATCAATGATGAAGAGTGCATCCTGTTTGTATACCAGGAATGCAAACTCAAATGGACAGATCCATGCTGAATACACAACCAGGATTATTAGCAGCATCTCCCATGCCCTGAAAGTTTGAACCTTTTCACTTAACTCTCATGACAACTTTGATACAATTTTACAGAAAGATGACAGCAGCAGTGAAGTATGTTATGTCAAAAACCTTGATAGAGTAGAGTGTATGTTTTAATGTTCAATCCTACTTTGTTATCTCACCTGTAGCGAGGATTGAATGGTGAGATGACATATTTATTGAGCTCGACAGTTTGGTTGATTTGAGCTCCAAGAGACGGTAAAATATCATTGGAAAACACGCTGTCATAGCTGCTACCATGCTCAATTCTCAGCTCGTTTGTGCAAAAACGCTTGAAGAATGTTCTTATGCAGGAAAGCCACACCCACATGCTTCAGTATGCGCGTGCTCAAGAGTCAAAATTATTCTTTATACTCAAGATTAAGAAGTTTTTTGTAGTAAAAGAAGTGTTATAATTAATTTTTACTTTTGCAAGCTGGTAAGCTATGCTTGGAAGAGTTATACCTGTTTCTGAATCATATATATATTTTTACATGTCTGTACATATATGCAATGACAACGGAAGTGGTGCGCGATTTCCATGTAAACAGATTGATGAGAAAATTGAAAAGAAACATCTTGTGACCCAACCAGAAATGGAAAGGAAGCATATATGAGCATATGGCCCAGGTAGATCTCGTGTATAAAGGTAGGAGAAGGATCCAGAGAGAAAAAGACAGCAATTGTGGCTGAAATACGTCTCTTTTGTATTATAATTTATTAGCTGGTGCACTGTTATTGGGTTCATGGGTACCAGAAAGAGGGAAAGATCACATCAAAGGTAGTTTAAATTGTTGTAAAAGAGGTTATAGTTAACTGTAATGGTAATAATTGTGAACTGCTATTAATAATTGGCTTGGTGGATGGCTCCAAAAAGAAAGGAGGCCTATTGCTGCTGGCAGGCAGCCGCACTCTGCATTAATTTATACAGCCTCCGTTCTTTTATAATCGCAACATTTGCACTATTTATGATTGTGAGGAATAGTATCTTTTAAAGTTTTTGACGGAATATGTTGACTATTCCTCTTGTTTTTAAAAGTTTTTTTCTATGAATACAGTATTTGTCTCACAAAAAAAAAGTCAAGATATGATTTAGAGATAGAAGAAGTAATATTAGAAACAAATTATAACATACATTTGAAATGATTGTTAGACTAGATCAACTCGTTGTATAGGTTCTAAACTTCAAAACTTAAACATATTTATTACAGAGTAATAAGATAGTCAAAAATAACAAGGGTCAATGTTGAGCATTGGACATGTTAAAAACATCGTGATTAAAATTAAGTAATGGAGGGACTATTTGAAATTTAAGGACTCTTGTATGTAAACTATTTACAATTGACTCGAACATGATCAAATCAAATCCAACTCGAAGAAAACAATTTGTCAACGGGACATGACCCATTCCAAAGGATGCAGTTATCGCCTATACTAACACTACTAGTTGTAGGACCACATACTATGTGCGCATTCCCGTTCCCCCTACACAATGACTCTTCACTTAATGGAAGACTTAATTTGGTTGTACTTATATTAGGAATAGATTACATACTAAGTTCTAGTCAGTTATTAAACTTTGAGTAACTTTTGAAATCTCAAGTAAATGCCAAAAGACGAAGAATAATCAATGTAAACACATGATCTATCTTCAACGGAATATGTGGCAAATGAGCCCCATAACCTAAGACTTAAGTGCAAAATAGCCCCCTAAGTACTAATAACAGCAAATTAACCCCACTACTTTTTAAATCGTGCAATTTAACTCTCATTAGATATTTTCCGGTGACATTTAATCTTAATACATAATACAAACCGGAAAACAACTACTACGTATTTTTTTCCCCAAATAAATAGTACACGTATATTTATGCTAATATAATTCATGACACATGTATCCCATTTTTCCCATCTTACCAACTTTTGGTCTACTTCTTCATCAATTCTACATACAACTTTCTCCCTGTACCCACCTTTTCTCATTTTTTCTCTCTCCTTCCAATGACAAATTATCTTCAAATCTAAGTGCAAATTAAAGTAGCTAATTTAATGAGAGGAATAATTGGGTTGTTTACGAATCCTATTAGTAGTCAATATTCACTACCACCTTCTACAACTTTCAAAGAATTTATGTAGAACTTCTAGCACTATCGTATCGCCATATCCATTGTCCATCAGAGCTCCAACCAACATATAGCGCAGCTAGGGACTACAATTACAAAGGTAATACTCATTTGTCAATTACAAAGTTGTTAATCAAGTTCATAGATCTTATTATGAATGTTGTAAGTTTATTTGGTAATTGATTCATACAATTTCATGTCTAAAACTAATTGATTCATACTCATTTGAATAATCTGAATTTCATTGTTTTTTTACAAAAAAAGTTATTAGGTTTTCCCAATTACATATTATCTCGATGTGTTTCTACAAGTACAATTTAAAATTAGGTTTTAATCATGGTTTATATCATGAGAGAGAAATCAAAGTTACCTGTAAAGGAAGCCATGGAAGAGAGTTGAGATGTTTTGGAGAGCGTTGTGCTTGAACGTGGAGCTGTTGTTCATGTAGTTCACTTTTTTTTTTTTTGGATGTATTTTTTAATTTCATTATAGGGTTATTGTATGTAAGTTATAAATAACGTACTTCAAATATAGAAGGGTTGTATCTCAATGGTTTAAGGATAGTATAATGGTAAAATTATAGTGGTATTCCGGTGGAATTAAAATTTTCCGATTATATATGGCCAGAATATACAATGTATGGGCTAATTACACGTTCTCTAAAGGTGCAGGGCTGATTTGCTTCGATTAATTTTAAAGGGGTTGATTTGCACTTAAGTCTTAGGTTATGGGATTCATTTGCTACAAACGCCTATCTTCAACAATTTGGCATTAAGATTTCAAACCAGAATGCTCAAATTCAAGCTTATACATTAATTATATGAACTCGAATTCAAAACTAAAACAAATTCTTAAAACCAAAAAGCTATCTAAGTGTAAATCCATTTCTACAACTCCGCCGCAACAGGTATTGTCACATTATAGCCCATTGAATTTGACATTAAACTAATCCTGTTCCGTCGTTGTCCCTTGCTGCATTAGCAGCGAGCGCCAACACTTTCAATGATAGATAGAGGTAAGTTTAAGGAAAGGAAGGTCAAAATTGCTAAGAGGCTCCCTTCTTGACTAATGACCAATAGAATATTCCGAACATGTAAATTAAACATTTCAAGAATTCAATGATTTACAATTAATGGAATGGAAAAAAAAGACTACCTCATGTGTCCGACTTCGTGTATGATCCACCAACTTCATTTCAACCAAATTGCTCAACCAAAAAAAAAAAGTAATTAACAGCTACTTAAGTTAATTGCTCAACTAAAGCATTGAAGAAGAATATACAGTAATTAACAAAAAAAAAGTTGAATCATAAGTAAAGTTAGAATGAGGTTTATGAATGTCGCATTTTCTTTGACTACAAATTTTGTATAAATCAGCATTACACCGTTTGATTAGCAAAGAGTTCATCCTTATCGACATTAAGAGTTTGAATTGAAATTCATTTATAAACCAAAAGGTATTAGAATGCAATTAAACTGAAATTATGGCAGCAGGGATATTTCATACCTGTCAAATGACTCAAATATGGCCTCAACACTCCCTGCATTCAAATTGTACAAACATATATCAACCAAAGTATAAAAGGCTAATTACAAAAATCACAAGCTAATCATAGCATATCACATCACTTTATATTATAAATAATCAAATAAGATCACTAATTAGCACAATCACCTTCAATGTAATCATCCTGTATTTATCAACCGTTGTATTTATCAACGTGTATGTAGATAGAAACTCCGTTGAAGGCGAGCCTTGTCGAAGCATCATAATTAGTTTCACTGTGGTGTGGGGATGATGAAGATGTGGTGATGAGGAGGAAACTAAGGAAGATAAGAGGGATTGAATAGTATGTGAAAAGATTGAAAAATTAATCAGAATGTCTTTGGGATATATATGACAAATTCTCAATAATTGCATAAGATATTTTGAACTTTTGACTTTCAATTCGTAGTAAAAAGAGAGGTAAAGAACTACACACTAATCACTAATCATAATCAGAGTACCCAACTGATTTTTTTGCCAGTTATATAATCTTAGATTCTTAGGTGATCACTCTGACCTAATAATATCGCTTAAACTTGATAAAAGCCATGTATAACAAATAATGCACTTCTAAGTTCATACATAAATACACAAATTTATCGATTTAACTTGACTTGACCATATAGCATGAAAATTGTACCAACTCCTACGACATCAACCAACCATATTGTTAATAATGATCTCAAGAAACCTACTAAAAGTTAGTTCAGTGAAACACTTAAATATGAAAACATAAAATGACCACCCAACCGGCCAATCAGCACATTTGACACGTATCCGTTAATCCAGAAAAGGCTAAGAGAAATTGACAAAAGAAAAGGTAATACGAAGTACAAAATAAAGGCCAGGATATATAATAGAGTACCAAATTAGATGAATCTTTTTGTAACAGAAATAACAACCCCCATATTGCCAAATAAAGATATGAATCTTGAACAGAGTGCACAGATACTCAGATAGTCAATCAGACTAAGCTGAAAAAACTTAACAGAACATGAGAACTGAGGAAGACCAAACAATGTTTACACTATACATCTTCAACAAAAATCCTAGTCAACACATTACACATTAATGTGGAAACAAACTCCGTTCTTCTGGCCACCAAGGGGTGTCAAAGCAGAAACACCCACCAATGCAAGCATCCCAGAGAGATGCACAATGGCGAGAGAAAAAACGGATGAAATAGCTGAGATCACAGCACGAATCTACTCTGTATACAAGCCGAAGCAGAAATATCTACTTGGCCTTCTTCAATAGAATCAATGTTCTGTACTCTGCATCATCCTTAATGAAGCTCCACCAAATGTAGGAAAGAGGAATGCTAATGGCATGCCACACAGCAAGGGCATCCACAAAATCCCAGTAAGGTGGAAAATCATAAATCACCAAGAGGATAGAAAGAGCTCCCCCAAAAACTACAATCCATAACTTCGAACGTGAAGGATGCTGACTCATACGACCCCATACAGCCCACAGAAGAAGCTGAGCCAAACCCATGGTTAGGCACACTTTCATGTTCAGACCTGATGGACACAGAGGAAATGGAATTCAGACAGGTGATCATGAAACATCATAATAATTTACATGCAAGTTGGAACTGAGAGTCAAGAGAATAACTAAGCCTAGAAACAACTAAGATTCATCAGTTTACTCATAATTCCCTCCTAAAGCCACCACTATCAAGGGAAGGGAAATATGTGCAATAAATACCAGTTTTAGGCTGTAAGAACAGCCAAAGAGCTCTAGCAAAAAGCAGATGTGGACCACAGCCAATTGGCCACCGTGCTAAAAATACCTTTTAGAGAGGTCAGTAATATAAAGTTACATGCTAGAGAGTTTCACATATGAGCAACTGTTTATAATGTATGGAAGGGGTAATATTTACAATCACAATTCAATGATCAATCAAAACATTCGACTTTGGATCTCAAGGATTATATTAATTTGCTTTTTCGTTATTTCATACTTCGTATTTTGCTGTGAATTACTAATAGGCAATTCTAAGGGCAAAGAGTCTCTCTGCATTTGTAACAAGGCACTGTTTCACCCAAGGGCCCAGACCCCAACCCAGAAGAAGCAAATCCTCTTCCCCACTTCATGAATGAAATGCATGAAATGATGCTTTGTAAATCAACAAACTTCCTTATAAATCAAAAATGTATAAATAGATTATTAAAAAAAAATTGAAAGAGAGATTTACCATAGTCAAGAGCGTAAAAATTTAGATACAAGATGTGTGTCGTCACAAATGCAATTAGTGGTGCGGAAACCATAACCCTAGAGGCTTCCCGCTTTATCTCAAATGCTCGAAAGATAGCTAGGATAAGACCAAAGCCAAGCAATGCCACAGCAGAGGAGTAACCTAGCTTCTCTGTCAGGTCCAGATCTCTGTAAAAGGAGGAAAGGTTACAGATGCCAACCCATTTCCACATCATTGACTATAAGCATAAGGACATGCAAGAGCAGCAGTAGCCTAACAGGTTTAGACAATCAGTAATTCTTGTTATAATGTAATAATGACTGATGGCGACCTCAGAGCCACAAATTTCCCAGTTTTAAGCTTTCAATAACAACTTTATAAGTATAAAATATACATTTAAAATAAATAAAAGCCTTGTTCGTTCTAGCCTATATCTTTTCCCTTTCTATTGGTGTGAGAACCGTTGAGAGTGTAAAAATCAATCTTGAATTGCACTTTTTTGCCAAGATGCCAACATCAAAGTATTTAGAAGCTATCAAGAACATACATAGCAGGATGCAGAACTCAGGGATATCTTAAAGCTGCGGCAGATGCATAAATTTGATAAATGAATTACACAGAAAAATGCAAAAGGATGAGTACTGACCGACTGTGGAAAACTGCAGCCCAGAACCAACAATTCATTGCCAAGACACCATAGATATGCCACAAGCCAGAATATTCATAATATGTCTTCCGCTTATCCGTCAAAGGCAACTTGTAATAAACAAGAATGAAGAATGATATCCAACCGTGAAATTGTATGGCAAGATTGAGTGCAGAAAGAGATACAGAAACAGGTTCCTGGAGAAACAAATGGGAACCATTTTAAACAGGATAATTGAAGAATAAACAAAATTAAAAAGTACTTTATAATACTATACATATTTCAACAATGGGAAATACAAAAGAACCTGGATTCCATATACACGACGAAAAGGCCATCTTCCATGATACTTGACAGGTTTCTCTCCAAGCTTTCTCCTTTCCTCCTCCCTTGCAAGCATGCAATAGTAGTGACAATCACTGTGGCAATCCCACTGTTTCCATTTCAGATAGAGAGGTTCTTGAAGATACCATCGACCATCAGAAATGTTACCATCGGCAGTGAATATGCAATGTTGAAAGCACTGATGGCTTCCAACACAACCGGTCTCCTGACAATTTTCCACACAACCCCTAGAGCATGACAGAATATATAATCAGTAGAAGCTCTGTACCAAACAGTCAAGCAAGAAGAAGATAAAACAAAGTCAATGAAAGCTACGAAGTGCACATCGTCTATACTAAATTACTAATCTAATAATAATGCTAAAACATTGCCAGAACTCATTTCTAACATCAACACTATATTTGACAAACTACAGGCCGAATCATCCACTGAATTCGCTCATAATATACACTTTATTAAATATATACGAAGTTTAGGAGAACAGTCACTCAAGAACAAAGGCTACACCAAATTATTATAAAAACAATTAAAATTCCTTAATCCTGATGCCTCTCATCCTACCTTAAAGAGTTTCTATGCAATTAAAGCTACTAGAACCCAATGCACTTCTTCAAGGTTGTCAATCAAGCAACTAGGCAAGAACTTAATATCTATCGGATGCTCAACCCCAATAGGATGTCATTAGCTGTCCAATTTGCTCAACTTAACAAGTTCACAGGTGAGTAATGAGCTAATGGCTTATGAATAGTCCCATATCAAAAAGGTTTATTTACTTTAAACGGCTAGAGAGTAACTTTGACATTCCCACAATTTCCAATTGGTTTTAGGATGGAACCACCTTAAACGAACATCTAATAAGTCCGACTATCCACCATCACGACCACAACACGGGATATAATCCACTTTAACATTCCCCTCCACCACCACCCCTCATTGACCACTAAAACTTAAGATCTAATAAGTAAGTAATCTCATTATGAAGGTCAAACAACCCATTGCAAAAGACTCAGGGTAGAATAAAATTGTAACATTGAATCATCGCATCAATTCTTCTAAAAAAGATAAAACCTTAATCATATCCATCCAACTCAGAACCCCACTAAGTCACATTCTTCAACTCACTTTTTTAAAATCCTCCACTTTTTAATCCAAAAAAAAAAAAAACCATCCAATCAATCAGTAAACTAGATGTCACCAATCACACCCATGAATTCCAATAATCGATCAATTCCCAAATTTCAAATTCAAAAAACAACAAAAAAATCACCATGTATCAACAAATTTAAACCCTAATTAGCAGCAACAACAACAACGAACATTTGCAAATTAACCAATTAATCAACAAAACAAATTAAACCCATCAAAATTAAACCACAAAAAATAAAAGTAAAGCAAAGATTAGACAACCTGTAAATTGGATCAGCATCACCTTCAGTAGCTTTAAGAGCACGAGCAATGCCGAAAAAAGCAAAGAAAACAACCAACCAATGACAAAGTGCCATCTGGGAAAAACCCAACAAAAATGGAGGAGAGAGAAAAGGTAAACAGAGATCAAGCTTTATCAGCTATGGCGGCAAAAGTCAGGCGATTTACAATCACATTTTTCGGAGGAGAGAGAAAATAGAGGTGCAAGATTTTGTGGGATTTTTTTGGGAGAAATATTTAATTGCGCGGAAAAATTGGGAAGAAGACAAGTGGGAGAAAAAACGAGAGATATAAAATAAGTTTGGGAAAATGGTACGGAAGGAAGTTAGTATATTGAAATGAGTTTGGGGGTTTTGGTAAATGGGAACAAATCATGATTTGAATGACAAACTGATTTTCTGTATATAATTTTTTGAGACTATCACCTGACACGTGGGGGTAGATTTGTGGATGATTAAGGTATCTTTAGTTTTGTTTATTGCTTGCCGCGAGGTCGGGTTATTGGTTTTCGTGTGAGACGGGTGTATTGTGTGACCATTAAATTTTGAGGTTGGGAATGATATTTGATTTGAGATGTGGTCAAATAATTATATACTCATATTATTCAATATAATACAAATTTAAAGTGATTGCTAGTTGTGTGATTAGAATCCACCACCTAAACACTAATAGAGTTAAGAATACACAGTAAATCACAAATATTAAATTTAGGTATAATTAAAGATAAAGAGAGACAAAGAGTATATAAGATGAGTAAAAAAACCATGCAAAAGAAGCGGGCAGATGTAAGGATATTGAATCAACAGTGTTATCAAATTAATTTAAATATTAGGATAATGAGGAGTATTTTTTATATTACTTTGCATTATAATTATAAAAATTTATAATTGGATAATATTTTTAGAGGTAATTAGTGTGATTTCGAAAATATATGCGATGATTCAGATTAAGATGGTTAGGTTGATTAAGTGATTGGAAAGACAGTATATATGGGTACAGGTAGCGATGGTGGTTTCATTTGGTGATATTGTGGTTTATTTATGAATAGCTTATGTTAAAACTTTAATTCATTAATCATCATTATAAAGTTTTGTGTTGGATTCCGTATTGATCAACTCACTTTGGAAAAAAAAAATGGATGTTTCAATTCGGATGCATCACTTCCCCTTTTAGTTAATAAATTTTCTATCTTTCTTATATAGTTATATTACATGAGCCCTCTTTATTTACATTTCTCTTTATTTCTTTCTATTTTAAAATTGTATAATACACGTCACAAAATTTATGCAACTAAAAAACAAATGAAATCTTTAGTTTTGTTTTTAATTGCTCTTTTAGTGTGTTTTATACAGACTCACTTATCATCTTCTTCTCATTTAATTTTCCAAGTTTTGTTTTTAATAGTTTTTTTTAGTGTGTTTTGTTGCTTAGGCGGTACATTGGAGAATTATGTATATATTACTCACAAATAATGCCCAACAGTAATATTTATAGGTGATGTATGGAGGCAATGGAGGTGGAAGTAGTGTGTTAAAATTTCTACCCACCTACTCTTTAAATTGTCATATTAATCTAGAACCTTTATAGCCATTCACCAATTCTAGAATTTTCCACAATTATGTGTCAAGTTCTCAACCTACGAGAATTTTCCATAAATCTTTAGAATCCTTGAGACATAATTAGTTGAACTTATGGAATTTATTGTGTCACACTAACTCGTGTTACACTAACTCAACATATACTTATAACATGAAGTTTGTATGCTATAATGTCTTGTGTTACTTTGTTATCTTATTGTGCTTTTCTTCAATATTTCTACGGCTTTTAATGTCTTCATTTTCAACTGCTATTTCCTCTTTTCATCTTCCGGAGTTAGAGTAAACCATTAGTAAGGGCAAAAAATAAAGAAAAATAGAGAACTTTGTAGCTTACTTCATTCTTCACATACACTTCGTAATAGATACTCCGTACTTTTTCAAATAGTTTTCCTCTTTTATTAGAAATTATATTTCAATTCGCAACAACACGAGTCACTACCAAAGATTGCATTGGAGTCATGCATCATTAAAACATTTACATTCAATCTCGGCAAAACCAAAGCATCCTTAGCAAAAGCTATAACATTACATAAAGAAGTCCAACTAGCTCTTCATTGCGCCATTCAAACAATTAAAATTGAAGGTGGTAATAACTTTTTAGGCTTTTAGTCATTGAGTCAATAAAAGACATTTGGTTAGTCCCTTGCAGATCAATCATATTATCGAAGACATTCGTTCCCTCCCCACCCAGTTTCAGTTAGGGGTGTCCATTCAGTTTTCGGTTTGGATTAAGCCCAAATCCAATCCGATCCGAAATAAATTTCTTTTTTCATTTTCAAATCCAATCCGATTCGAATTCATAACAAAATCCAATCCGATCCAATCCGAATTATAATTCGGTTATTTGGATCCAATCCGAAAATCCTAATTAATATACATTACTTGCTACTTTTTTGGCCTAATGCTATTATAAAAATAAAAATGTAATAATAAAAATACAAGTCTTCAAAGGATAGTTGTACACAATTAATACAATTGAAAGCATAGGTTTACATGATTAATTTTATTATAATCATAAACATAGTTTAACATAATTAATATTAACAATATTTATTTATAAAATAACACTTTCATATTTCGGTTATTTTGGTTTTTTGGATCAGAATAAGGTCAATCCTACCCAATCTGAAAATCTGAAGTTAAAAAAAAAAAATCAATCCGATCCGATCCAATAATTCGGTTTAGATTAGATTGGATTTCGGTTTTTATCCGAATAATAGACACCCAGGTAGTAGATTGGAGACCAACAAGTTTTAAGTTAAGAGTTTTACCATCTTAGCCATTTATTAATTGTGCATTTTTATCCAACAAAATTATAGTTAACTTAGATAAGTTAATTTGTGTCTTATTATACAATTTGTTTCCATTATGTAATGATTGAGCCGAGTTTGACAACTAAAAAAATGTTTATATCAAGACTTAAACTCGAAACTAACGAGCCTTACTATCTAAACAGTCGAATTTGATTAGCAAATTAAACAAATACTTCCTCCGTCTCCGAAAGAACGACCCATTTGGCCTAATTTTAATCCCAAAAAGAATGACCCATTAGCATTAAAATACCCACTAATTTGCAACAATATTTGTGCAAAATTATCTTTTCCATATAAAATTTTGTTTTTCCATATACTTTTATTACTACCCCTCTCTACAACCCTATGTAAATTTAATTTTCAAATATACTTTAACTTCTTTTTATTTAACTTTATCAATACCCGCGAAATCAACCCAAATTGGTCGTTTTTTCGGAGACGGAGGGAGTACAAACTAGCCATTCGGGGCATCGTATGCATCAATCAATCATCAATAATCAATCAATAACTATATACTAAAAGACACACTAGCAATGACACATGTCAATTTCTGGTGTGTTCTTAGTAATATTTAATAGAAAATTTATTTGAGGAAATTATTTGTAAAATTTAATTACTATATAAATAAAATGATATTTACCTTTTTTCTATATTTACATTAAATTAACTAATTAATATGGAAAATAGAATAGCAAAATATAATCTTTGTAAATATCTTTTAAAAAATACAATCTTCTACTATAAGTTTTTATGTGGCAAACATAATATTCGTTTCAAGGATACCATTGAGATAGACAAAATTTAATGACTAAAAACGAGATATTACAATATATGACAACTAATAATACGTACATAATTTTTTTTGTAACCTAGTATTTAAGAAAGGGTAATTGTAAACTAATAATCCCACCTTTAGTCGGTCTTCCAGAAACAATCCTACCTGTTGAAATTCCAGAAACAATCCCACCTTTAACATGGATCTTCCATTAACAATCCCTGACCGGTTGGATAGCTTTGGTAACCGGTTTTCTTAGGTTATAAGACACGTGTCGAATTTTAATAGATTTATTCAAATTTTTAATAATAATATATATATAAAAAAAAACCCATCTCCAACCCCAACACAGCCCCGCCACTAGCCCCACCCCACCACTGCTTTCCCCTCCCCATTGCCGCCCTTGCTTTCCCCGGCAACCCAACCTAGCCCTCAACTCACCATTGCCGCCACCAATATCAATGAAAACCTTCCAAATCTACCGCTAGAACCCCGACTCCTTCGAAACCCGAGCTCAAAAACTATGAGATCAACCTCAAGGAGTATGGTCTCATGGTTCTCGACGCTCTCATCAACATCAAGAACAAAATCGATCCTTCTCTCTCACCTAGTCACCTTCTGCCGAACTTGCCGCGAAGAAATTTGTGGTTTATGTGCTATGAACATCGATGGTCATAATGTCCTCGCTGGTCTTACGAATTGAAGATCGATTCATCGGCTTCGATGACTACGTCGTTGCTGCATATGTTTGTGATTAAAGATGGTGGTTGCGGATATGAGAAATTTCTATAATCAGTATAAGAGTATTGAGCCTTGGTTAAAGAGGAGCTTCTGGGTTTAATTTCAAGCTAAAAATTGAATTTAGAGGTAATTGGGGCTACCGGGGTTTACTTTTTAGGGCTGAGGGTTGAGTTTTCAGGCTGGGTGGAGGTTTTTCGGGGCTGTGGGTCAAGTTTTTGGGGGCGGAGGTTGAGTTTTAGGGGTGGTTACAGCATGGTTGGAAGAATCTGTTGTGGCCTTGTGGGTGGCAGTGGCGGTTAGGGGTTAGGGTGACCATGGTGGTGGACTGGTGGCCCCAAAAGAGATTTAGGTTAAAAAAAAAAGAAAAAATAATTAACCTGTTTAACAGGTTGTAGGTCAAAGGGATCGTTAGTGGAAGATACATATTAAAGGTGCGATTATTTCTGTAATTTCAAAAAGTGGGATTGTTTCTGGAAGACCGACTAAAGGTGGGATTATTAGTTTACAATTTTCATTTAAGAAAAGACAAATATTATATGTTGAATGGGTAAATCGTGAGTCTCTTACAGAAAGCTATCCCCGTTCACAAATGGCGGCAATTTCTCTCTCCTCCCCATCAATCACCCGCACACACTTCCACTTCTCTCACCCCCGCATCCAATCACATCACTTCCCGCTATTTTCTCTCTCCTCGATCCACCTCCGCCGCACCACCAACCTCCGACTGTTAACTCCGAAGCAGAAATGGGCACCAGCAGCTTACGTACACGGACCCGCTTCAGACTATTCGGTATCTGACCCGAACCCGAACCCGGACCCGAAAGTCGAGGGGTTTGGGAGAGAGAAAGTTGAACCAGAAGTTGCCATAAGTTGGGGAACTTTCTGGAATTTGTTGGTGGACCAAAAATGGCGTCTTGCTCTTTGTGTTTCTGCTCTTGTTGGGGGTACTGCTTGTACCCTTTCTATGCCTCTTTTCTCAGGTACTGTTTAATTCTTCAGTTGTTTATGTTTTATTTAAATAATCAGATAGTTTGATTTAATTGGAGTTGGAATTATGGGTTACAATTGTAGCTGAATTGTTTGATGATAATTTAGGGTTTTCAATTTTGTTATGATTGTTTGTACTTAGTAATTGGTGAACAGTAGAGATAGATATTGAATTGTTTTGTCGTAAATGTATCTGATCATCAGAGAAGAATAGATGAATAGCATATTCACTCGGACAACACTTAAGCAGTTAAATCCCGTAGGCGACGCCTTTTCTTATTGATGGAGCCTTGAAGCTTGGCTTTTCTCACTCTAAAATCCAACATGTAATGTTAAATATCACTTTACAATAGCAATGCAACTTCAACTAAATTTATCTAATTTTGTTAATGTGTGGAAATTGCTAAATTGACCTTTAGGCGAGTGATCATAGGTGTATTCGACATTACAGGATTATTAACTAAGGACATTTCTCTAACCATACTCTTTCTCCATAGAATAAATAGATTTTTAATCCTTTCTCGTTCTAAAAAGTATTGAATGATAACCTATAATTAATGTCTTATAGCTATTGCATAAAGAGGCTTGGATGAGGAGTCTCTTTTATCATGCATGGAATTTTTGAAATACACATTATGGTCCTAGAAAGAAATGAGATAGAAAGGCAATTTAGGAAACCACAATCTAAGAAGTTGTCGGTCTTGTGGATAATAAAGTTAAATATGCAAACAAGGTAGATTGGTTTTCAAGTATACTTTTCACTTAACACAAAACAATCATATTATCAACTATGACTCACCTTGAGTCCTTGGGATAACACAACTTAAGTATATATTTTGGCTGATGTCTCTCTAAGTCAAGCTTGGCTTAGTTTAAATAAGCTTGCAACAATTCACATTCAACCCTGTCCTTATGTAGTGCCCATAGGTTTGATGTTAGCGCTTAGCGGAGTAAAAACTTGAATGTATGACTTCATCTCGATCATATGCAGCAGATGAATGTTTATTGACATAATTTCCATAGTTGTGGTAATTAAGATGTGATTTAGCACATATATCTCAGGTTTAACCTTTATTATCACATATGCAACTAACACATTACTCCAATTTCCAGTCTACTTTTCCGCTGCCTCATCCGTATTGCTGATTTGCCAATTTGCCATCTTTAGTAGTAGGAAAAGTATCACCTCTGGAGGCTAAACGGTTACTAGTGAAGGAAATACTGTTTTTTTGCAGTAGAACTTCCTCACCTCAAGAAAGAAAACTTCCATGTACTTTCTTCCCAATTTCTAACCCAACATCTCTTTTGAGATCCAATCTCCTCGTACCCTGTGTCCCCTTACCTTCATGGTTCCTCTATGATTGTGAAGAAGATGGCTGAGAGAGGGTTTTAGTGGTAGGGACAACATCTGTTTTCCAATTTTTGATCCAGATGATCACATAGACACTGCAGCTGTAAGCAGCTTAGGATTCTTCACTGAGGCTCTACTTTGTTGGTCCTTGGCATGTTGCATATTAGCTAATTTTTTCTTATAGTATGGAGACAATTCTTGATGTATCTTCTTTCTACTTGATTTATATTTGGTTTATCCCCCCATCTTATTTTTTTGGTTGCTAAAATAAAAAAACCCTTATATGCTTCTATGTGTCGTGATTATGCAGGGAGGTTTTTTGAAGTTCTTTCAGGAACGACACCCGAGCCTTTGTGGAAAGTAATGAGTAAAATTGCATTTGTATATTCATTAGAACCAATCTTCACTGTGATATTTGTCATAAACATGAACAAAATTTGGGAGAAGGTTATGTCTGTTTTAAGAGCTCAGATATTCCGGAGGATGTTAATTCAAAAGGTAGCATTGCATATCCTAGCCCATTGAATTTATCTAGTCTCATTGTTTGTCTTATCAGGCATTATAATTTCATATATGCTTATACCGTGCTAGTGTGTAACTAATAAAACAATTGAAACAAGGAAACCTCTTAATGTTTTGTTTAAACATATTACATTATCCATGGGATAGTAAATCAAAGAAAAAAACATAGGTGACCAATGAGGATCATGCATCTAGCCGTCTAGTACAGAACAACATATTTAACTGTTACTTCCTCCGTTCTTTAGTTAATTCAACAATTGCCTTTTATAGAAGTTTCACAATAATCAATTTAACTCTCTTTTGGGAAACATTTCACACTAAAAGCTACAACTTTGCCCTAGTTTATCATCTTTTGTTTCTCCTCTAATCATATAATCACATGAGTATAGGGTGGGCCACCTCACCCACTTTCCTCCCTTATATTCTTTGTGTCAAATCCAATTGTTGCAATGAATAATGAACGGAGGAAGTATTGCTGTTAGTATGCTTGTGTTAATACTTTATTAAGACCCCCAAGGAAATATGGTAATTGTATCTACTTATGTGCATGTGAGACTGTACTGTACCAGTAAGAAGTACACTAATATTAATTGTAACGACTATAGCTGTACACATAGCTTCTATAAATTTGCAGCGGCATTAAACAATTTCATGACTTTCTGGCTTCTGGACCAAATTGCTTAGTAGAATAGGAGTGTTTGATTTTTACATTATCTTGAGGTTTGAGCACTTCAGTGGGATGGACCAAGACTGCAGTACTAAGCAAGATCATATATATTGGTTGAATTTTTCTTGCCTTTTCACCAACATGAATATGTTACATGCCTGAAAAGCAGTAGCATTAATGCCTTGCAGTAGCACTGTTATGATTGTTAAATGTAAATACCAAATTGGGCCACCTAAATGTACATATGATTTATAGAAAAATCTCTTTTGCCTTTCACATTTCATGATCTGTGTCTGCTTTAGTATATGCGACATTTTGATAAGACATTGTGTAGTATTCCGAAACTCATTAGTTGCTTAATTCTAATTTGTCACTTTTTCATTTGTTCCATGCAGGTGGAATTTTTTGACCGCTACAAGGTATGGTGTGGTTTTCATATTCTTATCAATCTCTACAGCTGCTCATAGTTTGTGATCTGTCGATCTCTTTTCCTCTTTATTTTAGGTGATCTTACCAGCACATTTCTGAAATGGTTTATATTATGTGTGTTCTTGGCAAAATATATATATTTTATTCCTGTCGCCTTTCATCATTGTTGATGCAACATAGTTTGTGCTGGATGCATTTTATTCCCAGAAACGAGGTGCATCCATTCATAAGTATTCTCCACCTTCAGATGCCTTGACCTTGTAGTAAGGTCATACTCTGATAATAAGAGCACCATGGTGCTTTTGAATATTAATGATATATATGTTTTTTTCTCCTTTAGTCAGCTATTGGCTCTATAGCATGTTGATCCTGGCGTATCTCACATTTCGATGTTTGGGATCATACTTCTCGAAGTTTCTCATTTTTCTCTGAGATTTTTGGTGATGGGACTTTTGAATCAGGTTATTAATTGCATATGACATTACTATGTTGTTTTAGATGGAAAATTTCATCTCAGAATTTCGTAATTGTTTTAAAAAAATCTGCTTTTGTTTCATGGACATTAGATTTCTTTCCCTTTTTTCTTCTTCATGTGTTGCATTAGTCATGGTTACTTAAAATGATTATAATTTCTCAGTTTCAACATTTGTGGTTTCTAAATTTTGCAGGTTGGGGAACTGACTGGATTGTTGACCTCTGATTTGGGGTCTGTTAAAGACATTGTCAGTGAAAATGTTTCAAGGGACAGAGGATTCAGAGCACTTTCCGAGGCAAGCTACTTTAATTAAACAGGAATGATTCTTCTTAAGGTGTAGAATGCTAGAATCCATAACTAGCTTTATCTGAAGTGGACTGAGCCTTCAGTCTCTTACTACAGGGGAAAGGAATCAGAATAATGTGGATATATATTCTCTATTACTCCCTCCATCCCATAATACTTGATACAATTTCCATTTTCGTCCGTCCCACAATACTTAACCACTAATAAAAAAAGTATTTTCCCACATTTTCTCTCTCATCACCTACCCCACTCCCACCTCACTTGGTGTTTTCTTGTAAAAGTTGTAATATAAAAAAACAAAAGAGAATTTTGTATAAAATAAACAAATGTTTAAAATAACCCACTAGTAGTTTTCTTAAACTACGTGACCACCCCAACGTCCCAAGTATTATGGGACAGAGGGAGTATAACTTTATTACTTGTATTATAAAATTAGTCAACTGAAGATTGTCAATAATCTAGGTTGTTTTGTAACATGGTATGATCTCATCCATACATGTTTCTGTAAATTTTTTGTTGATTCTTATTTCTAAATATCCTCATAACTTTCAGATTGTTGGAACTATTTGCATCCTGTTCACTCTTTCACCACAACTCGCACCAATATTGGGTTTGCTTATGCTTATTGTCTCCATTTTAGTAGGTAAATGTTTTTTTTTTTTTTAAAATTTATTTATTGACTCTTTTGTTTTATTATTCATCTATCTCATTGCATATCAATTCTCTATTTAGAAATTGATTCATTTTTAAGAAAAGGTTGTTTGGAATATTCTGAAAGATTTCCACCTAAATGTTAATGTCATAAATTTTCTCATAGGATGTCATGTATAGAAAAGGAATTGTCCACCTCCTTTCCCTTTGTTGTGACGTGTTTTTTTTTTTCTTTTTTAATTTTTTTTTTTTTTAAAATCCACTTCTTTGAGTCAAAATCAACCTATCTCATTGTTGCTAATCACATACATGTCCGAGGGTGAAATGTGGATGTTCGCGATTTTTTATCCACTGTTATTAATACCTAAGGTAAAGGTAGGATTTTCTTTACCTTATCAATATAACTTTCTATTATGTATGTAATTGCTAAAGCTAAGCTTTTGGAGTGGGCTCGGCAAGAACCCACTTTGTAAGAACAAAAGGGGTACCCCTTTAACCCCAAATGCCTTCTTGATTCCTCTACGCTGCCCTAGACTTTGTATTTCCCCATCGCAGGTCATTGCTCTTAACATAATCATTTTCAAGTGTTACCTGCCAAGCCATCATCACCAACCCAAATTCTCCATCACCTTCTCCCTTCATCTGTCATTCCTAGTAACTAAGCCCAATACGCCTACCATCTGTGCAATCAACAACGCACCCCTGACCCATACTCACCCCTTTAACAATGACCACCACCTAAGGATGTAGATTTTGAAGACTAAAACCTCATAACTGCCAAATATGATATCCATTAGATTTTACAATGTCAGAAGGAGACATGTCAACATGGAGGCGAGGGTTGAGACTTGAGAGAAGGAGATCCAGCATATCTATATGTGTGCATTTGCGTGCATGTGTTTTGTAACTCATTGTTGCTATGACACAACCATACTTATACTGCGAACATCATAAACATGCATCCTGAAACAATTCATGGATCCAAATCTAGTTGTTTGACTTGCTGAAATCAAAGAATTGTATGTTCTGTAAGTCAATAATATATCTTGATGCATATTCTTATCATGTAGTTCAATTCAATGTACTTATTGACGTAGATTCGATTGCATAATTGCATTGAGTATCATCATTTAGCTCCTTTGAAGATTAGTCTTGCTTTTCTTCTGATTTCCATCCACCTATATACTTTGTTTTTAACATCTTGTTCTTCAGCTGTTTACAAGCGGTCAACTATGCCTATCTTTAAAGCTCATGGTTTGGCACAGTCTTCAATGTCTGACTGTGTGACAGAAACAATTTCGGCCATTCGCACTGTGAGTTCCAGTGAGTTGCAGTTGTGCAATATAGCATTTTAGCATCCAATGCCAGCTCTAGCTCTTTTAAGGGTGATTTGGATAATCATAAACTATAACTTTGGCTTTTGCGTAATGGGATCTATGATCCATCCACATATGCTGTACTGAACTCTTGATATAATATTTCAGGTGAGATCCTTTTGTGGGGAAAAGCGCCAAATGTCAGCATTTGGTAACCAGGTAATCTATCTGTCATGTCCTTGAGTCGGAAAATGAAATCCGTTTTGGTTTCTGAGGGATTTTGTGCGTTATGTTTGTTGATATTTATTCTGTTTGATGTGGCAGATACTTGCTTATCAGGCGAGTGGCATTAAGCTGGGGACTTACAAATCCATTAATGAATCAGTGACCCGAATTGCAGTTTATGTATCATTATTGGCTTTGTATATCCTTGGAGGAAACAAAGTTAAAGCGGTGAGGTTTCTTCAATGGCAGTAGTATTTTTGCCCTTTTTCTTACCAAGCCTGTTATTCATTATATTCTTTCCCTGTTTTTTCCATGATAATATTTTGCAATAAATCCTCTTGATTGACATGCATGTACGGGATGTTTTTGACTTGTGTCGAAGGTTTCATATGTCTTTTTGACTAGTACATATATAATAAAATGTCGAGGAGATATAGAAAGGAAACAACAACATCTTGCTGAATTGTAGAGCTGTCAATTCGGGTGAACCAGTCGGGTTAGGGTCGAGTAAGAGTGGGTCGGGTCAACTCGGGTCGGGTCAATTCAGATTTATTCCATAACTTATGCGGGTCGGGTTTGGGTTAGGTCATGCTTGAGTTGGGTCACGTCGGGTCATACTTCTTATCTTTGGGTCGGGTGTAGGTCGGGTTAATAACAGGCCGGGTTACATTTGGTCGGGTGAACAATAGGTCGGGTTTCATTCGGGTTTTTTACGGTTAAAACGGGTTAGGAGAATTCTCGGGTTCGAGTCGGGTTCGATTCAAGTCAATAATTTTCCGGTTAGAATCAAGTCAAGTCATTCTCGGGTTTGAGTCGGGTTTGGTTCAAGTCAATAATTTGCGGATTATAATCAGGTCGGGTCATTTTTAAGTCGGATCATTCTCGGGTTCAAGTCAGGTTCGGTTCAAGTCAATAATTTGCGGGTTATAATCTGTGTCATTTTCAAGTTGGGTCATTCTCGGATTCAAGTCTGGTTATGTTCAAGTCAATAATTTGCACGTTACAATCACGTCAGGTCATTTCCAAGTCAGGTCATATTCGGGTTCAACTAACTATAAATAGATAATTATTATTTTTATCAAGCTAATTATTTCCTTTGACTATAACATATATAGCAATATACTAGGGAATTATAGTCTATAATTTAAGAAGATAATTATCTCCTTTGACCATACAACAAATATATACTATATTTAACTCTTAAATTTGAGGATGATGCTCCTTTCTTTTGTTGGCCTGGATCCCAAGACAAAATGCTTTGATCAACAATAGGTAGTCTAAATTGCATTTAAGGTGATTTGAAATCCGGTCAGGAACAATTTGGGTTGAATTTAGGTTGGGTCAATAACTAGTCGTGTTAATTTCGAGTCGGCTTAATAACAGATTGGGTTGAATTTTTAGGTTGGGTAAGTAACAAGTATGGTAAAATTCGGGTCGGGTCAATAACAAGTCGGGTTGAATTTGTGTCAGGTCAATAACAAGTCGGGTTGATTTTGGGTCGGGTTTGTAACAGGTTGGGTTAAATTAGGGTCGGGTTAGGAACGAGTCGGGTTGAATTCAGGACAGGTTAGTAACAAGTCGGGTTAAATTCGGGTTTTGACAGGTTAAACGAGTTAGGGTCAATATCGGTTAAAGTCGGGTTTGGTGCAAGTTAATAAAATTGGCCGTTGTAAACCGGTAAATCAGTGCAAGTTAATTAAATTGGCCGTTGTAAACCGGTAAATCGATGCAAGTTGTAAACCGGTAAATTGGCCATTTAAAAGCAAATTGAATGGTTACACACACCCAATTGGACTCTCGAAGGGTATTAGGGACCATGGTAAACATTTCTGCAATTTTTATTTCCGGGCGAAAAAAGTCAAAAAATTCCAAAATTGAAGGCTAATATCCATGCTTTTTGAGAAATTTTGGAGGTTTCGGGGCCCAGTGTCGAAAAGTCTTGAAATTTTATGGGATACATATCGGGGTCATAAAATGCCATTTGGAACCATATATGATTATTATTTGTTGTCATAAATGTTTTGTGGTAGGCTTGAATTAATGAAATTGGTGTAAGTTGTAAATCGGTAAATTGGTCGTTTTAAGGCAAATTGGATGGTTCCACCTACCCAATTGGACTCCCGGAGGGTATTAGGGACCATGGTAACATTTCGGCAATTTTTATTTCCTGGCGAAAACAAATCAAAAAATTTCAAAATTAAAGGCTTAATATCCACGCTTTTTCAGAAATTTTGGAGGTTTCGGGGCCCGGTGTAGAAAAATATTAATATTTTAGGGGATACATTTCAGGGTCATATAATGCCGTATGGAACCATATATGATCATTATATGTTGTCATAAATGTTCGTAGTAGACTTGAGTTAATGAAATCCGTCCAAGTTATAAACCGGTAAATAGGCCGTTTAATGGCAAATTGGATGGTTCCACCCACCCAATTTGACTCCCGAATGATATAAGGCACCATGGTAAACATTTCGACAATTATTATTTTTGGGCGAAAAAAGTCTAAAAATTCCAAAATTAAAGGCTAATATCCACGCTTTTTCAGAAATTTTTGAGGTTTCGGGGCTCAGTATCGAAATGCTTTGAAATTTTAGGGAATATATCTCGGGGTCATATAATGTTGTTTGGAACCATATATGATCACTATTTGTTGTCATAAATGTTCGTGGTAGGCTTGAGTTAATGAAATCGGTGCAAGTTGTAAACCGGTAAATTGGCCGTAATTGGACTCTCGGAGGGTATTAGGGACCATGGTAAACATTTCGGCAATTTTTATTTTCGGGTGAAAAAAACTCAAAAAATTCCAAATTAAAATCCATTCTTTTTGAGAAATTTTGGAGGTTTCGGGGCACGATGTCAGCAAAGTCTTGAGAATTTAGGGAATACATTTGGGTGTCATATAATGCCATTTGGAACCATATATGATTCTTATATATTGTCATAAATGTTAGTGGAAGGCTTAATTTAATGAAATCGTTGCAATTTGTAAACCGATAAATTGGTCGTTTAAAGGCAAATTGGATGGATGCACCCATCCAATTGGACTCCCGGAAGGTATTAAGGACCATGGTAAACATTTCGGCAATTTTTATTTCCGGGCAAAAAAAAATTAAAAAAATTCCAAAATGAAAGTCTAAGAACCATGCTTGTTGAGAAATTTTGGAGATTTCAAGTCCCGGTGTCTAAAAAGCCTTTAAATTTTAGGATTACATCTCATCATTATATGTTGTCATAAATATTCGTGGTAAGCTTGAGTTAATGAAATCAGTTCAAGCTGTAAACCGGTAAATTGGTCGTTTAAAGGCAAATTGTATTGTTCCACCCAGCCAATTGGAATCCCGGAGGGTATTAGGAGCCATGGTAAACATTTCGGCAATTTTTATTGACGGACGAATAAAAGTCAAAAAGTTCCAAATTTGATGGATATCCATGGTTTTTGAGAAATTTCGGAGGTTTCGGGACCTAGTGTCGAAAAGACATGACATTTTAGGGAATATATCTCGGGGTCATATAATGTCGCTTGGAACCATTTATGATCATTATTTGTTGTCATAAATGTGTGTGTTAGGCTTGAGTACATGAAATCGTTGCAAGTTGTAAATCGGCAAATTGGCCGTTAAAAGGCAAATTGGATGGTTCCACTCAACCAATTGGATTCCCAGAGGGTATTCGGTACCATGGTAAACATTTCGGCAATTTTTATTTTCGGGAAAAAAAAAGTCAAAAATTCCAAAATTGAAAGCTAATATCCACACTTTTTGAGAAATTCTGTAGGTTTCGGAGCCCGGTGTCGAAAAGTATTGTGATTTTAGGGGATACATATCAAGGTCATATAATGCCGTTTGGAACCATATATGATCATTATGTGTTATCATAGATGTTTGTAATAGGCTTGAGTTAATTAAATTGGTGCAAGTTGTAAACCGGTAAATTGGTCGTTTAAAGGCAAATAGGATGATTCCACCCACCCAATTGGACTCCCAAAAGGTATTAGAGACCATGATAAACATTTCGACAATTTTTATTTACGGGCGAAGAAAAGTAAAAAAATTCCAAAATTGAAGGCTAATATCCACGCTTTTTGAGAAATTTTGGAGGTTTCGGGTTCCGGTGTCGAAAAGACTTGAGATTTTAGGGAATATATTTCGGGGTCATATAATGTCGTTTGGAACCATTTATGATCATTATTCGTTGTCATAAATGTTCGTGGTAGGCTTGAGTTAATGAAATCGGTGACAATTGTAAATCGATAAATTGGCCGTTAAAAGGCAAATTGGATGGTTCCACCTAACCAATTGGACTCTCACAGGGTATTCGGGATCATGGTAAACATTTCGATAATTTTTATTTCTGGGCAAAAAAAAGTCGAAAAATTCCAAAATTGAAGGCTAATATCCACACTTTTTGAGAAATTCTGTAGGTTTAAGGCGGTGTCGAAAAGTTTTGAGATTTTAGGGTATACTTCTCAGGGTTATATAATGCCGTTTGGATTCATATATGATCATTATATGTTGTCATAAATGTTTGTAGTAGGCTTGAGTTAATTAAATTGGTGCAAGTTGTAAACCGGTAAATTGGTCGTTTAAAGGCAAAAAGGATGGTTCCACCCACCCAATTGGACTCCCGGAGGGTATTAGGGACCATGATAAACATTTCGGCAATTTTTATTTCCGGGCGAAGAAAAGTAAAAAAATTCCAAAATTGAAATCACTTTTTTTTTTTGAGAAATTTGGGATGTTTCGAGGCCAGATGTCGAAAATTTTAAGATTTAAGGGGATACATATCGGGGGTCTTATAATGTCGTTTGGAACCATATATGATCATTATATGTTGTCATATATGTTGCATTAGGCTTGATTTAATTTAATCGGTGCAAGTTGTAAACCGGTAAATTGGCCGTTTAAAGGCAAAAAAGATGGTTCCACCCACCCAATTGGACTCCCGGAAGGTATTAGGGACCATGATAAACATTTCGGCAATTTTTATTTCCGGGCGAAGAAAAGTAAAAAAATTCTGAAATGTAAGGCTAATATCCACGCTTTTTTGAGAAATTTTTTGGAGGTTTTGGGCCCGATGTCGAAAAGAAATGAGATTTTAGGGGATACATTTCGGAGTCATATAATGCTGTTTGGAACCATATATGATCATTATATGTTGTCATAAATGTTTGTGGTAGGCTTGAGTTAATGAAATCGGCGCAAGTTATAAACCGGTAAATTGGCCGTTTAAAGGCAAATTGGATGGTTCCACCGACCCAATTGGACTCGCGGAGGGTATTAGAGAGCATGGTAAATATTTCGGCAATTTTTATTTCCGGGTGAAAAAAGTCCGCAATTCTAAAATTGAAGGTTTTTTGAGAATTTTTGGAGTCTTTGGAGCCTCGTCTGGAAAAGTCTTGAAATTCTAGGGAATACATTTCGGGGTCGTATAATGTCGTTTGGAACCATATTATATGATCATTATTTGTTGTCATAAATGTTCGTGGTAGGCTTGAATTAATGAAATCGATGTAAGTTGTAAATCGGTAAATTGGTCGTTTAAAGGTAAATTGGATGGTTCCTCCAGCCAATTGGACTCCCGCAGGGTATTTGGGATCATGTTAAACATTTTGGCAATTTTTATATCCGGGCGAAAAAAAGTCAAAAAATTCCAAAATTGAAAGCTAATATCCACGATTTTTTAGAAATTTCGAATGTTTCGGGGCCTGGTGTCGTAAAACATTGAGATTTTAGGGGAAACATCTCGGGGTTATAATGCCGTTTAGATCCATATATGATCATTATATGTTGTCATAAATGTTCGTGGTAAGCTTGAGTTAATGAAATTGGTGCAAGTTGTAAACCGGTAAATTGGTTGTTTAAAGGAAAATTGGATGGTTCCACCCAGCCAATTGGACTCCTGGAGGGTATTAGGGACCATAGTAAACATTTCGGCAATTTTTATGTCTGGGTTAAAAAAAGTTAAAAAATTCCAAAATTGAAGTCTAACATCTACGCTTTTTGAGAATTTTTGGAGGTTACGGGTAGAGCTGTCAATTCGGGTAAACGGGTCGGGTTTGGGTCGGTAAGAGTGGGTCGGGTCAACTCGATTAATTCCATAACCTATGCGGGTCGGGTCATGCTTTAGTCGGGACACGTCTGGTCATACTTCTTATCGGGTTTGGGTCGGTTTAGGTCGGGTGACATTTGGGTCGGGTGAACAATAGGTCGGGTTTAATTCGGGTTTTTATGGGTTAATACGGGCTAATACGGGTTATAGTAATTCTCGGGTTTGAGTCGGGTTCGGTTCAAGTCAATAATTCGCGGGTTAGAATCAGGTCGGGTCATTCTCGTGTTTGAGTCGGGTTCGGTTCAAGTCAATAATTTGCGGGTTATAATCAGGTCGGGTCATTTTTAAGTCGGGTCACTCTTAGGTTCAAGTGGGGTTCGGTTCAAGTCAATAATTTGCGGGTTATACTCAGGTTGGGTCATTTCCAAGTTGGGTCATTCTTGGAGTCAAGTCGGGTTATGTTCAAGTCAATAATTTGCATGTTACAATCGGGTCGGTTCATTTCCAAGTCAGGTCATAATCGGGTTCAACTAACTATAAATAGATAATTTTTATTTTTATCATGCTAATTATTTCCTTTGACTATAATATTTATGGCAATATACTAGGAAACTATACTTTATAATTTAGGAAGATAATTATCTCCTTTGACCATACAACAAATATATACTATATTTAACTCTTAAATTTGAGGATGATGCTCCTTTCTTTTGGTGGCCTGGACCGACTTGGTCTCCCTAGACAAAATGCTTTGATCAACAGTAATAAGTATATATTTGTCAAGTTGCATTTAAGGTGATTTTAAATCGGTCGGGAACAATTTGGGTTGAATTTAGGTCGGGTCAATAACAATTCGTGTTGATTTCGAGTTGGGTTAGTAACTGATCTGAATTTTTGGATCGGTAAAATTCGGGTCGGGTCATTAACAAGTCGGGTTGAATTTGGGTCAGGTCAATAACAAGTCGGGTTGATTTTGGGTCGGGTTTGTAACAAGTTAAATTCGGGTTGGTTTAGGAACGAGTCGGGTTGAATTCAGGTCAGATTAGTAACAAGTTGGGTTAAATTTGGGTTTTGACGGGTTAAAACGGGTTTCGGTCAATTCTGGTTCAAGTCGGATTCGGTTGAGGTCAATAATTTACGGGTTACATTCGCGTCGGTCAGTTCATGTTCGGGTTCGTGGTCTCACATACCTGGGTCAACTCGGGTCTAGGGTTGGTTTCAGGTCGGGTTTGGGTCACCATTTTTTCGGGTTGAGATGGGTCTATTTATAGTCGGGTTTGAGTCGGTATTTCTGGTCGGGTCAACTTTTGACAGCTCCATTGAATTGGGATATTGGAAGGGTGAAGCAGATTTTTTAAAAGCTTTTGTGATAGAGGTCAAAGAAAAGAGATCAATTGGAATGTTAATTGAAAATGAACATGACTGAAAGAGACTCATTAGTCCTTATGATAATGTAAAACACGGTAACATAGGAATAGCCTTTATTGACCGATGGGATGAGAATCTTGCATCTAAATTATGAAGTGTATGTGGGCAAATTTTTGTGCCCTTCAGAAAAGAAAGGTGAGTCATTTGACGCTGAATTGGTTTAAGGCTAAAAAATTATTAATCCTCTTTTAGAAGTGTGACCTTCATGTTTAAACAAGAGTGCAGTTTTCCAGTGAGGGTACTAATCTTCTAGAGCATAGGGTTTTTGTTTTGCTCCTTTCTCAACTTGTTTAGCAGCTATATTATTTTTCCTCATTATATATTTATTTGTCAATGATCTCTGACCTTAGTATCATAACAATTAATTCAAACTCTATGAGCATGTTTAATTAGTCTACTTATATGGTTCAATGGAATGTGCAGGGTGAACTCTCAGTTGGAACCGTGGTTTCTTTCATCGGATATACCTTTACTCTGACATTTGCTGTGAGTTCTTGCTTCTGGCTAATAATTTAGCTGTTATACATTTTTTTTTTAAAAATTATTACTGTCCCTTGTAACCATGTTTATTATATATACTATGCAGGTTCAAGGATTGGTTTATACATTTGGAGATCTACGTGGGGCTTTTGCTGCTGTCGAGAGGATTAATTCGATTCTCTCTGGGTCAGAAATTGACGAAGCTCTTGCTTATGGTTTAGAAAGACAGATTCAACCAAAAGATGTTCAGGACGAAAAGTTTCAATTATTTGTTGTCAATGGATTTGATGAGAAACAGCAATCTAATCATATGCATTACATGTCAGCCTTGGGCTCATCAAGTGATGTGTATAACGTAGCCTGGTCCGGTGACATTAGTCTTGAAGGTATTCCAAACTTGTTTTTTTGTACTTGTGTCAGGTTGATGCTATAATTACTTGGTATATCTTCTCTCTCCCTACTGTGTACCTGTTATTCAGCGTTAATGTGCTTTGTCCAGGTACCTTTTGACCCTGGAAATGTGGAAAAAAAACTGCAAAAAAATATCAGTTAGGAGGCTATTTACGGTTCATTAGCAATTTAACCAATCCTAAAGCCCTATAAATGGAAAAGGAAGAGGTTATGCATCCTAAATCCCTATAAATGGGATAAGAAAAGATCATGCATCCTAAAGCCTTATAAATAGAAAAGGAAGAGATTATGCATCCTAAAACCCTTTAAATGGAAAAAGAAGAGATTATGCAATGCAGCTCTGTGCCCAAAAAATTTATTCAAAATCTTCCTATCTAAACAATAAGCAATATTTTTCTCTTTTTTTTCCCCTTGCAGTATGAAAAACAGAATTTTCCTACCTTTTCGAGACAACAATTCATCTGAATGAAATATTCTTCAGTTTGCTCAAGGTCTTTACTGCTTCTTGATCCAGGGAATTACAGTTGTGAGTCATTACTCAGTAGCATTACCCTGGCTTGCATAATGGAAAGCACTCCAGCATCACTTGTATCCTTAACTACTGGGGACTAGAAACCGGCCCCCCAACAAGATATTCAACAATCAACATTATCTTGAAGGCAGTTATAAGCCCTTTACAAGCTGCTTTTCCTGGCTTCCCAATTGCTACACTACCAAAAATGAAGGTTATGTGCCCATTGAGGGGAAGTCCTGATTTCTTGTCCCCCTATTCATAGCACTTCTTCTAGGATCAGCTCTATGAACTTGTTATAGGAAGATAGTAGTAAGCATTCCAATTGTTATAATCCCCACCTTGCAATCCCTTTAGACATCATCATTATGATTTCCTCTCCAATCCTATCAATTACGCTAGCAGCATTACTCTCAATACTATGAGTTCATAGAGTCCAAATGCTGTCAACACCACAGCATCTGGGCTCCTATACTTTCCTAGACAAGATTTTAGACGAAAGATATGCTTTATTGATTAAGCTGTTAAAAAGCCTAAAAAAATTCTTAGCGGTCTATGTTAATATGCTTACACTGTTGAGCCTGCATAGTACTAAGAGATTGATGTAGGTCGTAAAATTTGATCTTTGAATGTTTATTGTGCCTTATTGATATAGTTTCATGTTGAACAACAATCCTTGTAATGTCAGGGGTGAGGGGCTTTCTCCTTTGGAGAACCTTCTTAACTTCCGGGGTTTGAAATATATAGTAGTGTCTGTACAACTGACATATAACATCTACAATTAAGTGAGTCTCTCCTGCTTTGTTTTTCTTATTTGTTGCTTCTATCAATATTATAATCCATTGCCTCATTTGATGAAAGGATCTTATAAGCATTACCCTAGAGACCATGTTTGGTGCACTCTTGGTTTGAAAAGGGTGGTTGACTGAGCTTTTACTTCACTACTAATAAGAATTAAAGGACTGAATAGTAGTGAGACATTTGAAGTTCATTTTGAAGCAAACCTGAAAATTTGCCATTGTTATATGTTCAGCTTTGTTGGAAAATCAATTCTGCACTTCTTCTAGTAAAACGAATCTGCTTTTAGATGCCAGCTACTAGTTTAACATTTCCCCATCACTGCAGATGTCCACTTTTCTTATCCATTGAGACCTGATGTTGAGGTCCTTAAAGGTCTTAACCTTACATTAAAGAGTGGAACTATTACTGCTCTTGTGGGATCAAGCGGTGCAGGGAAGAGTACAATTGTACAGTTGCTGGCACGTTTTTATGAGGTTTAGTTTGCATTATTGATTCTTTCTCTCTCCTAATTGTAAGTGTGGTTACTTATTGTTTTATAACACGACCAAGCCTTGTTAATGTTTTGCAGCCAACCAGTGGCCGCATAACTGTGGCTGGAGAAGATGTTAGAATGTTTGATAAAAGTGAATGGGCTCGAGCTGTCTCAATAGTGAACCAAGTAGGTTTTCAGCAATTAAGCTTTTAGCTGTTTAACTTTTGCTTTTATTTTTTTTGGGCATTTGAATCTAGATAGCTTCTATGTGGCATCAGATGCAGCTTAAACTATGGCCGCCATACACCAGAAAAGAAACCCTCCCAAATTCATCTCTGTCCATTTAAACCAGAAGAGTCTGGATTGGGATGGGTCTGATTGTCTAATCACAAATCAATCAGTTAAACCTTTCATGAACTAATTAATTGAATTGCATAAAGTTCACACCATTAGGAGATAGTGCCTTTGGTTGGTCTTTTACTCTTATGTTTTGACCATTATGCTCTGTCTGTGAATCTATAGATTGAGTCTTTTGCTTTACTGTTCTTCTATTCATGTTCTTCAAGATCTATATATCTTTCTCCTCGTGCTTTCCTTTTGATCTTCCTTACTACAATTTCCTTCCCCTGTTAATTATTCTTTTTCAATTTAGTACGGAGTAGTTTTTTGTTGGATTTTTTAGACACCAACTAAATTCTGAGTAGATTTTTACATTATTAATGTGTTATTTACTTTCTTAGTAAAGGAAAACCTTTTCTCCTTAGACTCGTTTAAAAAATTTGAAATGCTTTCAGTAGCCAGCAATATGTAATGATTCTAAGGTGCTTTCAACTGTTGGGTCAACCTGAACCCTAATATATGTCTGAGGGCCGACCCTTTGGTAATTTGAACCTGGAATTACCAAACCCACTGTACATCCATTGTAAATATGTCCTGTCCTACCAGTTGGCTCCCTGTAACTAGAACTGTTATTTTTGAAAACTGTACTGAACTGGCTGCTCAGACTGCTGAGCTGGACTTCTTGCTAGTTCAGTCAAACATTTGAAGATGCTATTTGGTATAACTTGTCAAACCAGTGTACCAATCAACACGCTGGTAAACTGTCAAGTTGGTTACATATACATGTATTTACATCAAGTATACTTATACTTATCATCTGGGTACATCTGATACTCAAATTGTCAGTCTTATGATGTCTTTCTGAATGCAGGATCCAGTTCTCTTCTCTGTGTCTGTTGCAGAGAACATTGCATATGGTCAACCGGATGCTAATGTATCTAAGGATGATATAGTAAAAGCAGCAAAAGCCGCTAATGCTCATGAATTTATCATATCACTCCCACAGGTTTGTATTGGCTCCTTTGAAACAGGAAAATATAAATGTAATGATAATATCCTTGCTAAATATTGTATGTTTCAAGGGTTATGACACTCTAGTTGGTGAGCGTGGAGGTCTCCTTAGTGGGGGGCAAAGGCAGGTATAACATGTTTTAATATTTTGTTGAATTTCTACGGAGGATGTAAAAGATTAGGTATACATTCTAATTTGTAACTGTTCTCTATACTTCTGTAGAGAGTTGCAATTGCGAGGGCGCTTCTAAAAAATGCTCCAATTTTGATTCTTGATGAGGTATTTATAAATCATTTGTGTTTCTATTGCCTTCTGACTGCTGCTTGTTGTTGATATTTTATTCTTGTAACCCTCTTGGTTGACACTTAATGTTGTTGAATAGCCACTGTGTAGTTACCAATCTCTGCTGTGTCAGAGAAAAAGCTCTTTCTCCTCTCTTATATCTTCCCCTTCCCTGCAGGGCCGTAAATCCAAGTACTTTGCTTTGTCTCCCTAAATATAACTTCTTGATTTTGATAAACAGTCACGTCAATGGATATCATTAGTTGTCTTCAGCATATCACTCATTCATTTGTTATTCTTTATTTTGTGTATTAGTGCCTCTCGTATTATTTCTCGTGAAAGCTATGGTGACAAAGAAAGATGAAAATGATGAAGCCCTTATTAATTTTTCCGTTTGTTAACATTGATTTTATGTGAAAACTGTGAAACATATTGTTTTGCTTAGGTATGTAATACCATCTTGGTGACCTTTTTTCTTTTTCTTTTTTTTAAAGGAAAACAATAGTAACTGAAAAGTTGGACCATCCCACCAGTGAAGGAAAATTATCTATTTTTATAGAAGAAAAGTGTTTCCTATGATGATGAATATTAATTCTCTGATAAAGGCATACTGACATCAGTATATTGATCTTGTTTCCAAGCCTTCAGGCTGCATAGACAAATAGATTTGAATATTTGACTTATAATTAAATTTCATGCAGGCTACAAGTGCCTTGGATACAGTTAGCGAGCGTTTGGTCCAGGATGCTTTGAATCATCTTATGAAAGGAAGAACAACATTGGTAATAGCTCACCGTTTAAGCACAGTCCAGAATGCCCATCAAATTGCACTTTGTTCTGATGGGAGGATTGCAGAACTTGGGACACATTATGAATTGTTGTCACAAGATGGCCAATATGCTTCATTAGTGGGATCCCAGAGGCTTGCGTTTGAGTGAATTTGCAGTATATTACCATAATGGCTGTCAATGTCCATCATAAAGCGCTACCGAAGGTGGAAAGGTTATTTCCTAGCAATTTTTTGTTCTCTTAATGATCCCATTTGCACTATTGCGTATAATTTATTTTAAATTTTCTTTATTTGTCTGTTTTTTCTAGAAGATATGCTTCAGTTTCAAAGGGATACTTCAAACACTATAACAAGATAAAGAACTAAGAAAGTTCTTAGTACATTTCTCATCTAAAGAAGCTCAACAATCAATTGTTACAGTCGGCTGCTGATTCATTGCTGTAAAACATGGTAAGAAACAATGGGAATTTCCTTTTATTGCATGCAACTTTCATGGTTGACTAACTATTTGATAAATTGATCCTTCTGTGCGCTTTGCTTTGGTTCTCTTTCTTATTTTATTTGTCCCAGAACATTCGAACTTTTGGGTTTGTATTGAGTCTAAACTAGAAATAAGATATAGTGGCTTTCAATCTGGTGAGGCATTCAGAAGGCAGGCCAAGAGCTATATTTATGTAGTTGTCATCAAGAAGATCAACTCAAGCCACACTGATCAACTTGCAACTCCCATCTTTGCCAGCCTCTGCCCTCGGTTGCTCATTGTTAGTGCTCTGGTGCTCCCTTCAGCTGTAAATATCATATCTATGGGGAGAGGAGGTTCCTTATGGAAACCAAGAGTTTGGATTAATTTAGTTCGACTTGTACTGGCAAACTGCACAGCATAAAGTTGCTGTTCGTTTCACACAAACAGCTTTTTCAAATCAATGATTGAAGTCGTATGTAGCAGAGGATTAGCTGTGGAATTGGTCTATTTACAATTTTTTATCTGAGTATGCTGAAGTAATTTTTATGGTATTTCTTATCCATATAGTCAGTACTCAGTATGTACCTTTCCAGATTCCTCGTTGGATGATTTCAAAGACGATATCAGTCTTCACAAGAGGGTGGGAGCAGGATTCACCCTTTAAACTGTGGTGTTGTGATTGTCAAAATCTTATCTGACTGGAACTTGGCCTTTGACTTAATCGTTCTTGATTTGATATGGTTTCTGGTCCATCTCCCACTTCCGTTATAGCTGTAATGAAATGTGCAGCTTGCAGCCATTCAGTGTCTAAATCCTTCATTGTTGTAATACTATTGTTTGATAATTGTGTCTAAGAAACAATAATTTGGTTTACAGCGAAAGAATTGGAGCACTGCATTTCTGGTTGCTGGCTGAAGAAGACTCAAAGGATGAAGGAGATAACCATTGATCCTGTTTGTAGATTGGAGTTTTTTCTTTAGTCATGTACAAGCTGTAATTAGAGTTGTAATATTGGTACTAGGTGTATTTAAATACCTGCTCACTCTTGTTTTACAAAAAAAACAAATCTCTTTTTTCATGCAATTAACATTCAAAGCATGAATGAGATTATTTGCCAACCTCAAAAAGTATATTTATATAAAAGTTTCTTAATACCATATTTTTTTATTGTGCTGGGATATACAATGGTCGCACTAGATATCTACTAACAATAGTCTATAATTACTCATCTGCTATTATCGTCGATAGCGAGCTGGGAATATGAAGCTAAGCCATATAAGTAGAAGTATTATAAAGAGATGGTGGCGTTCATAACGGCAAGGCATTCAGTAGGAAGGCCAAGAAAGGTATTCATGAAGAGATCATCAATAGGATCCACTGTTGCCACCCCTACCAACATGCAGTTTCCATTTTTCTCCATTCTTTGCCCTCTCCCTTTTCTCAATTTTCCTTGTGATTCTTCAGATGTCAAGTTCGTCGAAACCAGTAATGGTGGTGCTTTGTAGATTGTCCCCATTGAAAACCAGAATTTGGCCTTGAATTCAAGATCAACCTGCAATGAATATATTCAGCTGTAAGTTTCAATCTCATTTTTTTTCAATACTACTTCAATAGCTATTTATGCCGAACATTTACATCAAACACATGCTTTGACGGCTAACCTTTATCCACTAATTATCTTTTGACGAACAAACCTTAACCATAAAAAGTAGCCTAAAAAACAGTGAAATTTGAAACATCTCTAACCCTGCCAGACTCTTGATCAATGCATCCCTTGAAAATCTCAGGCACAATATCAATCCTCAAAAAAGGTGGCAAAGGCAACCCCAAAAACTTAGTAGTCCCACTTGTTAATGGTGGAATATAAAGCTTATCAACATCAAATTCTACCAAAATTTTACCATTTGACTCATTTTTACCACTTCCACTCCCAAACCCACCTTCAGCATCATACTCAAAATCAGGATATCTTGCTATTCCAAGCTTACAACCTCCCTTTGTCTTAAATTCAACATTATAAGAATTTGGTGAGCTTAGTTTCTGATTATTTTCTTGGGTTTTTTGGGTGGATGAAGATAGAGCTACAACATGAGTTTTATGTAGTTTAGGTTGTGACAAATAATATGATGAGATTAATAATAATGTTGGTGGTTTTTTAGTAGGAAGTTTTGTGCATGGATTTTGAGGTTTTAGGGAGAAATTAGTATGATAACTCATTTTTTTTAGGAATAATTTTATGAAATATGATATTTGGGACTTAATATGAAACAAAGCATATGAACATAATGTTGTTTCATGAATGTGTGTGGTCAGGTTTTTGTTCATCATATCAGTGCCACAAGCTTCAAATTGGTGGACCATACGAAAATAAATTTATCTTAGAGAAAAAAAAATTCTTTTGAATATTGGGCTTGGGCAGCTTTTTCATTAGATATGATCTGTAAATTGGGCTTGGGTTATCAAAATTTTTCCACGGCCCATTTTGGAGGACATAACGGAGATACCTATTAAATCATGGAAGCAACAAGCAAGCACAGACAATAAACCATTCTTAATGGGAACAACTTTATCATGTGATGATATTGTATTAAAAGAAGTCAATATGTGGGACAAATTAACTTTTTATCATGTAATGATGTTGTATAAAAACAAAAATGGTTTGAAAATAAGTATGAAGTAAACAGAACCTGATAGTTTATATTGAAACTGTTTGATTTACGATTCAAATTTAAGAATTACAGAGTTTGTGCATGGAGATAAATTTCTTTTATGAAGTGTTGTATGAATTATATGTTAACACTAATCATAATTATTAATCAAACAACTTTCAAATTTTAAAGTCAACGTCATTAAAAGCTTTTTTTTTTTTTTTGACAACCTTTAGAGAAAGAAAACTACAATTAAACGGTTAGTAATAGTCATGCCTTTTTTGGAAAAAAAGAAAAAAAAGAAACAGAAGAAAAGAAAAGGCATAAGCATTAATAGTGATTTATACTGTCTTTTTAAATGTCTTACATATGGACCAACAGGCAACAGAAAACAGTATGTAAACATTTATGCCTTGAACTGTAAAAATTTAGGTAAAGAAAATATAATAGGCCCCTCAAATCTTTTGAATCAAGAATTCAAGATAAAATATGATGACCTTCAATTAATTTGGGCATGTATATTTATCAATCTTCTGTTGTTAAGAATCTGCAAAGGGAATCACACTTGTTGACTTGTTGGTGGTTGACTAGTTGTCATCATCAACACCTCACATGAATTTTGCATCAACAACTATGGACTTTCCTTTTTATTTATTTAAATATGGAAATCAATTATTTGTAAAGAAAATTATACAGATCTCAAGTCCAGGGATAGTTCCTATTTTGGATTTATAAATTCGAGATTGAGATTTTTATTTGTGTATTCTAAAGAAGGATAATGTGGAGGCGCATAATATGTTTACCTTAACTTTATTGAAAAGTCTATTAGATGATTATGGGTAATAATAATAGTATACTTTTATTTCATTTATTTGGAACTTAATAAATGTGTTAGTTAAAAATGTTGGAAATTAGAGGATGCAATCAAAACATGTTAACCTCAAGTGTAATCACTAAAGCAGAACTTCTCAAAATTTGTTACATAGTAGTATATTTGAAGGTATTATTTGTAACGTATGGTACAACAACGTATACTACATTCATAACACACGTTGAAACATATATGTCACACGCCGTGCATGAACATCCCACGCTCACCTCGTCTTTACACGTGCCACACCGGTGTACAAAATCATATACTTGCACCACTTTAGACATTGAATGCCCCCTTTTGAATGATTTCAATGTATTGATTCCAGCGAATATATAACATATACATCAATACATGCATGGTCCCTCCATCATGATAATATTAGTAAAGATCACGTAAATGTACATGAAGCATTTATACCAAAGATAAACCAGCCTGGGTCCAGATCATTGTGATTCGGTCGGCCATTTCTTTGAATTCATTATTAATGTCAGATTCTTCTCTACTCTCTTACTGTAACATCTTCTAACATTCATTACTTACTTCACTTTGGGGTATCAAATTATACATCAATCTTTCAATTTTATCCACACATGAAAAAAGTCAACAGCTTTGTAATAATTTCAAAAGATGCCTACACGTTTATATCTCTCCAATAACATCTTATTAACATGGGAACTTTAGTATTATACAGTACTAATTTGAGTCAAATTTACATGTTCATGATTTGGTTGGTCTTGATTTGGAGATTATAGGTTTTCAGTACCTTACATAATCACGGGTTTTTGGCCTAGTGACAAAGATTGAGGATCTGTAAATGATAGGGCGTCATAGATTAGCAAATGTCATTGTAGCTCCTTTGGACCTAAAAAAAATGTGCAAGGAATTTGGTCATGACATGGAATGAGAACAAAAAAGCTTTCTATACATTTGTAAAATTATGACCCAAAAAGTTCAGGAAATCAGTGCCTTCAAAATCCATGCTTTACACATTTTGAAGAAGAATCTGCTCTTTTTTCTCTGCAGATTCATTGCAATCTAACCGTTAACATTAGCTTTCTAACTTAAGAGTTATCATCAACAACAGTACACGCAATTTCAACCCCTCGTAATTTAATCTTGTACAAGAACAGCAGGATCCACACGGTTTCATGTTGTCCAACTTTGTATCATGATATATGATGTTATCGATAAATATGGATTGGTCCAAAGACCATCAGCATACAAGAGAAGACCTGAGTGATGATCCGGTAGGTAGGTTGGTGCATGAAGCCCATCGGATAACTGATTCAGTCACCACAATATCAAGCTGGTCAAACTCTCCAAGCCCAATCGTTCTATTTCTCTTGCTGTGGATACCGAAAATCCTCAAGCCTGTTCCTACACTTTTCTTAGAGTCTGATGACTTCTGATCCAGGTCCCTAGCATCAGTTTCCGAGCTCAGGGAAGAATCAGGTGATTCAGATTGTTTCTCCAAGACATCTCCTGATAAACAAACATTGAAATCAGTTGTATGAAGTGACGTCAATAAAACCTACTCCGTAGATGTTAGGACAAATGGTATCAATCAAACCTAGATGTTAGGACTTAGGAAGCTCAACACACTACATTAATCAATCATCAAGAAACAGAAACAGAAAATTATGTTTTCTAGAAGTGCAATAGGACACCGTAAAAATGTTATTTATCTACTGATGTGGTGGGCATAAATGGAAATTCAACAAGAAGTTCCCGACAAACTCAAATCGTTTAGGTTGCAAATCCAACATTAGATTAAGATAATAACTATTTAGTTACGAGGGTCTATATATGAGACTAAAGTATGTTCATGACCAAGGGAGTTGAAAATTTGACACCAGGGAACCTGTGGCAAATCTGCCAATAAGAAACGATGATGAATAGAAAAGTGGAATCTACCTGCATGAATTTCATCAGTGCTTTCTCCGTCGGTCGAAAACCTCCCATGTTGACTTACATGCTCAGCTACTGAGCTAGGGCTGAAAAATGTGAAACTAGGCATGGAAGGAATGGGCGAAACAAACTCAATAGCAGAGAAATCCCCGCTGCTTCGGAAAGAGAATCCACTTGATATGAGGGTGGGTGTGGATGGCTCCACAAAAAACGCTGAGAAAGATGATCTGCATGTAAATGTTGGTGATTGAGGCTCACAGTTTACTGCTGATCCAGTGCCAAAGCTAATATCGTGATCTCTGGCTATAAATGAGCTATCTCGAGTTTTTAATTGCCTGGAGCTAAAACCATCATGTTCATGTGAATCTTCAGTGGCTGAAGAAACCTCTTCCATCCACGAGTGAGCTACAGGTAATCAAAAGAATATGGTTATTAGTACTATGTTAATAATCTTTTATACTTAGCATATGTATAATTAGCTTATAACATCATGATTTCGTTAACATAATTGGAGCCATAATTCTAGCTTGTAATCTGTACAGTATATTGTTTGGAAAGCAATGAAATTAATCACGGAGTGTTAATTTATCAAGTACTTCCAAAAAACTAAGCATGCAACAATATTTACTAATAATGGTTCAAGTGTCCAAGGACACCAAGGAGATATTATTAATTTGACTAATAATCAGGTATAGTTGATTCATTAATGTTAGGTAAAGAAGATTTGTCATTCAAGCTTGATGCCTTCTAGAAGTCATCTCCATCAGGACATATAATAAGATACACTAACCACTTTGTGGTACAAAATTTGTACACTGATGTTCGTCATCTGTATCTAGCAAAGAGGACGAAATCATACCTAAAACTTGCTCAGCTGTCAAGCGCTTCAAAGGATCTATGCAAAGCATTTTCTTGATCAGTTCCTGGGCAGATTTTGATACTCGGTCCCACGGTTCAGATGGGAAGCGCAGATCAGCTGCTCGGACTGCTTCAAAAATCCTTGACTTTGTCTTACCCCAAAACGGCGGCATAGCACTCAAAAGAATGTAGAGAATCACACCAGCGCTCCATACATCAGCAGCTTGGGTGTAACCTCCAGACAGAACTTCAGGTGCTATATAAAATGGACTCCCCACTGTCCCATGCAAGCTCTGCCCTGCTTGACCAAAAACCAAATGCTTAAACCACTTGCTAAAACCCAATATTACTCAATATTGTTTATGATCAAACTGACCATCATATGAAAAAATTGCATCTTTTCATCAGAGTGTCAAGTGTCTATCCTATGTCGAAGTATCTACAGTTTTCAACATGGATTAATATCGAGGTGAAATGAAAGAGTTCAGGTAACACAGGTAAACAAATTAGTAGAAGAGTGCTCTACCTGGCTTAATATAAGTAGCAAGACCAAAATCGGCTAGCTTGATTGGTGAAGAAGATGACTTGGTTGCCATAAGAATATTCTCAGGCTTTAAATCTCTATGAACAACACCATTATCATGGCAATACGAGACTACCTGCATTAGATGCCGAAATATGATCTTTGCCTGAGACTCGGGATACCTTCCTTTTTCCTCTAATCGATGGAACAACTCCCCACCAGCACAGAGCTCCATCACCAAATGGACATAATCTTCTTCCTCGTAAACTGCCTTGAGATCAACCACATGAGGATGACCCGATAACTTGCTCATGATCTCGATTTCAAGCTTCACACTTCGAACATCATCTTGGGTTACCAGCCTTTCTTTGGCAATTGATTTGCACGCCAATAACTCTCCTGTAAACTTATCAGCACACGCCCTGATCACACCAAACTGCCCCCAACCCAACTGATCTCCCAAAACATAACGATCTTTCAAATCAGATGTCTCAGTTGCATCCAAGATAGTTTCCTTCAAGTCCGCCACCTTGAAACAACGGCATGGACGAGTTAATTGTCCAGAGTTGCTACTGTTTTTGCCAACAGCCATTTCGTAACCTACAAGTCCAAAACCAGGACTAAAGCAAATACTATAGGGTACAGAAGACAAAGTTCCTTCTATGTAAAGTTGGTCAATTTTCGCCAAGCTTTCGCACTACCTTCCTCAAAAGAAATGAGTACACAAAATAAAATTCAACGTTTGAAGTTGGAAGCTTCGCAACCACCCCAGTACCAAAACCAAACTCAAAGGTCAAAATTCAAACGGAATAAAGAACCACTCTTTAGCTACTAAAGGTTTAAATTTTGACGATGAAACTCAACTTGAGTAACAAATGCATCTAGATTATATGGCGTTATATCAGCTAAATTTCCACGCTCAACAGATCAAGCAGAACAGGTAAAGTTCAAGCTACCCAATTAAACAATTTTGTAATACCTGGATCTGCAAATTAAAAATAAGTGCACCAAAACTTAGAATCCCAATTTTATTCTACAGAAAAGTAATTAAAATGCACTTTTTACGCTAAATATTAGTAATAAAATTGAACCAAACAAAGCACCTTATAAATGATCTAACAGATCACACTTAACTAAAAATTCAAGTTTAAACAAACCCAGATATACTAATTCAAAGTATCAAATTTGATACCATTTTTATCAAAATTAGGCAAATGAATCTAGAAAAACCATGGAAATTACTAAACCCTAAGTAAATTTAAATTTCAAACCCAAATTAATTAATCAAAAACAGTGGAACACCCACAAACTGAAAACCAACTACTGGAGTAAAATCAGCAGAATTCAGCAGACACCCACAAAAATTAAACCAAAAAGAAAGCAACCCAACTCAAAAAATCTAGCATAAAAGCAAAGCGAGCAACAAAGTTCATAGCACAAATTCAGTATAAAAAATTTTAAAAAAAAATTCTTTAAATTATTACAAGCAGAGTAGAAGAGAGAGAAACCTGGAAGATTCAGGAGAGAGAAAGCAGAGAAGAGAATAGATTGAAAGAGAGAGAGAAAGAGGGAGACGTTGGAGAAGATGGCCCTCTGAAAGTGGGGGCTGCCTTCTCTGGTCTACTCTGGCTCTGAATTGCCCAACTTGCTTGTTTAAGTTGAGTTTGAAGATTATTTAATAGTGTGATTTTTGAGTAACTATTCCTATAATTTAACTAATTTATGTTTACTTTGCTTGCTTTCTTTATTTGCTTAATTTACTCTTCCTTGTCTAGTTGTCAATTGTCTTTCCATCTCTACCTTGTTTGATTAGTTTGTTATCAATATTTATTACTCCAGTGTTAAAGGTTAGGCGATTTTTCCTTATAAGTATTCTATTTCGAACAACAATAAAAATAAAAAAATTATGTTACTAATACGAGTATGTTTTTGCATTTAAGGTAATCTATTGTATTAGGGTTTTAGGAGAAAGTTTTCTCCTCTTTTCTATATCATTATTGAGCTACTTGTACTTCCTTAACATTTCAATAGTTGTGCATGAGAATAGGTTTATTATAGTTAAAAAAAAAAGTAGAGAAAGTTAGTGACCGATTAGGTAAACTTACATATACAATTAAAACACACATAGAACAAAGCTAAAGTAAGAAAGAGGCGATATAAGCGCTTCTTGCATTAATGTATAACGTAAATAGTTTAATAAGACAAATATTAACGATGTCCAAAAAAATAAAAATAAAATAAAATAAAAACATTGATAGTGATTTTCTTCATAAAAGTAGTTAAATATGTTAGTTGAAAGTTGGATCGTTATTAATTGAGAATTTAATTTGGTAAGCTAGTTTAGCTCAATTTAAGGCTTGTAAAAGTTCAATTTAATTGAGTTCATGCAACAAGTTCCTAACCGAAAAAAAAAAGTGATAATTGAATTTATTTCAAAGTTAATAAATTCAAATATTTAAAGTTTCGTGTAGCTTAAGGAAATCATTTAAATATATTTGACTTAAGATTTATTAAGCTTGGCATGTGTTCCTTTCTTATAATAAATCCCTACCTTATAAAAAGTAGAAACATACTCTTATGAATAGTGTAATGCCAATTATACCCTTCAAAATGTGTATTTACATACATACCCTCATTAATATGTAGATGCTATTTTAATGAATAGTGTTTAGACAACTATACCCTCTAAAATATTTATGTACTTTTATGCTTTCATAAATGTTAGTTGTCTTGAACATTTATATCACCTAAATATAGTTGATTACATATTTTCTCTTATTGTTTTTTTAGGAAAAATTTCTCTTATTGTTAATTTAACTAATTTTGTGATTTAAAAGCCAAACCAAAAAAACCTTCAAGATATGGTCAGCTATGACGCGCGCATTAGCTGCCCTAGTACCTTAAAGTAGTGTAACATCAATAATAAAATTCATTTCAATATATGATTGGATAATAGGTAGATATTCTTTGTATTTCAAAAATAATTTACAAGAGGGTAGAAACTCATGATGTACTAAAATATACCCTGTACTTTGTATAGATCATATACTTATAATTTCACAAAATGTTACTGTACCTGTTTAGAGATAAATTTATCATTCCTCATTAAAACACGCATTTTTTCCATATATAACGCTAGTAGCATTAAATATTTATTCTTAAAACCTATGTTACATGGACTCGGATAGTCGGATACCCATGGTCGACACGGGTACATGTCCAATCGAAATATTTCAAGATTCGAACTAAAAGTAATGTGTGTAAGTGTTATACTCATGTCCAAATGTCGAGAATCTGACATAGATGTTTAAAGTGAAATAAGATTAGATTATTAAAAATTATGAATTACACCCCCAAATTCAACCAAATTAAGGAACTCAAAATTGAGAAATTTATCCATCATTTCTCCATGACAATAGTCCATGAGACCATGACTACATGATAGTGACTTTTTTTTTTTAAAAAAAAAAAAAAAAAAAAGAAGAAGAAGGAAGGAATCCAAAAGGTTTGGAATGAATGTAGCTTAGACAATCTTTATCAATTCCAAACACACAGAGTGGACTCATATCTCTGCTGTTAGTTCTCTCTCGACCTATCTGCTTCTGCCAAGGTTAGTTTTTTTGTCATTTTGTTGACTAAATTTGTGATTTTTAAGGTTAATTATATTATTCTAATTATCTAAGCTCTACTTTGTCGATTGTTTTGCTCAATTTGATTTTGTGTTTTAATTTTTCAATATATGATTGCATGATTATGTTGTTTCTGGGTTGGATTTTGGGGGCTGATTAATGACTTATTGTGGTGTAATTTGGCCAGTTTTGAATACAATTTTGGGGTTAGGGTTTCCATTTCTTTTTGTTGTGGATGCATCAAAGCAATTTTTAATTAGCAAATTGTTATTTAGGATGACTGACCGATTAATAAGTTTCAGCTTTTAGGGGTTTAATTTCAGCTTTTTGTTGTGTAATTTGCTCGATTTTTGAAGTTAAAGGAAAACTCTTAATCGTATTGGACTTGTTGTAGTTGGTGGTGTAGGAAACTGGGAAGCAGTATCATCTATGAGAACTTTGGAGCTATTGAGTTCTGAATTTTTGAGATTCTATTTTGATAAAATTACCTGAATTATGAGAGGTGAGAGAGGTGAGCATTAGCCTTAGCACCCGATTCAGCCTCGAGTGTATTTTGTTGAGTGCAAGATTGGCAAGACCGAGAAATGATGAATTCATAATCAAATTTTGATAGCATTGTTTGATATTATGGTTCGTTGGTAATTTGGTACAGTGGTACACCTAAAGGGCATTTTGGAATAAAAAGAATTGAGATTGGATCAAAACTTTAATTCCCGTAGTTGATTGTGTGTTCCTATGCAAATGGCAAGGTCATGGTTATTAGCTTGGCTATAGTGAAAGAAGAGAGCAAGGGAGAGTAGAGAAAGAAATTGTTTTTGGGATTAATTATCTGCCCTTGTAATAGTTTTATATGCGCAATTGTCTATAACTAGGAATGCTTGTTCTTTTGATCTTCTGTAAGAGTTAATTCTGATACCTATTTAGCTTTACTTATGATTCATTGATGTCTTTGGAAGAGTAATAAATTTTGGAAGAGCACTTTGGTGGTGAGACATTGAAGCTTGAAAGTGTTTGGGAAATTGAAGCAATGTTCTGCTGTTGTGCATTACAATCTGCTTTTTTCTTCTTTCATCTTTCACAGGTTTAGTCGCCAATGGGGTACAAGCTAATTGCATGCTTTGTTGCATATATAGCTGTAGAATTGGTGTGGTGTGGCTGTTTTCTTTTCCAAATTAATCGACTTTGTTTAGCAACCTTTCCATCCCTGGACCAGGAAAATGATTGGTGGCATAAGGAGGGGAAGGAAAGCAAGAAATGTATACATAGGTTGTGCGGAAGCATTTCTGGGCTGGGATCTGCTCAGATATTATTCCCTTGGGATGTTTTGCTGATTCTCTAATATTCACATTATGTGTAAAGCTTACATAATAAACTTTAGCATCGGTTGGCTTGATACATTGTCATCCTGTGCAAGATTTAAAACTGCATTTGCTTATCTTTATTTAACGAAGTGAAACATATATACGAAGTATTTAGCATCATGTAGCCAATAATTGTAATTGAAAGAGGAATTGATTGTGTTCTATTTAGCATGCCTAAAGTAACAATGCTAAGATTAGGAACATTCTGTGTACTGTGGCATTCAGTTCTTTGACATAGCATACCTTTCTCTGCAGGTAACAAATTTTTTATTCCTCCATGGCGATTGCTGTGGATATGAGCCCCATTGGGTTGCTTAATTATGGCCTAAATATCAATAAAAAGAGCTCATATGGAAGATTTGACTCCCTTGTTTCAAAATTGCCAGTCCGATTTCGTCCTATTCGAGCTGTGCAAGATAACGTGGGCCCTCGAAGGCTGGTAGACATTATTCGTACTGTACCAGACATTTCAAGAAACTATTTCAAGAGACCTTCAAGGAGAGCGCTCTTTGGAGGAATTGCCTTATTAGGTGGGTTTTACGTCGCACAAACAATTTCTTTGTCCTTTGGAGCTTTAGGGGTCAATGATGTTATTGCTGCTGTATTGTGTGTGCTCCTCACTGAATATGCAACAAAATTCTATTACAGTCGGTCGAAGGTAACATTTCCAATCGCCCTTCTCAACAATTTCAAGATGGGATTTACATATGGTCTATTTATTGATGCTTTCAAACTAGCTAGTTGACCTGGGACTCAACGTTAAGGGTACTGTGTCGTTCTTGTACATACTTCTAGTTATCACTTCTGTCATAGATACAATACAGAGATCCTGTAACAGTGCAAATTTTGACAATATGATTGATGTTGGTTCTTCAAATTCATCCATTTATTCTACTACCCTACTAGCTTTTGCGATGCAGACAGCTGAGCAATCCAGTGGTTTTGTATAAGCCTGCAAAAGTTGTGTTATATATGCTGTCATTTTTATTATCTTCACTTCTTAGCTGAGATGAATTGAGCCAATGGAAAATTGTCACCATGCTAGAGTAATAGCTGTCTTAACCCCTCATACTTGAGGATTCAACATGATTTTACTAAAATACTTTGTATGTTTAAAATACCTGTCTTCTCATCCTACAAGTATTATTCAAATGGAAGGAATACTAAGCAAAGTCAAGGATTGAATTGAGGAACCGAGTTTGTTTCCTTGCGCCTAATTTGCATATCTAAATTTAATCCTGTGACATCTTAAAGAATATGAAAGAATACAATACAATAACATCCTCTTCGGTGCATAGTTCTATGTTAAAAGGCGAGGTTCTCCACAGATGAGAGAAAAGGCGTTGTTCTAGTCTGGTAGTTGTAGCAGAAAGGCCGTGCTTTGTCTTCCAAGTAAACGAATTTTTTTTTTACAAAATTGTAATATTACATACAATGTATATTTCTTTTCAATAATAGCTTATGTTTCTAGCACAAAGAATATGTATACGATACTTCTTCAACTCATGTATTATGTATAAATGGTCAAACATATAACCAGAAATAATCTCATATAATACCCACACTCAGAATTGTGAAGCCCAGAAAACCAAGCAAAAATAGGAAGAAAGCGTCGCCAATTCTGACAAACTCAGCTGAGGAAGCTAGAACAGGGTGATTGCTCTTGGAAGTTTTGGGCAGTAAGCCCACGGAATTTGGTGCAAGAGCTGCTTCAGGTGCTCCTGCTGTTGAAGCAGTTGACACAGCAGTTGAGTTGGGTTCAACATGTACGTGAAGCTTCATCCCTCCTAGACAGTATAGTCGGTTGCAACAAGCAAAGTACCTGTCTCCTGGTTTTGTTAAAGGGAAGGTTGTGTTTCCTGAGGTACTTCTAAGCAGAGCATTATTGGTGTCGCAACTATCAAACTCTTGCTTTGTCAGCTCACATACTGATGATGATGAGAATTGAAATGCTGCAAATATGATAAGAAAATAAGAATACTGGTACAAACTAGCCTGATAAATCTATGCATCAGCTATTCAGCTGGCATCTGTTCTATTTACAGAGTACATATATTTAAATTTTATCTGGAATTTCAAGGGTTCTATTAAAGAACAAAATGGGAAAATACAAAGTGTAATTAATTAAGACGTTGTCTAATTATTTTGCAATGACCTTAGGTAGAAATGTGGTCTATAATCCAGAAATGTAGGAGTTGTTGCATAAGATGGCAACAACACCATGAAAAAAAAAAAGAAAAAAAGAAGAAAAAGAGAGAGAAAAAAGCTGAGTTTGGAGCCAAATATCTGAATATTTATACGATATGGCACTTCGATCTATTCACGCAAGTTCAAATTACGAGACAGCACCCAAGAAAATCGGGAAATTAAGGGGAAAGAGCCTTACCAAGAACATCTCCAACAACGAATCTCTTGCCCATCACCCATGAATCAAGATCAGTACTAATATCCCAACCAGAGGTATCACCGACCATGTACATGGTGGCTCTGCATGCAACAATAAGGCAAATCAGTGCACCGATAAACCCAAGCAAACGAAAGTTCCCCATAGTGAATAAACCTGAAGTTGATATGCAAATCATCTCTTTCATGCGGCAATAAAGCATATTTATATAAAGTGTTTGTTAGTAATTAGATTACCAAACTCATCATATGGCCCATTTAAGTCTTAGACCAAATAATTAATTAAGATAAGTATTCTATATAAGTTGGCCATCTGATATAACCAACCCCCCTGGGTCTGACATTTGATGGCCAACTATTAACAGAACCTACTAATGACAAACTCTATAGTAACTGAAGCCAAGCAATATGCTAGAAACAATAGACATTCTTAGCAACCTAGAGAAAATAAGTTGGTTTGGAATTTTGGACAAACTAAATTGGGAAATTCAAGCTTGGAACCTCCAAGTCCTACATTCTCCTGTTATGTGAAGACACTGGGCAAAAGACCAAACACATTGAATAACAGCACTAAACATATATATATATATATATATATATATATATATATATATATATATATATATATATATATATATATATATATATATATCAAAAATCTCATGATATCAAAGTTTAAATGAAAATAGGTTGGTACCAGAGATCAAGTCTGATTCTACTCGATCTTCCCATAGTTAAGTTGAGGTCGTCAAAAATGGATCATAAGCTGGTCGGTAACCTTCATCAATCATTTGTTTAGTTAAAATTCTTAACCAGCTACATATATCTGCTATCTCAGGATGCTTCTGATCTCCAACAACAAACACGTGAACAAGACTCTTCAGTTCAATCCAACTACACCCAGCCTCCTTGCCTACCCTTCTAAGCTTCATAAGCCTCATGACTCGTCCCACGTCATCTGATCTTCCTAGTGCAGTATAAATTCTAGACAATAAGACATAAGCTGATGATTCTTGTGAGCCTAGCTCCATTAGTTTCTCCCCTGCATAGGCTCCTAGCTCATAATGACCATGATTTCGACATGCACTTAATAATATTCGCCACAAACACATCCCATGATCCAAAGTTGCTGATTCAATGAAATCCTTGGCTTCAAAAAGCCTCCCAGCACGGCTATACACATCAACCATGCAAGCATAATGCTCTAATCCAGGTTGTAGGCCATATTCACTGGAAATCATCTTGAAGTATTCCCAGGCTCTTTCAACCAATCCCATATGGCTACAAGCAGAAAGAATATTAACAAAAGTAACATAATCTGGCTTTACACCTTCTGATCTCATCTCCTCGAATAGATCCAAAGCTTTGTCACTGCACTCATTTTGAGCAAGACCAGATATCATAGCATTCCAAGAAACTATATCTCTTGTGGTCATCCTCTGAAAGACCATGTTGCCTTCGCCAATGCACCCACACTTTGCATACATGGATGAAAGAGAACTTCCAATAGTCATCTCTCCAGCAAGCCCATACTTTATGGCCCGGGCATGGACTTGTTTGCCTTGCTCCAAAGCAGCAAGACTAGAACAGCCTTTCAATACACTAGCAATTGTTAGGTCATTAGGTAAAATTCCCTCTGCTTCCATCCTGCCATACAAACTCAATGCTTCTTCATTATCTCCATGCTGTATATAACCTCCTATCATTGAAGTCCATAAAACAACATCTGGCTCCTGCAAACAATCAAAACCTTTCCTAGCATCAGCAATGCTACCGCATTTCGCATACATATCAACCAGTGCAGTTATAATATACATTTGATTCTCAAATCCCATTTTAACCGAATAAGAATGGATTTGCCTGCCTTCCTCAACGGCACCATCGTCACTACACGCATTAATCACCCCAACGAAAGTATATTCACTAGGCCTAACCCCAGAATAATGCATTTTAGAAAACAACTCCAGAGCTTTCTTAGAGTGCCCACTCTGCGCAAAGCCAGTGACCATCGCGGACCACATAATAGGACTCTTATCAGTAGACAATGCAAACATCTTAAGCGCATTGTTTGCACTCCCACATTTCAAATACATAGTAACAAGAGCATTCCTAACTTCCACAATTCGTATCACCCCAACCTTAACAGCAAAGCAATGAACTTCCCTTCCAACATCAACCAACTCCGGAATAGCCAATGCACTAAGCACACTAGTCAAGAAAAAGGGACTCCCTCGCTCCTCTTCATCCTTCACTATCAATTTAAAAACCCCCACAGCCTCTTCAGCCATACCACTCGCAGAATACCCAGATATCATAGTCGCCCATGACACAGAGTTCCTCTCAGGCATTTCATCAAACATCTGGCGTGCATCATCCATAAAACCCGATTTACAATACATGTTAAGGATCGCGCTTCCAACAACCACATCTCCACCATAATTAGTCTTAATCACCAACGAATGCACCTGTTTTCCAGCCCAAACATCACCCACATTTGAAACTGCACTAAAAATCCCAGCAAATGAATAACCATTGGGGAGACAATTCTCGACCCGCATTCGACGAAACAAATCAAAAACATAGAAAGATGACTTATTGCCACCAAATTGAGCATGGGCATTAATAATTGAGCTCCAAGAAACATCATCTTTAATGGGGATTTCCTCAAAAGCAAGCTTAGAATGGGTTAATTGGCCACATTTTGCATACAAATTAACTATGCTATTAGCTAAGTATACATTGGAAAAATAATTTGATTTGATGATTTTTGCATGAATCAATTTACCCTTTTGAAGGTTTTGTTCTTGGGTAAGCTTTACAACCTCCTTGAAAAGAGCTCGATGAGCTGCACTCATCAATTCTGTTATTGTTTGGCAGTTATCCTGGAAATTGAAACTATAGGTTATAATTTTGCAATGAATTTTTGTTTAATCTATAATTTCATCAACATAAATTAGAAGAAATCTGTAAAATAAATAAGAGAACCTTGGCGACAGTAGAAGTTGATTGAACGAACAGTCGAACAGGAGACTCAACTTAGTTGCTGGTGCCTGGTGTAAACTGTAAGAGTATAGAGTGTAAAGGAGGTTTTTTTTTTCTTTTGAAATTTAGTTATAAAATAGGAGTGTATTGATCTATCTGTGAGGAAGTTATTCCAACTTAATTAAGGTTTTGGGCTCGAGATTTGAGAATGTCCTATTCCGTAACACTTATTGGAAGAGCTTTTTTCAATTAGGTTTTAACTCGACTCATATTTGAATTAGTTGGAGTCTAGTAGGCTTTGAATTACCAAATTTGCTAAAAAAAATGTGAGTAAGAAACATTACTTTGAGGAATATTACTTAGCTAATTATACTCCATGCATGATAGGTGTTCCGCCATGATATAACTTTTAAAATATTAAAGCTGGTGTCTACATCCTTATATGATTGAATTATTGGTAAAATTATTCATTTTTTAAGTCTTATTACTCCAATGGTAGCTATCCTTTTTTAGGTCACAATATTTCCTTGCCACACCCAAAGTAGGGAATTTGTTTTTTCAATCAATTTCCTTGACTAGCAATGTTAAATGACATTTCCTGTTTCGGGCTTAACAACATTGAAATATCTAAAATGCTTTGTTGACAATAATGTTCTAATACTTATGAGTTTATTGAAGAGTAATATGTGGAGAGAGTTAAAGGGAGGAACAGGAGTCGTGCCTTCGTGTATTTAGACAATGGAAGGTGATAATGGGTTGAAGAAGTGCAAATTTCCATTGGATCATTAGTAATGAAAAGAAGCTATAAGTTTATATTTTTTTCATTTCCATCAAATAAATCAAAATAAGTTTATATGTTTTCATTTCCATCAAATACTAATATCTCAATTCTCAATTTGACGAAACACAACAATGCTATGGAGTACTCTTATGTGTTTTCTTTGTAGGTTTTATTTGATTTAAACTATTTTATGAATAGGTACAAAATCGTTCATACCAACAAGTTTGTCAAGCAAAATTTTTTGTTATTAAACATTAAGGTAAGTTGGGTAACAACTAGCACTATTTACTTGATTCAAATAATAGTGTTTGATAATGCGAACTGGATGGTAACTTTTAGCTTTTAAAGTAGCACTTTCTGTTAAAAACTACAAAAAAATTTCCCTTAAAATGTTAACATTCAAATTTTGCCTTTTATCTTCACTAAACAACTGCTTTAACTATTTTTATTTTCACATAGTGTTAATTTGACAATTATATATCTCATATGGAGTATCAATTAACATCTGCTCCATAAAACCTACAAATACCAAATACCTAATACACAATATCATTTATTTCCACATCTATTCAGCTACCAACTAATTCAAAGTTCAAACTACAATACGAGGTAGTAATAATCAATTTTGCCGAACACGCCCTTACTATCTTGGGTGGCGATGATCGAGTCGGATCTTCCACTTCCAAAGTTCCATTGTGAACTCTTCCGTTTTCGATCCCTACCCAAAACAAAATTTTATCCTCGTGCGTGTAGATGGCGCGTTACAACTAGTACTAACTAATAAATATTTACTCCCAAAACCAAAACCCAAATCTTCTTCTTCCACCGCCGTATTTCTTTCTCTCTCCTCCGACCACCGCCTTCCCCACCTCCTCCACTAACACCCACCAAAACAAAAACCCCCTTTTTCTAATCAAAGAACCCTAATTTCTCTCTCCTCCCAATTTCCCCAATTCAATCAATTCATCAATTTCAATTTTTTTCCCCAATAATGGATTTTGATTCAAACGGCGGCAATAAACGAGTATTCCATCGACTCGGAAACAAACAATCTCAACCTCATCACCAACACCAACAATCTCATTATCCTCAAAATCAAAAAGTTTGTTATCACTGGCAAGCTGGAAGATGTGCGAGAAACCCGTGTTCTTTTCTTCACAGAGAACTTCCTCTTCCTCCTCCTACTACACACCCTTCTTCTTCTTCATCTTCTTCGTCGTCGTTTAATGGCCCTGCGAAGAGGGCTCATGGTGGTTTGGGCGGTGGTGGTCAGAGAAATGACGGCTTTTCGAGCCGTAAAAACCCTAATTTTAATAATACTTGGGGTAGACCTGGTGGTACTAGTGGTGGGGTTCCTCCGAAGAAGATGGAAAGAGTTTGTAATTTCTGGGTTCAAGGGAAATGTAATTATGGTGATGGTTGTAAATTCTTGCATTCTTGGTCGATTGGTGGTTCCTTTTCACTTTTGACTACTCTTGAGGGTCATCAGAAGGTATTTTCATTTGTTTTTAGTACTGTTTAATTTGATTTTGTTTATATTAGGGATTGTTTATGTTTCATCATGATTCAATCTGATCAAACTGTAGTTGAGATTTGTGTATTTTACATGATCATGATAATTTACACATAGTAACTAATGCTGCTTGAGTTTGATGGGTTTGGTTTATCGGGTTTTGGGAGCTGTGTTTGATGGGTTGAATTCTTGTTCGGGGAGTAATTTTATTGTTTTGTTTGATGCAATCTTCACTATTTAATCTGATCAAACTGTAGTTGAGACTTGTGAATTTTACATGATCATGACAGTGTACTCATAGTAACTAATGCTGCCTGAATTTGATGGGTTAGGTTTATCGGGTTTTTGAAGCTGTGTTTGATGGGTTGAATGCTGTTTTATTTGGTGTTTCTATGTTTTGATTGATGCTAAAATTGGAAATATCCTCCTCCTAGGGGGACTTGATTTACAGTGCGTTTGAATTGATGTGTTTTCGGGTCAGGTTGTAACTGGGATCACTTTGCCATCAGGGGATAAGCTTTACACAGGCAGTAAAGACGAGCATGTCAGGATTTGGGATTGTGCATCAGGACAGGTTTGTTCTTTTTTATTCGAATATGCTCTTTAACTTTTGTTTTAGTGATTAGCAGATTGCTGTTCTTTATTGTATGGTTGATGTATTGATGCTATTTGGACTTTTCACTCCATACCTAATTTTTTAATTTATTATATATTTTGGACTACAGTGTACAACGCGATTTGTTTGGAAATTATTTGAACAAGTGTCCACTTAACTAACACTTTTTGCATCATATTATTTGTCACTTAAAATATCAATGCACTATTATGGGTTGGCTTAAAATACCAGAATGATGATACTTGTTATTATTACCATTATAAACTCTCATATCATTAACCTTTGATCATATTCTTAATTTTTGATCATATTCTTAAAATAAACTTATTTTTAGGATGGAGATAGTAGACCAAAATCATTCAGCTGTACCTGAAATCAGCCAAATGCTATCATACTTTACTTACCTTTTTGCATTTTTTTTTTTGGGCGCAGTATAAGTGGTCATGCACAGCAATTTATTCCCTTACCCCTAACATATACTCTATATTGGGCTATGACCCTATGTATTTTATTAGTTTAAAACCTTTTGGTTTGTTAAAAATAGCCTCCCCGTCTCCTCGATCACCTGGGTTGAAATACTCTGCTTTGCTAGAATACTCTTTATGGCGTATAAATTAGATATGGGTGTGTCCTTCACATAGACAAGATTGGTTACGTGTACAATTTGTTGGGCATAAGTGCATGTGGCTTCTACATGTAAAAGACCTTTACATGCTAGAGAACCTAATTTAGGCAATAAAATTGTATAGAGTTATTTGAATGAATCATATGAATTGTTGATTTAGGTTAATGTAAGAACTTGTAGAATCAATTGCACTAGACCAACTTTTAACATGTATCAATGTATGTGTGTGATATTTGGAGGTTTGACATTATATATCATAGTCTGCGAAAGTTGTTAAAAGTGAAGCTATGGCATCCTGTAACTATGGAGCTTATTGTCGAATTTGCTTGTTTTGTAAATGGATTAGTCCTAGATTAATTGGAAAGTGTGCAACTTTGACATATGTGATGTCTGATGTGTCATCGTGTTCACTTCTCTTGCTTTTCCCAATTTTGTGAGCCATTGACAAATCCTTAGGTCTTGAGATTTTCTTATTCTCATTTTAAAAAAAAAAATATGCGCTTCTTATTGGGAACATACTTCTGCATTGTTGCCTGTTTTTGTAGTGTGTCAGTGCTGTTCATTTGGGCGGAGAAATTGGCTGTATGATCAATGAAGGGCCCTGGGTTTTTATAGGGTTGCCAAATATGGTCAAGGTGAGGTGGGATGCAAGATTTTCTGTGAGATAATATATAAAGTTCACACTTACTTTTTATAATAAGCTAATGTGTGAAGTTTCTTGATTCGTCATATTTGCAGGCATTGAACATTGAGACTGTCACTGATATGAGTCTCAGTGGACCTGTTGGTCAGGTTTATTCTCTGGTGGTGGGGAATGATATGCTGTTTGCTGGCATACAGGTGATTGATTTTTCTGTTCAGTCTGAATTAGTGTTTTGATGATTTTGGTAGTATATATTTGTTTCTAGTGTTGGCTTACCATGAAAAAGAAAATTACAGAGGCTTATTGGTTTCTGTTGCTGAAAGCTTTCTTTATTTTTAAGCATCATTAGATTCTGGATATAAGTGAGTTGCTTGAATGTTTGAGCTAAAGCTAATATTGTTTTCATTATTACAGTAGATGCTTTTCAGTTTTGATGACTCTCGCCGTCCATTAATGATAGGATACATCTTCTTTGGATTGTCTCAAATTACTTCTTTTTATATTTAGTTTGTAATTCTTACCATTTATCCATATTCCTTTTTCCTTAGTGATAGTTTTTAGGAAAGAAGATGCAAAAACTTATCCCAATTCCTTAAAAAAGACCTTCAGTTTCACTATCAAATATTTATCCAAATGTCCAATGAAGGCAACAATCCATATATTATATCTTCAACCCTATTTCTTTATTTATCTGCTTATGTTTTTACTCTCCTTTTATTACTACTTTTAATTTCTGTGTCAAACTAAAGTCTGAAGATTTGGAACTGAGGAATGTTTCTTTCTGCTGAAACTTTGATATGCTTTTATACCTGTATTTAAGTTTATTCAAAGCTAGGTATCTTTTTTTCTTGTAGGATGGGAATATATTGGCTTGGAAATTCAACCCGGCTACTAATTGCTTTGAACCAGCTGCATCCCTTACGGGGCATACAAGTGCTGTTGTTACTATGTTTGCCGGAGCTAATAGACTCTATTCTGGTTCAATGGATAATTCTATAAGGGTAAGCTGTTTCATGATATTGATATCAGTGTTTATTAATGCTTTACTTTGCTTTTCCGAGGTATTGTTATTTATAGTCTCCAGTTTGATCTTAATATTGCCTTTTACAGGTGTGGAATCTTGAGACATTGCAATGCATACAGATTTTGACAGAGCACACTTCTGTTGTTATGTCTGTTCTTTGTTGGGAGCAGTTTCTATTATCAGCTTCACTGGACAACACTATAAAGGTTGTTATTTGTTTGCCTAGTTGATAATTTTGGCCAATAAATGGAATTTGTATGGCTTTGTTTTGGCCACCGTTTTCATGACTTCTTTTTTCCTTAACCCTTCTGCAACTTGATTGTTTTTGTGCAGGTCTGGGCTGCTACTCCAAGCGGAAACTTGGAAGTGACTTATACTCATACTGAAGAGCATGTATGTTTAAAATATTTTCTTGTCATTTTAAGCATTTCTTTGCTTGCTATTTTAAGCTACATTTCTTCCGATTAGTGATTTTAAGCTACATCTCTTTGCTTTGCTCTAAGGATCATCCATTTGGTCTGAAGTTTTTGTTTAGTATTGTAAGGCATAACCTCAGTACCTGACAATTTGGACTTAGTTGCATTGAAGCTGTATCATATTTGAGGTGCACAAATTAGCCATGATTCTTATGAAACTACTAAATTATTTCTGCTAAGAAACAATGTAAAAGCTATTCGATTGGTCAACAATTTCTTTCTTTAATCAGTGAGGTTGTATCCCATGAAATAGCTTAGGAAAAGGTGATCCTGGGGATTGAATTTTGGTTATGTGGGTTAGATTGTTGCACTTAGGTGTGCACCTGATCCCATGAGACGTTGAGGTAGTGCTTCTTGCAAAACATGCCTGGTTGCAATTTTTTGTTCGTGAGGTCTAAGGATTTAGTGTAGGGTTTGTGGGGGAAATATGAGAAGTAGAGAGGGGGAGAGTGGGGGATACCCAAATTAAGGTCGTACCTGGGTTTATGTGAATTGTGTTTTACTGTGTCTGACATGTTGGTATAAATTAATAGACTTTACACTGTGTTTGGATAAAAAAGGAGGAAGGAAAAGAAGGGGAGGGAGGTGAAGAGGAGGGGAGGGAAGAATGTTGAATTTTCCTTTCAAATCTCTCCATTGTTGGAGGGATCAATTTCCAACAATTTAATCCCTCCATTTCTCTCCCCTCCAATTCCCTTCCTTCCTCATTTGTTATCCAAATGAAAGAATTTCCATCTCTCCATTTCCCTTCCCTTCCTTTCCCTCCATTTCCTTCAATCCAAACACACTGTTACTCTCTAATCAATCTAATCTGCTTCTCATTATTGCTGGTCAGCAGAAACTTCATGCGCATAAATACTTGTCTAAGTTTATTCCAAGGCTGAGGTTGAAGCCCAAGTTACTTTTTCTAGCTTAGGTAGACAGCAAAAGAAAAACCGCATAGTAACTTAAGTGCATTATTGCTAACTTGTGATTGTCTGGGGTGTACGTGGATATGCTTGCTCTGTTCCCAGTTTTGATCACAACCCTCTCTCATTGTGTAAACATTTTTTTAAAATAATGATGCATTCTCTGTGAAAGCAATGAAGTCTGCTTATCACCTCCTTGAGTTTTGCTTTAACTATTTATTTATTTTTTATTATTATTATTTAAAAAAAAAAAAAAAATAAAGAATATGAGATCATCTTTGGCTGTGGCATTGCTTTGATTCAGCCAAGATTTGATCAGTTAAGGATTTTATTTCTTTTTGGTAGCTTGGTAGAAGAGGTAGTTTTGGATTGAAGACTTGAGAACACCATTTCATTGATAATAACCAGTGGTTATTTACCACCTAAAGCACTACACTACCTTCTATGCACAAAAGAGCTTTTGTAGTGCAGTTAATCTGACTGAATTAGGTGTGCATTTTGTAGTTTATATGTAATCATTTTATGTGGAATTTGTTTCTTGTTTCTTGTGGGAATGAATCAAGCCAACCTTCTATGCACAAAAGAGCCAAATTGTTCCAACTCCAAGCCCCACCAAGTCAACCATTTATTCTAGTTTGTAAAGCACATGTTTACAGGTAGGATTAAACTTTACATTCACTCTTTCACCATCTCACTCCAGGCCTCCAGCTATACAAAATAAATTTATCATTGCCCTACTTCCTTGGTGCCGGGGTGATTGTTCTGTTGCTTGTTTAGTAGATTACCCTTAATTGGCGTAGGAATCCACTGGGTTTTAACTCCTTCCATAATCTTCCTTCTTTGATTAAGTTACCAATTGAGTTTTGATTTGTGGTTGTTTAATTTGCAGGGTATACTCACTCTCTGCGGGATGTTTGATGCAGAAGCAAAGCCAGTGTTACTGTGTTCCACCAATGACAATTTTGTCCACATATATGACTTGCCATCGTAAGTTTTTATCCTAGTGTAGGAAATCCATGTCATTCTACCACCATACTTAGAAAATCTATTAACATTGGTCATGGGTTGGGCCTCACTCAAATTTAAATGGGCTAGTTTTGGCCTGGTGTTGGCCCTGAAAGCTGGGTAAATTTGGCTTGTACAATTATACATCATGGAATTGAATATATTCTACTTGTGTCAGGTTGTGTGCGTGATGTGTTTAATGATTATGCATGTTATAGATAATTATCTGTTCTTCTTTAGGTTTATGGAGAGGGGCAAGATTATTTCAAAGCAAGAGATTCGAGCTATTCAAGCAGGTCCTAGCGGATTATTCTTTACCGGTGATGGAAATGGTCAAGTGAGGGTTTGGAACTGGTTAGCAGAACCAAAGACAGCTATGTAGCACTATTTATTTTTCATGGCAGTTAGCCCTTCAAGTTTTCTCTCTATTTTTTTGTTTCCTTTGGTCATCGTTGTTGAGGAACTGCGAGAAGATAATCCTGGCTGATGTTCCTTGTTATTGGCCACAAACTTGGCACCTTTGAAGTTGTCTTCTACAATGATAAGGACTACTCTTTTGGTTGAGCAAATTGTTACTACACTCCACAGCAGCTTTGCTGTGATTTATTATGTATTTATAGCAAATGAGGGAATGATATTGTGTAATGCTTGTGTATGTAACCATTAAGTGATTTTGCTAGTGTATTTAGCCCTTTTTGAAGTAAAATTCATATCATTACTCTTTGAGGAAGAAGCATACCTAAAGCTTAATTTTCTTTGACTCTTAGTTTTATGTTAATGATTACCTTGTATCAACCCCAAAAAGAACTGAAATAATTGACAATTTAAAGTGTACATTTTGCACTTAGTTTCCCTTTGCTATATGCTTTTTACCAAGTTTTGTTCTAAAGTTGGGGCTAAGTGGCTAACTAGTCCTATGAATCAGTCCAACATCTTTCTTATAGTATGTGCATTCTATTTAAATCTTCCCTTATTTTACACCTTATATACTCCTTAACTTCTTACTTGGATTGTGGTGGTTAAAAAGTAGCAAGCAAAGCTATTTATGTTGGGTGTGCTGCTCATAAGAAAAAAAAAACGCTAACATATGAGGAAGTAGAACCTGTATGGGCAGTAACCTCTCCCTTGAGGCTTTGCTAATTATAACAAACATGATGCATCAATAATAATATTATTTTAATTAAAACCCGGTTTTATGGTTTTCAAAGTACACTTGCATAGGAAAGCTATAAAGCAGCAATTAGTAATCTTTTATGCTTTTATTGTCTAAGTATTTCTGAACTCTGCTGTGTAAACTTAGCTTCACAAACTTTTGGTAACCAATACTCATTGCACACTTCCTTACAGATTGAACATAACCTTAATCGCATCACCACCACGAGCACTGGTTTCAAAAGCTTCTTCTACCTCCTTCTGTGAGAACCCGAACCTGTGAGTAATGAGAGGCTTCACATCGATTTTACCACTAGTAAGAAAGTCGATGCATAGAGGCCAAGTATTTTTGTAACGGAAAACACCCACAACATCTACTTCCCTGAAATTAAGAATGGAACACATTATTAGAGTCTAAACATATAGTTAGTGGCCTATTTATAAGCTTTGCATTTTTTCCTATTAAAAAAACAATACCTTACAGCTGCAGCGGTGAGAGGAACATTCATCTCGCCATGGCCCATCCCAATTAGGCACACTTTACCACCTTCACCTGTTGCACGAAGAGCAGTTGACAAGGTCTTGTTAAAACCTGCACAATCCAAAGTAACATCCACACTTCTCCCCATAGCTTTGCGAATTTGCTCAACTTCTTCTGGTATGTCCTGTGGAAGGAAAGAATAATTAGGAGCATAATTAATGTATCATAAAATCATTAAATTTCCAATTGAAATTTATTATCACATACTATACTCTTAGAATATCTACAAAAAGTTGTCACCTTTTATAATAAAGTTTTCGGTTTATACCATCTTAAATAGAGTGGCGGAGCTAGCATTTTTATTGCGGTTGAAATTCATTAAAATTAGTTCTTACTTAAATGTAAATGATTTTAGTATTCAAATCAATTAAATAAAACATTTACTAGTATAAACACTATTGAAATTGCTTTAAAATCATTTAAAAAAAAATCATATATATTGCACACATGTTACACGTGTAATATTTGACACATATGATGTGTATTTTAAATTGATAATATTCTGAATTTGTATGTCTTTTCCATATTAAATATTTTTTTTTGAAAGAAATAATAAATAATTATCTTTTAAATACTGTATTTGTAATTTATTTTTTAAAAATTTAATTAAGTAGAGTTAAATTGACCCTTTTGCTTAAATAGACTTGCAAAAAAGTTATTATGGGGGGTTAAGTCATCACTACTACCATGTTTGGACTAAGTAGTTTGTGTGACAGAAGCCCTATAAGTTTAAGGATTTCCAATGTTGAGAAAATTGTTTATAAAGAAGAAGCAAACCTGCATATCGGTTGAAACCTTGACAGTTTCATCTGCACCAAGTTTCTTTGCAACAGATAAACGATATTCATCTACATCCACTATGACTATTCTAGGGGCTCCAAAAGCACGAGCTGCCAGCAATGTCACAAGCCCGATAGGTCCAGCTCCCATGATCAATGTTGTGGTCTCAGGACCAACATTGGCACGGCGACAAGCATGGATACCAACACTTAAGGGCTCACACATAGCTCCTTCTTCCAAACTAACATTCTCTGGGAGTTTGAAGCATAAATCAGCAGGATGTACCACCTGCCACAAGTCATAGAAACATGTTTTCATATTAACTTTAAACTATTATTTGTTGCATAAAACATTAATTGCAAAAGCATCAAGAAAACTTATATAAGTTCATCACTTCATTAGCTAACACTGAGTTTCCGGAGGATTTTGTTAAGCGGGAAAGAAAAAGACAACACCCTGTATCTATCCCAATGAGGAAGCCTCCAACTATCTCCCTCGTTTTCCCCTTATATACATGAGTAAAACATCATATTGATTGATCAAATTCTGATAATGAGCCTAAGTTGGATTACCAGCAATAGAATTCCAAAACATTCTTTGTGATATGAGTACAAAAATATACATTAAACAAACCACCATATATATGTCAACATAAAATCTTGGCATCCATTCGAAACTAGTTATCACATTATATCAACCTATTATATTTAAGAGTATGACATCATGTCACAAATCAATTTTTTTATATCATGTTACCTTATTTCCATTATCTTCACATTGTTAAATTCAAGTACAGACGTATAAGGAATTCAGTCATAAACCATTACTAAATGTAGCTATTAATTCCGGATAACCGCACTAGAAGGTTTCAAAAAATAGTTACCTGATTTGCAAGAGAGCCATGAACAGGAGGAGTTGCAAAGAACTTCATCTCAGGGCACAGATTGTAGCGGCCGTCTTTGCAGACATTACAACGCCAACAACTGATCCCAGGCTCCAAAGCCACTCGATCGCCCGGTACTAATGTTTTAACATCACTTCCAACTTCTTCAATTATCCCAGCACATTCATGTCCAATTACCATTGGCTCTTTCACTATGAAATCAGCACATCTTAAGGTCTACAAAATCAAACAAGAAACCAAAAAAAAAAAAAAAAAAAAAAAAAATGTGAATAGGCTCTTTCACTATGATATCAGCACATCTTAAGGTCTACAAGATCACAAAAAAAAAAAAGAAGAAAAAAGTGAATAAGCTTATTATTCACCCAATTCAATTCCTTAGTATCTGATGTTTGATCATTTTTAGCATGCATGCTCATATAATTAATCAAGCATACTATAAGCTAAATTAAGTAGCAAAATCAATTCCTTTATTCACTAAATTAAATCTCCTAGTATCTGAATATGAGATGGCTTGATCATTAGCATGCATGTCCATTAACAGCAATCAAGCATAAATTAAGCTAAAATAAGAAGAAAAAACCAATTCTTTTTAATGAATTTCAGAATTAAAATAGCAGGAAAAGAAAGCTGAATAATAAAGATGGGATTTTTATACCTTGAGATAGTGAACATCACTTCCACAAATACCAACAGCCTTCATCTTGATTCTTACATCATATGGTCCTTGAGAAATTCACAAGAAAATATGCAAAAGATTAGATTTTTAACAAGGAAAAAACAAGAAACAAAGAAAGGTTGAAGTAGAAGTAAATACCAAGAGGAGGGAGCTCAAATGGTTGGATTTTGAGAGTGTTAATCCCAGTTAACCAAGCAGCCATGTTCTGCTCTCCATCTTTTTCAGAGTTTCCTCCCTTACCCATTTTTCTCTCTCTAGCTCTTTATCTTTCTCTCTCTTACTAGGTGTTGTGTTTCTTGGTGAGTTTTTTTTAACTGATTGAAGGGCTATTTAAAGTTGACAACTTTGAGCTGAGGTTGCACAACTTCAACTACAATTTCCAATATTTTATTTTATATCTGTTCTAACTAAGTCAATTATGTAGATAAAGTAATTGGATTGTTGAAATCAAGTTCAATTTCGGTCAAGATTAAGTGAAATTCCGTGTATCGGTTTGGGTGGTTCATATGTGTATGGTGTATCTATTACATGTTTTTTTAAGGGCTAGAATTAATTTAGGACTTGTTTGGTATCACTCTAATTTTTATTTGTATTATGAAAAAAAATCCTTATCCGATGATTTTGAAAGTAAATCAAGATGATTTGATAACATGACTATATTTTTCACTTACTTAAAAGTCACAACCGACGGTCAAAGAGCATTATGTAAATACGTTAAAAATCAAATGTTCCATTTATATAAAAATTGAGGGAATTTTTTTCTCTCATCTCATATCCCTTGATTTTCTCACATCTATCAACTATAACTAAAACAAGTAATTGCTTACCTCATGTCATTTTTTTTGAAATATTAAACTTTTTACAACATCATCTTTTTATATAAAAAATATTTCTTGTTTACAAAACTTTTAGAAAAATGTATGAAATCCGAATAATAAATACTCCGATAAGAGAGCTAATGAAGAAATATCAAAGTAAAATTAACATTAATACACAGATTGATGCTTGATTTGTCATGCAATTCTTAATACTATCTAACGCCCCAAAACGCTCATTAGCAAAATCTAGAACAAATTATTCAATTCGTTCGTGCACACGAGACTTTTTTTTTTTGACAAAACCCGCAGATTAGCTCATATTATTAAATTCACCAAAAGTTCTATATCGTTACATAAAACCCCTTAATTTCAGTGGGATACTCTTCAAGCCAAACACGATACTCACTATATATAATAAAAACTTAATTTTGCTAAGTTATGAGCAACCACATTGCCCGACCTTCTAACAAACGAAAAGGAACATCTCTAACTAGGGTTGTACAGAGTGCGGTTTAGACCGCACCAAACCCCAAACCAAACCACAATTTTGCGGTTTGAAAATTGCGGTGCGGTTTTTCAAAATGATCAAACCGCGGTTTGCGGTTTGGTGCGGTTTCCAAAATTATTGAGATCAAACCGCACTTTAATGCGGTTTGCGATTTTTATACTATATTTTCATTAAAATTATATAAAAGAACTAAAATATAAGAGCTAATTTTTACTATTAGTTAATTAAAGGTTAATAAAAAGAGTTAAATATTTAAATTATCAACCAATAATTGTAATATAAAATAAAAGTTTTGTTTTAAAAAGAATAATTACAATTTTAATAAAATATGGTTAAACCGCAAACCGCATCTTGCGGTGCGATGTGGTCCGTTTTTTTAAAAGTGTGGTTTGGTGCGGTTTGATGCGGTTTATGATCCAAACCGCACCGCGAACACCCCTATCTCTAACAGCCACGAGCAAGCCTAAGGATATCCCTCACCAAGTTACCAAACTCACACGGAGGAGAGAAACCCTTTTTAACATGATAGAAAACCTTTATGTTATGCACACGAGACTAATTAATATACTATTAACCCTACTACAATGATCTACTAACCCCACTAACATCTCATTCACTTCGTTATTGAACCAGTTTAGTGAGCAAAAAATATTAAAAAAAAAAAAAAAAAAAAAAAAAAACTCAGTTGGGTGTTGGATCGTGTAAATTTGATTTGGCAATTCACATTGGGTAATCAAATCGGTTACAGGGTGACTCGAATTTACTGGATAACCATGTTTTCTGTTGGTGTAGTACCTAGGTCATAAATATCATGTTCCATTTTTTACGAAACATAAATTTTTGCTTTGATAATATCGATTTCCAAAATTGTTGCTTATCCTGAGGCTCTAATTCCTGCTGACTTTGTCGATTTTGTTTGAATGCAAAAATCATCCAATGCATGAAAGCAATTTGCTAAGCTACGATTTCCACACTGTGTCTTTGTTTTTTTCATTTAGTTCAAAATTTTTGTAACTAACTTTCAAAATTTCAGGGACCTTATCCTTGTACAGTCACCTCCAAGAAGGCAAGCAAGACTAGTCTTGTTCTCTGACCCACCAAAATTGAATGAAAATCACCTCCCTTCTCCCACAAGTGTAACATCTCTTTACATATATTGAGCATCAGGCCATCAGCTCCTAAATTCGGGAAGTAGCACCGACACAAATTATTACATGCACCTGAGAGTACCTAGAATGACGCTTCCACCAGTGCATGATGAGTCTGGTGACCACAGGCTGACTCATACGTATCACTGGGCTGGAGCATTGATGTGAGTCATGTGACTATGTGAGTACTTTTGGCCTCCTGGGTGATACACGAAATGTTTGGCCCAGGAAGCGAACATCACACATGAGCCCAAAGCCTACAAGTACTCCTGGCCTTCCGGGTGGTGAACAAAATGTTTGGCCCGGGAAGCGACCATCACACATGAGCCCAAAGCCTACAGCATATGTGCTACGAAACCCTAAATGGCATCGGCTTTGGGCTCATGGCATTGGCTTTGGGCTCAGATGGCTAGGCACCACGAACTCGCTACCTACGCCTTTGGAACTTCACATGATGGCTTCTGCACAATATTTGTAATGATCATTAAGACAGTTAAACGCGCTATAGAGCTCAACGCCAAGCCCAAGCTGAAGGCTAACACACTTGAATTTCTCCTTGGAAGGACACAGGCACACGGCAGGCTCTAAGCACCAAAAGCTCAAACTTATTTTATACTGCTTCAGGCTGTTGGCTTTAACCCAATGCTAATTTGAATGTGCTGCAGAAGCAACCGTATGCCCAAACTGAAGGCTATGACAACAAAATTTCTCGTGGACAAAGGGGCATAAACACCGTGAATTTTACCTAGTTGCTTCAACAGAACTCCAGGCTGATGGCTTTTGCACGCGGTTTTCCTCCATCAAATCTCTGTACTTCATAGCAGCATCCCATCTTTCTGCGCCTGCATAAGCATCCGATAAAAGTACATAGTTTCCACTATTACTAGCATCTGATTCAAGAAGCTTACTTGAAACAATCTCAGCTAAGGCAACATTTTTATGTAGCTTGCAGGCACTCAACAAGATTCTCCATAATACTGCATCAGGAGGTGTTGTCATCTTGAGTATCAAGTTATATGCTCTCTCTAATTCACCAGAACGACTCAAGAGATCAACAACACAACCATAATGTTTCATTTGTGGGATAATTCCATAGATTCTATACATACTATCGAAAAATTCCATCCCCTTGTCTACCAATCCAGCATGCGAGCAAGCTAGCAATAAGCCGACAAAGGTTCCATTAGTTGGCCTTACGTTTTTGCATAACATTTCCTCAAATAGCTGAACAGCAGAATCAGCAAAACCATTTACAGCAAGTCCTGCTATAAGTGCAGTCCATGAGACAGAGTCTTTATCACTCATACCTTGAAAAACTTGTAATGCCATCATAACATCCCCACATTTGCAGTACAAATCAATTAAAGAGTTACCAACATACATGTCTACTCTGATATTATGCTCAATTATGAATTCATGAATTTCCTTGCCCATGTCATGCATTCCTAGATGAGCACAAGCAGAAAGCACACTCGATATTGTAATTTCGTCTGGTTTAACCTTATTCAACATCATTTCCTGAAAAAGTTTCACAGCATCAGAAAATTTGCCTGCTTGTGAATACCCTGTAATCATTGATGTCCAAGAAACCACATCCCTCTTTGGCATTTCATGGAAGAGCTTCCTTGCCACAACCAAATTTCCGATTTTTGCATAACCTATCATCAAAGAATTCCAAGAGACGCTATTTCTATCACTCATCCAATCAAACACCCCCTGGGCTGAGTCCATCATCCGACGCTTTCCATACATATCAATCAAAGTATTCCCCAAATAAACATCTATATCAACACCACTTCTCTCAATGTAATCCACCATTGAATCAACAATATTCCACTCACTCAACACATTACAGGCCATGATAACTTTCACCATTGTCACAGCATCCGCCCTCACATTCGCCACCTGCATCGAATCGAAAACACCCAGAACTTCTGTATACTTATTGCATTGACTATACCCACAAATCAAAGAGTTCCAAGTGACCAAATCTCTCTCAGTCATTTCATCAAACACCTTCTGTGCAAAAACCATTTCCCCACATGATCCATACATATGTATCAAAGCATTTGACACAAACAAATATGATTCATACCCAAGTTTTAATCCATGAACATGAATCTTTTTACCCTGCAAAACATCTGAAACACGACCACATGCCTTAAGAACAAATATAAAAGTCAAATTATTCCCAGTTAACCCATAGTTTCTCATATCATTATACATATAAATTGCTTTAATTGGATCATCACTTTTGGATAATCCCTTTATCAAATGATTCCATATTAACAATGGGGGTCTTTGAATTTGATCAAATACAATCTGGGCTTTGTGTAATGTGGTTGAGGAGAGAGAATATGAGCGCAAAACTAGAGAAATTGAATCTGGGTCTTTGTGTTTTTGGGTTCTGATCAAATGGCCATGAAGCTCTTTAATGGCGTCGATTGAGGTTGAATTTCTGGGTGATTCTTGCGATTTGGTGATCGAAGTGAAGCTGCTTAATTGGCGTGAAAAGGGTTTAATAAATTGCATGGAAAATCTGGATTGAAGTATCATGAAGATTGGGGTTAAAAGGTATGATGGTTGAAATATCGAACCTAGTTTTTGGAATTTTAGCAAAATTTGAGATTTTGAGTAGTTCTTGATCTTAAAAGGCATTCAGTTCCCACCAAAAAAAAAATCCTAATTCATTGACATACAATTGTTTTTCTTTTCTTTTCTTTTTTTTTTTTTAACAAAATTGACATACAATTGTAAAATTGTAGTTTAATTAATTTTAGATAATGAAAATATCAATCAAATCCTAGGTCAATAACAAGTCGGGTTGATTTCGGGTCGAATTAGGAACGGGTCGGATTGAATTCAGGTCAGGTTAGTAAAAAGTCGAATTAAATTAAGGTTTTGATAAGTTAAAACGGGTTTGGGCCAATTTCGTTTCAAGTCGGATTCGGTGAAAGTTAATTAAATTGGCCATTGTAAATTGGTAAATAGGTGCAAGTTGTAAATCGGTAAATTGGTCATTTAAAAGCAAATTGAATGGTTCCAAACACCTAATTGGGATCCCGGAGGGTTTTAGGGACTATAGTAAACATTTCGGCAATTTTTATTTTCAGGCGAAAAAAAGTCAAAAAATTCCAAAATTGAAGGCTAATATCCACGTTTTTTGAGAAAATTTTGGAGGTTTCAAGACCCGGTGTCGAAAAGTCTTGAAATTCTATGGGATACATCTTAGGGTCATATAATGTCGTTTGGAACCATATATGATAATTATTTGCTGTCATAAATGTTCGTGGTAGGCTTGAATTAATGATATCAGTGCAAGTTGTAAACTGGTAAATTGGTAGTTAAAGGAAAATTGGATAATTCCACTCACCCAATTGGACTCCCGAAGGGTATAAGGGACCATGGTAAACATTTCGGCAATTTTTATTTCCTGACGAAAAAAAAATCAAAAAATTTCAAAATTGAAGGCTAATATCCACGCTTTTTGAGAAAATTTGGAGTTTTCGGGGCCAGGTGTAAAAAAGTATTAATATTTTAGGAGATACATCTCGGGGTCATACAATGTCGTATGGAACCATAAATGATCATTATATGTTGTCATAAATGTTCGTAATAGACTTGAGTTAATGAAATCCGTGCGAATAGTAAACCGGTAATTAAATTGGCCGTTTAAAGGCAAATTGGATGGTTCCACGTACCAACCCAATTCAACTCCCGGAGGATATTAGGGACCATGGTAAATATTTCAACAATTATTATTTTCTGGCGAAAATAAGTCAAAAACTTCCAAAATTGAAGACTAATATCCAAGCTTTTTGATAAATTTTGGAGGTTTCGGGGCCTAGTGTCGAAAAGTCTTGAAACTTTAGGGGATACATCTCAGGGTCATATAATGTTGTTTTTAACCATATATGATCAATATTTAATGTCATAAATGTTCGTGGTAGGCTTGAATTAATAAAATCGGAGCAAGTTGAAAACCGGTAAATTGGTAGTTTAAAGGCAAATTGGATGGTTCCACCCACCCAATTGGACTCCCGGAGAGTATTAATTAGGGACCATGGTAAACATTTCGACAATTTTTATTTCCGGGCGAAAAAAAAATCAAAAAATTTCAAAATTAAAGGCGCTAATATCCACGCTTTTTGAGAAATTTTAAAGATTTTGAGGCCCGGTGTAGAAAAGTATTAATATTTAAGGGGATACATCTCGGGTCATATAATACCGTATGGAACCATATATGATAATTATATGTTGTCATAAATGTTCGTAGTAGGCTAGAGTTAATGAAATCCGAGTAAGATGTAAACCGGTAATTAAATTGGCTTTTTAAAACAAATTGGATGGTTCCACCAACCCAATTGGACTCGCGAAGGGGATTAGGGACCATGGTAAACATTTCGAAAATTTTTATTTTCTGGCAAAAAAAGTCAAAAAATTCCAAAACTGAGGGCTAATAACCACGCATTTTGAGAAATTTTGGAGGTTTCAAGGCCCGGTGCGAAAAGTCTTGATATTCTGTGGGATACATCTCGGGGTCATATAATGTCGTTTAGAACCATATATAATCATTAATTGTTGTCAAAAATGTTCGTGGTAGGCTTGAGTTAATGAAATTGGTGCAAGATGTAAACCGGTAAATTGGTCGTTTAAAGGCACATTGGATGGTTCCACCGGGGATATTAGGGACCATGGTAAACATTTCGGCAATTTTTATTTTTGAGCGAAAACAAGTAAAAAAATTCCACAATTGAAGGCTTAATATCCACGCTTTTTGATAAATTTTGGATGTTTTGGGGCCTGGTGTCGAAAAGTCTTGAAATTCTATGAGATATATCTCAGGGTCATATAATGCCGTTTTGAACCATATATAATCATAATTTGTTGTCATAAATGTTCGTGGTGGACTTGAATTAATGAAATCGGTGCAAGTTGTAAACCGGTAAATTGGTAGTTTAAAGGCAAATTGGATGATTCCACCCACCCAATTGGGCTCCCAAAGGATATTAGGGACCTCGGTAAACATTTCGACAATTTTTATTTCCTAGCGAAAAAAAAATCAAAAAATTTCAAAATTGAAGGCTAATATCCACGCTTTTTGAGAAATTTTGGAGTTTTCAGGGCCCGGTGTAGAAAAGTATTGATATTTTAAGAGATACATCTCCTGGTCATATAATTCCGTATGGAACCATAAATGGTCATTACATGTTGTCATAAATGTTCGTAGTAGGCTTGATTTAATAAAATCCGTGCAAGTAGTAAACCGGTAATTAAATTGGCCGTTTATTATAGGCAAATTGGATGGTTCCACCAACCCAATTAGACTCTCAACGGATATTAGGGACCATGGTAAACATTTCAGCAATTTTTATTTTCGGGCAAAAAAAAGTCAAAAAATTCCAAAATTGAAGGCTAATATCCACGCTTTTTGAGAAATTTTGAAGGTTTCAGGGCTCGATGTCGAATAGTCTTGCAATTTTAGGAGATACAACTATGGATCATATAATGTTGTTTGGAACCATATATGATCATTATTTAACGTCATAAATGTTCGTAGTAGGCTTGAATTCATGAAATCGGTGCAAGTTGTAAGTTGGTAAATTGGTTGTTTAAAGGCAAATTGGATGGTTCCATTCACCCAATTGGACTCGCGGAGGGTATTAGGGACCACGGTAAACATTTCGGCAATTTTTATTTTCGGGCGAAAAAAGCCAAAAAATTCCAAAATTGAAGGCTAATATGCACGTTTTTTGAGAAATTTTGGAGGTTTCTAGGCCCGGTGCGAAAAGCCTTGAAATTCTATGGGATACATCTCGGGGTCATATAATGCCGTTTAGAACCATATAAGGTCATTATTTGTTGTCATAAATGTTCGTGGTAGGCTTTAGTTAATGAAATCGGTTCAAGTTATAAATCGGTAAATTGGACGTTTAAAGGCACATTAGATGGTTCCACCCACCCAATTGTACTCCTGGAGGATATTAGAGGTCATGGTAAATGTTTCGGCAATTTTGATTTTCGAGCGAAAACAAGTCAAAAAATTCCAAAATTGAAGACTAATATCCACACTTTTTGAGAAATTTTGGAGTTTTCGGGGCCTAATGTAAAAAATTCTTGAAATTCTATGGGATACATCTCAGGGTCATATAATGCCGTTTGGAACCATATATGATCATAATTTGTTGTCATTAATGTTCGTGGTAGACTTGAATTAATGAAATTGGTGTCAGTTGTAAACCGGTAAATTGGTAGCTTAAAGGAAAATTGGAAGAATCCACCCACCCAATTGGACTCCCAAAGGATATTAGGGACCTCGGTAAACATTTCGACAATTTTTATTTCCTAGCGAAAAAAAAATCAAAAAAAATCAAAATTAAGGGCTATTATCCACGCTTTTTGAGAATTTTTGAAGTTTTCGGGGCCCGGTGTAGAAAAGTATTATTATTTTAAGGGATACATCTCGTGGTCATATAATTCTGTATGGAACCATAAATGATCATTACATGCTGTCATAAATGTTCGTTGTAGGCTTGATTTAATGAAATCCGTGCAAGTAGTAAACCGGTAATTAAATTGGCCGTTTAAAGGCAAATTGGATGGTTCCCCCAACCCAATTAGACTCCCGGAAGATATTAGGGACCATGGCAAACATTTCAACAATTTTTATTTTTGGGCGAAAAAAAGTCAAAAAAATCCAAAATTGAAGGCTAATATCCACGATGTCAAAAAGTCTTGCAATTTTAGGGGATACAACTCTGGGTCATATAATGTTGTTTGGAACCATATATGATCATTATTTAATGTCATAAATGTTCGTGGTAGGCTTGAATTTATGAAATCAGTGCAAGTTGTAAGTTGGTAAATTGGTTGTTTAAAGGCAAATTGGATGGTTCCACCCACCCAATTGGACTCCCGGAGACTATTAAGGACCATGGTAAAAATTTTGGCGATTTTTATTTCCAAGCGAAAAAGAAATCAAAAAATTTAAAAATTGAGTTAATGAAATTGGTGCAAGTTGTAAACCGGTAAATTGGTCGTTTAAAGGCACATTCGATGGTTCCACCCACCCAATTGGACTCCCGGTGGGTATTAGAGACCATGGTAAACACTTCGGAAATTTTTATTTTTGATCGAAAACAAGTCAAAAAATTCCAAAATTGAAGGCTAATATCCACGCTTTTTGATAAATTTTGGAGGTTTTGGGTCCGGTGTCGAAAAGTCTTGAAATTATACGGGATACATCTCAGGGTCATATAATGCCGTTTGGAACCATATATGATCATAATTTGTTGTCATAAATGTTCGTGGTAGACTTGAATTAATGAAATCGGTGCAAGTTGTAAACCGGTAAATTGGTAGTTTAAAGACAAATTGGATGATTTCACCCACCCAATTGGACTCCCAAAGTGTATTAGGGACCATGGTAAACATTTGGTAATTTTTATTTACGGGCAAAAAAAAGTCAAAAGTTTTTTTTAATTGAAGGCTAATATCCACGTTTTTTGAGAAACTTTGGGGGTTTAGGGTAGAGATGTGAATTCTATTAAACGGGTCGGGTTTGGGTCGGAAAGAGTGGGTCGGATCAAATCGCCGGGTCGGGTATTAGCGTGGATATTTAACTTTAATTTTAGAAATTTTTAACTTTTTTCGCCCTGAAATAATAATTGGCGAAATATTTACCAAGGTCCCTAATATCCTCCGGGAGTCCAATTAGGTGGGTGAAACCA